TAAAAAAAAAAAATAGGAACTATTCAAACGACAGGGGAAAAGTTTTGGATACACACACACACACACACACACACACACACACACACACACACAAAGAGACCTTTTCCGGCATTTTGCAGTCTATTAAACTGAGTGCAAACACCAGCACATGCTACTGCAGCCTGCCTGTGTTTGTGGGCCTTAATGACGCGTCACAGCGGGAGAGTGTGTGTGTGATAAATAGCTGTGTGAATTATGAATGAGAGAAGTTGACTAGGGGGCCAGTCCATACTGAACCCTGCCACTGCACTCGTGTGTGAATTGTACAACTAAAGTGCGTTGTATGTGATGAATTGCTCCAGTATATTGTGCAGCTTTATGCCTACATATTTTATTAATAGCAGTGCGGACTGTGAAATACATTTTAGAGTGTTTGAGGCCCACTTTAGGAATGAGGAAACATCTATTTTAAAGTACTCGTACCTCACACCCGCTTCCTGTTTTTTTTGTCGTTCACTTCTGACCCTTCTGGAACCTTTTCTCTTCTCCTATTTGCTCTTTAATCTTTTTCTGTCCTCCTCCTCCGTAGCTAACCTTTGATCTACTGCCACCCTTCTTGTCTTTTACATATGTAGAGCTCATAAAAAGACAGATGTTTTCTTCACCTGCCATAGTACGTAAACTGCAGTTACTTTTTCAATCTTTGTCTATTTGTATATTTTACCAAAACAAATGGAAGATTAAACAATGGGGGATTTCATATCTATTTCAAGACAAGAAAATGCAAAGCAGTTCAACACTGAAGAAAACGAAACTGAGTTGAAAACAAGTGAACTGCAGCACCAAAGATTTGACGGACTCTAGAACGATGGTTCTAAGCGAATACATCATTGCAGAGTGGAAGTGCTTCTTGCATTTTCTGCAAGTACACTTGTTTGAGTCCACGCTAAAGCAAGGCTCATACAATCCTTTTGAAACCACAGACTAAGATTGCCTTCTCAAGAGAGTCATTTCTGTTTGTTACATTAAGCATAATAGGTATTCTTTTGTTTCTACGAATTTACTCAAAGCCAAGATTAAATAATGGAAAAGAAAAAACAATTACATTTTAGTAAGCCAGTAACAACTATTGCTAAGTAAGGTCGCCTAGGGATAAAAAAGTCATTCCAAATGACCCTTTGATGGTTTTGACAAGTGTTTCAGCTGTAAAAATGAATAAATGAGTCCCTCGATGACTCTCTAGGAAACATGTATTTATCTTTCCAGCTTCCTGACTGAGCGAGCTCACTCATTGACGGCCCACATGTGTTTTTCATTCCACTGCTGCTTAACCCACAGACTCTCTCTCTCTCTAGCCTCCACTTGTTTCATCTCTGCTATCTTATCTCTGCCTCCTCTCCTCTGCAAACCAGAGTAACGAAGTCCGCCTGAACAGCCTGTCGCAGGTTTCCTTCTGTTAGGGGACAGAATGTACAATGTGTCCCCGGTGGGCGCGGTGGAGGGTGGGGCCGGGGGGGGCCGGGGGAGGGCGCTCTCTCTGGCAGCGCCAACTGGCATGGAGAGATGCTCGGCTCTGGCAATCTGTGCCACCTGCTCCTCTGCCCCCCTGCTCCGGTACCTGGCCATGGAAGGCAAACCTGTCATCATCAGTCTATGAGACGTGTACGTACGTGCATGCCTGTGTGTGTGTGTGTGTGTGTGTGCTGATCCAAGCATATCTGCCAGCTCTCCCTTCGTCGTCATTGTCCCTTGTGTTCTGCTGCTTTTAGTAAACCTCCCTTGGACAGCAGCATTGGCTGTTCAATATCACTTGGGTTGCGAGTGGAATAGGAAAGCAAAAGTGTTGCTGTAAGATAAACGGCAGGAAAGAAAAGTATTTATAGCTAACGTACCTGCAGCACCAATGGGCTTCTTTTTATACACAGTTCTTCTTTTTCTAAGTAGCGTATCCTGCGGTTAAGAATGGTCATCTTCTTTCATTATTTGACAATTTAGCCTCCCATTTTTTATTCCCTGCTTTGTGTGTCGATGTAAAGATAGAATTTTGGATAAACGAAGAGATGCATGGATGGACTAACTGCCTGTCACAAAGTGACATGAATTTGTCTTTGACATATAGGAGCCATGCGTGTTAGTAGCTGGCCTTGTGCATTGCAGTTAATCCTCTTTCTCGGGGGGCCCGCTCGTAAGGTCGTATTTCGGAAATGACTACTGCATTCACAACTTAGTCTCTACCTTTTTTTTTATCCACCTTTGTTTGGAACACCCAACCTCTGCACCGAGCTCCTCCAGGCATCACGCAAAGAGAGCTTCAGGGACGGCTGCGGTCTCCTTGAAGAGTGTGGACGTGCCGTGAGGAGGCGAGAGAGGGAGGAGTGCTCCCCTCATGTCGCTCTCTTCTTGTCCTGAACAAAAAAGCCTGCAGAGGGAGATAACCTTTCCCCATGAGAGCGCAGTCATGTTATCTACTGTTACCCCTCAGCCGATAGCACTGGACAGGGCACTTCAAGTCCCATGTTGCCTAGAAGCTTCCCACTCATGAATGCACTCCAATTAGCCCAGGGTCATCAGACACGGAGAGCAGCAAACACGCTTTATACATGAACTTGTATTACAGATCATCAGGAAGACGTGCACAGGCTGACCGATGCGTAGTCCCCCTTTTCCGTTCCTGTTTCTGCCACCGGGCCTTTATTGAGGCACAGCTGATGGCGTTGGGCCGTGGGGAAGGTTAGGCCCAGCTGCTGGTCAGGCCAGTTAATCAGGACCATGATTCACTGCCTGATAAGTGTGTAATTGAATCTACCACAACGGAGGATTGTTTCACGATGAGAGATTTGCCAGAAACGAGCGGACAAACATCTGCAGATCCTTGAACTCGTATAACCCCCCCCCCCCTCTGTACTAACAAACATGCTGCGCACGTTTGCAAGGCCCTTCGGTCAACTCATCTTGCTTCATCTTCTGGCTGTCAGCACTTCCCATGAAACAAGCGGTCCACGAGATGTGATCCTTTCAACATACATCTGCGTTAACCTCTGGAACAGAGCGGCACGGATTCCTGCCCGTCGGTTCTCTGCTTTGTCCGGCAAAAGGCCGGAGCACTACAATGTTGTGCAATAGCAAGTGAGTTTTGTAACAATATTGTGCCATTATTGTTTGAGCCATTCTAAAATGTTCTGCTCTAGTAGTGTCTCTAATACTGTGTGTATTATCTCGCTTGAAAAACGCTTCATAATGTATAATAAGCTGTTACGGTATTGGGGCATAGAGGCAGAGCGGTGCAGGGATTTCTGTTGAGCTTTGGCTCTCTGTCCTCGTCATCTAGAGTTTAATTATTACTCAGCAGGCAGCATTGCTTCTAAAGCGGATATGGGATTTACATGAATTACAACTCTCAATATATTAATAAATAATACCCAATGACTCATATACTAACAACATTTTTTTTTTTAGTTAGACGACCGTCTCTTTGACAATCTGGCTTTTGCATGGGAATGACGAGACATTGTTTGACATTTTCTTTGCCTGCCGCCTTAAATACATCAATTCAAAATATCTCTACTTGTGTGGCTTTTAGAAAACACTGCGTTGAGGGAAAGACGTCAAAGGGGCAAAAGCGACCCTGCTGACCCGTGAGCAGACGCAGAAGGCGCTGTATGTCCTGGTGGGAGAAGGATTTGATTAGCAAACTAATGGAATCAGCCAATGCATTGTGTGTGTGTGTGTGTGTGTGTGTGTGTGTGTGTGTGTGTGTGTGTGTGTGTGTGTGTGTGTGTGTGTGTGTGTGTGTGTGTGTGTGTGTGTGTTTATGTCCCGTTGACACAGTAACACTCACACATTTTCACCCTTGGAGGCCGTCCCCTTGCGGCCGTTTCATTCTGGATCACTGGTGCGAGGAATTACTTCTTTGTTTCTGCTGTTCACTGCCTTCACCTCCCATCCCCGAGTCCTGTTCCACCTGGTTATGGACCCGGTGATAGGAGGGGCCGGCCTGTATGAGGTACTCGGGGCAGACGATGCTCAGAGACAGAAGCTGCAGTTAAATTATGTGGCTAAACACACGGTTCCGGCTACCGGTGTACCGATAACGGTTAGTGTGGCTTGCCGCTGCTGTGTTACAGATAAAATGGGGAAACATGTTAAGTTTATTTAGTCTGAGTTAGTTACTTCGAGTGGGAAATATGCAGACTTGTGTAGTTCCATTTGAATGTTGCAAGGCAAAACATATTTCTATAAGCAGTTGGATCATTTGAAAGGTCAGTTTTGTAGGCTGGGATTCTGATTCTTGACTAACAGTTGCGCAAACACACCCACACACACACACACACACACACACACACACACACACACACACACACACACACACACACACATACTTTGTATGACTAATGGAAATGATAGCATCAAGATAGCTGTTGGAGGACGCAGGTGTTCAAATAGTTGTCCCAAGTCTGAAACTCGTACTGTCGCACGTGCATCTTTTGGACACATTTATGAAAGATGAATTATCTCATTACAGAGGAAAATGGTTTAAGAATGATACATGGAAGGTTTGTATATACTGAAAGTCTTCCTCAGGCTGAAATTATAGGCTGGCTGGAGAGAATTCGGTGGAGAGGGAGAGGGCAAAATGAATGATCCATGGAGTTTGAAAGACTTGTTGACACATTGTCTGTTCAGCTCTCCCCCTTTCTTTCTGGCTTATAGAGAAAGAAAACACATGCAATACCCTGCACATGTGTACATTTATGTAAACTCATGCGTGACCTGGGCTTTTTCAACGAGCATGTTACTGATATTATTTGCTTCTCCCTCTCTGTATTCTTCTGTTTCATGCAAGAACTTGTTAACATTACTCAACGGGGGAATTCATTGTGCCGAGTTTCTGTTGGTTTCTAAAACAACTCCCCAACCACCAAACGGGGAAAAACCCAAATCAGACCGGTTCCAATTTCATCAGATAGTAACAACGGCTCCACCAGGGACTTATTTCTCTCTCGCTCTTTCTGTTCCTCCAGGCATGAAGACCTACCTGATCTCTGGCAGGAAGGTGGAGCCTCACTCTCTCTGCAGCTGCTCTCAGCTGGCTTTGGAAGGGGCCGAGCATGCAGATCGTCCGAGTCCCTCTTCCATGGTGCACACACCTGATGGAGACCCTGCAGCCTGCACCCTGCTTCCTGAAAGCGCTAAGGTAAATGCAAATTAACTCACCACGAGAAACATCAGCTGTGTTGTCGAGGAAGTGGGATCGGTTTTCTTTGCACGTCAACGCTGCCGGAGACCGAAAACTGACCCACGTGTTCCGCTACAGCCTCTTTTAAGTTCATCTTTTTGCTTTCTATGAACTTTTGTTTATGTGGGTGTACCAGAAGCGTTAATATTTCCCTTCTTTTTGCATGCGAGTGGCTTCCGCCAGAGTCAAGGATGTGTAAAAAAAATGACTTTCGCCCCTGCTATTATGTGAATAGCTTTTTTTCTTCATTTTGTTAAAATGGGACGTGAATTTGTTAAAAATCTCAGCAACAACAATGGGATAACTGTGGTGTATGCAGGACTATAATATAATAATCCCATTCAATCATTTGATTTGGCTAGAATGTGATGATTGGGCAAGCTGCCCGCTCGAGTGCCTGCATGTGAGTAGTCTGTCCAAGCTCTAATCGCAGGATCCATAGCTCCATCAGCTCCATCTGAGAAAAAAAACTAAACAGTGGTCGCTTACTGATTAATTGAGTAATGAAAAGTGCTGTTCTCGCCATATATTAACCGATCCATTATCGTGCTCTTCTCATCAATCTAGGAAAATATCCATACAGCCTTTGTGGGAATTGTCTCATTTTCTACCAAAATCGTACCACTAAGTCATGTAACTCCCTAAACTGTGCTACACATTATTCCAATACAAGTACCATCAGAACTCTGCATCACTGGGCCTTAGATTCACCCCAATTAGTCCTCTTTTCGCTTGCTCATTACTCATTTCTGGCAAGCCAAGTGGATGGAAGAGGGATCCTTAGGGGAACATTTGGAGTTCTCAGTTTGGTAATAAGCTCAAACAGGAAGATGGGGTCTTCTTCTTCTTCCTCCATCTGGTGTCTCCTCCATTTACAGCTTTTCATCTTCAAGTGTGACTCTCACTAATACACAGATATCACCGACACTGAACGATCACAATGTGACATTTTGTGAAATTGTCATAGGACGAAACAAGACTCAGTAAAAATACGGCCTGTTCCGAGGCTGAGACCTTCAAAATAAGTGGTCTTGTGAGCGCCCTCTGTTACTGAAACACTGGTGCGTGTGTGTGTGTTTTGGCTCAATATTTCACAGTGCATTGCACATGTCTGTGTCATAAATCTCTTTCTCATAAACACACACTTTCCAGTCTGTTTTGAAGAAGATGACTTGGATGAAAATAAGGACCTTGAGTCTGTGTACACTTCTTCGTTGCCTCGTGTTTACTGCATGTGTTTCAGTGGAAAAACACCACTAGGATAAATGAGTTTAAGGTAATACAGATTTGTAAAATAATGGTGTGCGTTTAAATGATTTCATGATGTATGTTTTTGTCATCTCTCTTTTGTCAGATTTTGTCAGATTCTTCGACGCCACGATCATTCTCCATCTACATGCTTTTTTTGATCTACACCTTAATTAATGTATTAATGGTCTTTCTTTGTTCCAGCCCCATATGCTGCACGCCCCAACCTCTTCTGCCCCACAGTCTCCGTGTCTGTCCTGCAGTGTGTTACTGATCCAAGGGGAGGATCGAGTTCTGGAGGAAGCAGCTGTGCACGACGGCTGCTCTGACGACCGGAAAACCAACAGCAACAAGGTCAGTCTGTTGTTCTTGTTGTTGTTACTTTCACTAAACAGATAATAGGCTAAATGTTTTATCTAGGAGGCTGTTTGACTTGCCATGCAGGATAGAATATTTCTAATATTATATTTTCTATCTAATTATTTGCCGTCACTGATCCTTCAATTTCACCGTGATCACATTTACTCTGGCCCAGCAGCAAAAAAAAAGGGTCTTGAAAATAGTTCAATGAAATAGAGCTCAATTAGTCCCAGATAAAGTGTGTCACACACATGCATTAACATTGGTGTGACTGTAGCACACTTTTCATTTTTAGCTCTTACATCCTTTTAAAGCACTTCTTATCATTGCTGTTTCTATAGCAGAAATCTTGTACCCACGCTTTTTCCTTTTCACCTATAGGACACTTTAAATCTGAAGTGTTCCCCAGCGGTCTCCGCCGGGCGCAGCCCCAAGGCCCTAAACGGCCTGCTCAGTCCTCAACTGGAAGCCTTGAACAACAGCCAGACCTCCCTGTGTGAGATGCTGCAGGAGAAGGAGAAGAAGACTTGGAGCGGAGGAGCTGTGGGCATGGATCATTCGGCGCTCATCCCTCTACGCTCCAAGAACTTCAGGGAGAGGAGCGATGCTCACTTTGTGGACGTCATCAAAGAGGACAGGTCTGGTGCTGCTGCTTGCTGATGCGATCAGAACCAGAATTTGATTCACATTCAATTGAAATTAAATATGTTTGTATTAACGGGGCAGCCCTAATGAGGCTGTAAGAGGTAGTCAGTCTTGATCGTTGATGTCAATTTTCCATAACATTTAAAGTTGATTTGAATATATAAAATACAGAGTGAACATCATTTGTACTGAATTTCCTCTCTGCCTGTTGCAGCCTCATGAAGGACTATTTCTACAGACCTCCCATAAACAAACTGAGCCTCACCTTCCTGGAGAGGAGCCTCGAGTCTGCTTACCGGATAAGCTACCAGGAGGAGGTGCGTGTGCGCGCGTGTGTGTGTGTGTGTGTGCGCGCGGTTGGGAGAGCTGTTTTTGTGCGTGACATGAAGGTGCATGTGAGTTTAACTTGTGTACATGTATTTGGGTTTCTCTTTTTATTTTTGAAATGATTCATCAATGAGCTCGAGGTTTTCGTCTCAAGTCTTGAGACCTTGTGCCAACTGGCACGGAGAGATGCTCAAGAGAGAAAATCAGTTAGCAGTTAGCATGCAATCATGCTAACTGTGCGTGTGCCTGTGATTGTGCATGCCTTTGTGTTTCTACGTGTCCGTGTCTTGTCTGGGCAGCCTGTTAACCCTGCGTTATAACCAGACTGCTGAAGACTGCGACAAAGAGCGATCACTGCAGGACCGCAACAGTAGTTTTGCGTTAGTTTGTGACGTCCTCTGCTGGTGTAACCTCAGAAGTGCATCTTCATTCTTTGGGCTACGACATGTAATCGAGAATGTGTGTCGCTGACTTGGGAATAGAGATAGATTTCAGTAGTGACTCACGTTAAGTTATTCAGTTATCATTGATTGTTGGATTATTCATTTCCAAGTCATCCTGAATGGTGAGACTTTTAGCATAATACCTTGGTGCAGCTCATGTTTGATTAGATTTCACTGACACCTCTTTGTGAGTGCCTTGCTCTCATTGCGGAACATAAACCTCCCTTATTCTTTATTACTTCTTTTTTTTGCATAATGTATTGATTCTAATACCTGTAATAACTTTCCTTTGCTTCCTTTCTTTCCCTCGCAGGTGGAAATCCAGGCAGCGGTGGAGACCTTCGCCAGTCCGACATTCAGTTCTTTCCTCGACATGCTGCTGTGCTGCTCAGTGTTTCTGGCTCTGTCGCTGGCCTCGTTCCTTCGCCCGCTGGTTTCCCAGCACAGTTTGTCCACACCAGCTCTCATTCTGACCACCGTAGCCGGCCTGCTGGAGGCGCTGGCTTTGCTGTTTGCTGTACGGTGAGATGATGTGTCTTAACCTTTCGAACCAATGGTTCAGCATTTTACAAACGGCTCATAATTGCACAAAATGAACACTTGGGGACGGGAGTTACACCTGACACCAAAATGTAAACGACTGGAAGACGTTTGTTTTGTGAAGTAGTGGTTGGTGTCTTGTAATCCCACGCGTGATGCAACAGAAGCACATTTCACATTTCTGTGTCTGAAATCAGGTCAGGATCCGATGGGGGTTAAACGTGACACTCTACTGTCAGATAAACACTTTATGAACCTCTAATGTTTCATGGTAACATTGTTTACCCTCTCCAGTATGGCTTTCTACCTGGACAGTGTGCTCAACTGCACCCGGGTGCTGATGAGAGCCGTTTCCGGCTGGATAGCGCGTCACTTCATAGGAGCCGTCCTGGTGTCCCTGCCCACTGTGGCTGTCTTCTCTCACGTGGCCTGTGACATGCATCAGTCCCTGCAGGTGGATTTGAAGTTTCATATTTTTGCCTTTGTCCCTTAGTTGTTGGTAGAACATGTTAAGTGCTAAAAGTCGACGGAACTTATGTGAAAATCTTCTGACAAATGACCCTCCACATCTTCCCCAGTTCACCATGTTCATCTGCTGTGCTGTCATCGTAGCTATCATTCAGTACTGTAACTTCTGCCAACTCAGCTACTGGATGCGCTCAGTTTTAGCAACTTTGGTGGGACTAGCGCTGCTCGCCATACTCTTCAACTCCCCATGCAGGTATGACACACTCAAGGGATAAAAAAAATCCCATCAAAACAATGTGATAACAAACATTTATGTCAGGGACTTTGTTTAAATTAGGGCTATTGTGCTTTATCTCTTCCAGTGGTGCTAAAAGTCCGTTCTTCTGGTAAGTGCAGTTGTTATTCTATTTGGTGTTTTCATATAGTTTTGCTTGTATTCACTCTTGTTTGTCGTCTGCTTTTCTCAAAAGCTTCTTGAGTTGTGGTTTAATAATGCTAATTTATTTTAAAAAGGCTATATAATTATTTCCTCTTTCATTTTTACTATTTATGTACATGTGTCTCTCTCTAACCTCTCCCCACCAGGTCAGATGGCCAGAGCAGTATCAGCAACAGCAGCAGCAACAGCTCCATGGGCATGTCTGACCGCCCATCCGACCCGCGGGACCTGCTGGGCCCCGAGGCCTGCGTCGCCTTTTTCCTGGTCCTCCTCCTCATCTGGTTCCTTAACCGCGAATTTGAGGTCAGTCACCGCCTGCATTACCATGGCAACGTAGAAGCTGACCAGCATCGCATCAAGATCCAGAACATGAGGGACCAGGCCGACTGGCTGCTCCGCAACATCATCCCAATCCATGTGGCCGAGCAGCTGAAGGTCACGCAGAGCTACTCCAAGAACCACGACAATGTGGGCGTGATATTTGCCAGCATCGTTAACTTCAGCGAGTTTTACGAGGAAAGTTACGAGGGAGGCAAGGAGTGTTACCGTGTCCTCAACGAGCTAATCGGCGACTTTGACGAGCTGTTGCGGAAGCCTGCCTTCTCGAATATGGAGAAGATCAAGACCATCGGTGCCACCTACATGGCGGCGGCGGGGCTCAACGCGCAGCAGTGTGCGGATGCGGCGCATCCTCACGCACACCTGCGCGCTCTCTTCGAGTTCACCCTTGAGATGATGCGCGTGGTGGACGACTTCAACAAGAACATGCTGGGCTTCGGCTTCAAGCTCCGCATCGGATTCAACCACGGGCCTCTCACAGCCGGGGTGATTGGCACCACGAAGCTTCTCTACGACATCTGGGGCGACACGGTCAACATCGCAAGCCGCATGGACACCACGGGTGTGGAGTGTCGCGTCCAGGTCAGCGAGGAGAGCTACTGCGTGCTCAGCGCCATGGACTACGAGTTCGATTACCGCGGCACTGTTAACGTCAAGGGCAAGGGCCAGATGAAGACCTTCCTCTTCCCGAAGAGCGGCGACAGTGGCCCCGTGCCTCAGTACCAACTCTCCGTCTCACCGGAGATCCGGGCCCAGGTGGACGGCAGCATCGGGCGCTCGCCCACTGATGAAATTGCCAGCATGGTGCCGGCGGCCGGCGTGACTGCCGGCAGCAGCCCTATTATCTTACCCAGCGCCGGCGCCGTTTCCTCGACGACCACAGGCCCTAACTACGAGAAGCCAGCGGACAGCCGCGAGAGACGTCCCTCTGCGGACAGCTCTCACGCCCGGCGCTCCACGTCTCAGCCGGACGGACCTCCTTCTTCTGCGCATAACAAAGAGATGGCGTCGCCCTCGGCCCAGCGTAGCACACCGCAAAATTCAACGTCAAATTCAACGGCGTCCCCAGGAGACATCCAGAGGAACAAATGGGATGGTGACTGCGACGGCAACGTTGGAGAGCTAACCAGACTTTAGGAATTTGCTACAATGGAGCTTTTATCATAAACCTTCTACCCTTTAAGCTTTCGTTCGTCCCGGCGGGCGTTTGTAGGAATCGCTGTACATTTGATCCTAGCCGAGTGTTAGAAAACCAGAGAGAGACTCACGGGCCTCTTTCCTGCCCCACCCGGGCAGCGGCTTATTTTTGCTGCCCGTCTGATTGGTGTTATCAGGGGAAAGATCTAGCTGGAACACTGAGTGATTGTCAGGTAGGAACAGTGGGAGGAAATGGGAAGAAGTGACGGGTCATTCTGAACCTTCTCCTTTCCTGCTCAAGATCACAATGTGTCCCGATAACTCAATTATCCGTGTACCTTTAATTCTTTCATATGTCTTTTAAGTGCCTTTAGAGTAGAATAATGTATAGACTGCGCCTTTTTCAGTAAGGGAAGCACAACAAAAAGGGAAAACTGTCAAAAAAGTCACACGTCCAACGCTATGCTTTCATCAAGTTTATTTAGTAAAATATACTCGTGCTGTGATGTTTTGGCTTCTATCAAAGAGGGAGCTCACCGTGAACATGAAAAGTGCTACTGCATGACGAGAACATATGTGTTAAGTGAAGGGAAATTAGATGTCACTCCAAGATATGCTGTTTCCATATTCTTCATGGAAACCAGAAGAACCTTCATTAAAAGGCGCAGCAAAGACCAATCGGCAACCAAAGGGCAGCTGGGGCCCGAGCTGCGAGTTGTATGAGTTTATTTGCATGCTAAGTGTGTGTGTGTGTGTGTGTGTGTGTGCGTGCGTGTGCTTGTATGTGTCTCGTGTGGTAACAAAACCACGCCGTGTTTAACGAGGAGAGGCCCCCTTGTGAGCTACTTGACTTATTTGATGAAACCGACGACAAACAGTTTAGGAACGCAAATCCCCCTAAAAAAAAAAAAATCGGCCGCCTGTGTGGCAATTCTTGCAGTGCCTCAGTGCCGAGGCATGACGGTCTCGGCTACATTTAATCAGCATGCTTGCAAATACAGCGTGGTAGACGAGGTTAGCTGTGACTTGTGTTGCGTGAGGTGTTGATGAGTATTTCAGTGGACGCTGCAAGACGGTGCCGCACCTGTGGAGTGTCTTGACTGTAGACTGATTAGACGAAACAAACGCTTTGGATCACACTGTGTTTTAGCCGATGGGGCTTTTTCGGAAATGGATGATCTAAGTGGAATGTCACAAAGCCGAAGTAAATGTGTTTTATTGTGTTCTGTTGTTACACAAAACTTAAATTGTTCCTTCCCTCTCTGATGTCGGGGATTTTAAGTACATTACTAGATGGAAACAGCTGGATGCATTCGCTGCTTTGCTATTTTAGTGGCATGAAACTTAATGTATTAGCACTGCAAATGCAAAAGTGTGCAATTTTATAATAGAGATGCATCTTTCTTTGAAACTTTGATTTTATGCTCTTATGTCATATTACTAAGGAAATCAAACGTATTAAACTGTACATCTCTTTTTCACTGTTTCCCTCTCAGTGTTTCTTAGCTTAAAGGATTGTGTGCTCAGAGGTAAAAAAGTTTAAACATTAAATCCAGTCCGTGTCCTATTTTTTATGTTTAAATATCCGCAACTACTCTTTAACCTCCTGCTGTTAAATTAACTTTAAATAATTCACACTTAATTATGAATCGTACAAAACAATCAAATAATGTATTCCAACTACAACTTTTAAGGTTACCTTAATGGTTAAATATTTTTCTATGTTAGAAGATAAGGTTGCCTGTGCCTTTTTAATTTCGCAAACTCATCTTTTTGTTCTCTGTTCGCTCTGAGTTTCTTACATTTTTTAAAACAATGAATATTTCCAAAGGCTTACTATAAGCAGAGAATTTTCACAGATGCTTAATTTGAATGGTTTAGATTTTCTATACGGCCATGATGTTTAAGCAGTGCCTTTTCTTTATACAAACGATTAAATATAAACACACTAATCATATCCACTATTAACTGCCCACGTTATGAATTCCTTGATGCTCGGCCACCATTGTGTTCTGTATCCATTGCTCGGATGGAGTTGGGTTGATTTGGATGCAATAGTAATGTTTCTACACTTATGAGCACAACCCTTGTGCTGGCCCAACATTTTTGTTTATTATACCAAAAAAAAGGCGCTTATGATAATTGTTGTCATTATCCATGGTCAAGTTGTTTTGTGAACGTTCAAGAAGGCCGTTTATATATTAAATGTTAAAACACATTTTCACAAGGCGCTCACTTTTTTTGTACAGTATGCCTTTATATTGTATAGCATCTGAGCATTTTATATTATTTATATAAGCGCATGTACTAGTATTAAATTGTCCAACAAAAAAAAACTGGGTTATTTGAACAATGTTGGAATGAAACTTCTGTGTTCTTGCCTGCACGTGTGTAAAGGAAACGTATGAGTGTTTGTAAAACTGTGGTTGTGTGTGTGTGTTGGAAAAGATGCTGTAATATTACCGTTTAAAGTATTGCTTCAATCAATGCAGACGTCTATTTCAAACTGGCCAAATAAAATGGGCGAGATACTACTAGTATTCTGTAGGTAGGCAGTGTTTCAGTAGCCTGCTACAGCTATGTTTTAATTAGTTGTTGGGTTTTTGGCATTTCTTTTGTACATAGTACTCTTAGTAGGTATGTAAATGAAGGTTCAAACTGAATAAAGCCAGTTTCTGTCAAATGTTGTCTGGCTGAATTTGTGGCCTGTACAGTACATCTGTTTCTGTATTTACCCGTGTTTTGATTGTATCATCAAAATCTCACATTGTGGAGTATAGTGAGAATTTTGGGGTACTTTTACTTGGGTATTTAATTTGCTGTTTTTTGCTGTTTTAGACTATGCATTTAACATTATGCTGCTATATTGTTTTACATTGTTTTTCGGGGGGGGGAGGATTAACGTTTGACATACAAAACATGAGATACAATCGTGAAAAACAAAATATTGTTCTAGAATCAATTACAAAATGTAACAACACAAGTACATTAAATTGGCGTTTACCTCAAATCAGCTACAACATTAAATTAACTAAACTTTCAAATGCAGAATTTATATACTATACGAGCAATTATATATATATATATATATATATATAATATATATATAATATATATAATATATATATATATATAATATATATAATATATATATATATATATATAAATATATATATATATATATATATATATATATATATATAATGTTTACACAAGTATTTTTCTACATTGTTTGCATTTCTTATTCTTTTAAAGGATCACAGGTTTTAAATATATATATACACATATGTAATGCGATATTATTTCCGGTGATTAGTGTTCTCTCTAAAGTTACTATGTTCTATTTGTGGTATCTTGTATATTGTAAAAGTTTTAAAGCAGTTAAAAATGAATCTTATTCATATTTCGGAGGAGGGGAGTTATTCCGCCCCTAAAGGCAACTTCGCGTACGTCCCCATGACGCACGGTGTGGCACAGGTTTGCGTCAGGACGTCATAGCGCGACGCCTCCCCCTCCTCCCCCCGCGGTCGAGCTGGGAAGAAAAAAAAAGTTTTTTTTTTTGTATCGGAGGAATCAACAGCCGCCATCTTGACGCGGCTCAGAATCGGGATTTCGGGGGGAGCATTAATTTTAAAAACCGACCGGAGCTCCTCAAATTGGGCTCAAACGGCTTTTTTCTTGCAGAAATCCGAAGTGTTACTTCTTCTGAAGAGAATTAATGCAAACATGTGAGGATTACACGGGTATTTATCGTCTCGAAAGCCCACTGTATATTTGATTTCCCTTTTAGCGAGCGCCGATTCTCGCCGTATCTCCGTCCCGAGACGCTGGATTTACCGGGAGACAGCGACGACAAAAATAATCCACCTCATAGAAAATATTTTTTGAATTTTGCTCTTTTTATTGAAGCCGGAGAAATATTTTATGGCTGCCCGTTTCGACTGCGAAAAAAATGATTCTGCACGGACGTGAATCCGGCGATCGGCGGCGAAGGGGATCTACTTACGCCTTGTGTAATATTTTATGATTGATTTTTTATTTATTTTTCTTGAAGCTAAATAATTTCTGGACGTAATTATTGAGGATAATTATGTGGGTGTTGGGTGTTGGATTATCATGGGTTGATCTTCGGCGGCGGAGCGTGGCGCTGTTGCCTTTCTTTTGAAACCATTTTTTCTCCCAGCAGCATTTCGCTGTCTGCCAGTCAAGAAAAAAAAACTACAGATACATTGCTAATATTTTTTTTACACGCAACGTAAAGAAAAAGTTACCCGTTATTACGCGCCAGAAGCCGACAAAGTGGACTGATCCATCATCATCATCCATTCACAACGTTTTCCGACCAGGATGGCTGACAATCTGCTGGAGGTCGGACCCCCCATTGCAAAGCGACCCAAGCTCAATTCCCCCCTCTCGGTGTCAGATGGCCCAGGTAAGGAAACATGGCTTTGCAAATGTGACAGCGTGACCAGGAGGACGTGCTAACGCACAGTGCGCGTTACGTGCATCACGCCTGGACGCCGTTAAACACACAGCAGCTTTTCTCATTCTGCGTGCATGCACTTTTTTTTTTTTTTTAAGGAAAAGAGCAACGGGGAAGTAAGTTGGCTGCAAATATCACAGGTTAACTGTCTCACTAAACCTAAAACCCTGTTTTTTTAAAAGTCCTTAAATTGCAATAATGCAACTTAAATTAATTTACTAATTAATTACTCATTTAAACGGGGAGCGCATATTCTCGTTTGTCGGTCTTCGGGTATTCGTGCTTTTTGCAAACGAAAGCCGACATAACATGTGAGGTCTTGAGTCGTTGACATTGGACATGCAGGAGTCTTCGGCGGTGTCCCGAGTCGTCTCGCGGGTTCTTAAAACAACAGATAAAAGCTAAACATCGTCTCTCAATCACTTTTGGAAAGAAAAGAAGCTCAAAAAAGCTATTCGGCCCAAGGGAACATGTGTCCTTCTGGATTGGACTCTGTGTCCTCCTCATTTCCTACCCAGCAGTGCAGAAGCGGCACAAGAGTTTGTGTCCATTATGGACTTGTCCCTCACGGATCGTACACCTCGTCAGCCTTTTGTGCACCGCGGACGTTTTTTTCTGTGGCCGTTTTGTCTTTTTTTGAAGTTGTCAACTATTACGCAACAGGTGCATTTCTGGAGAACTCCGTGTATAATATAATTGACACCCTTCTCCCCCACAGGCGTTTGCTGGCAAGTCTGACAATTGTTTTGTAAATCTGTCAATGAAGGACGGGTCAATCGTTTTTTACTGGACATTTTAGTGGAGAATCTAAAACTTTTGACGCCGGGAGAGATGCTCTACTTTTTGGCCTTCATTTGTCCCACCAGGACTGCAAAACTATTTGACTTCCTTTTGTTATTGGTAATACGAGTGAAGGAATAGCTGCTGATGCTCCCTTAGAAGTAGACTCTGAAATCACAGGTTCTACATCACATAGAGATTTGAATGTCCAGTGCCAGTCCAAAGTTTGGACACATTTTCTCATTCAGTTCAATGAGAAACTATTTGACAGTTTGGCATGAGGGAGCATTTAATGGCTTCACTAGCTGCTGATGTGTAAGTTGAACGGACGAGACAAATTAAGCCGCTTACATATTTATATTTGGCTATAATCTACTTATATACTGTTACATTTTCTATTTTCTGTGTCTAGGCCTGTTGTGTTAATCAATATATTGACTTATCGCACAACATCTGGATATGAGCGTGACCATTTTTAGTGCTGCGATATATCGTATCCACCTTTTACAGAAACATGACCGTCATCAACATTTGAGTCGATCGCGCCGCCTCTACCGTCCCGTCCGGTTCTTTTTGACAGAAGCGGAGGCGGGGCTCCGTCACACAGCGTGGACGCCGTCGGGTGACGAGAAGGCGGGAGACCGCCGTGTTACAAAGTGCTCTTATTTTGTGGCATGAGCCCAAATGGACATTTTGGCTTTAAGCGGAATAAGAGAGGAGAGCCAATCATCGTGACCATATCGAAAAAAGGGTGCCGGGCTTTGAGCAAAATTTTACATAGTGGCCAAACAATGGAATTTTATTTTCCAGAGCCCCTCAAGGCAGGAGTGGCCACACCTTTTGGCTCGAGAGCTACTTTTCAATCAACAATGTGACGGGGGGTGGGGGGGGTTGTAGTCGGGCGAACGAGTCGGAGCAATGCCGCCACGTACCGCGAGTGCAAAACCAAATCGATATTAACAAAACATCTGTCAGAAGAGATGGGACCTTCACAACCATTCCTGGCATTCTTGGTCACCTTACTCCGATGACTTTCACTGATTGGAGCTTTTTCAATAAAATTGAATGTTTTCTGCTAGTAAGCGACGGCCTCTAATTAGCACTACCAAGTTTTCTGTAAGCTCCCGCGGTCGACCGCCATGGCGATTGATTGATTGATTGATTGACCGACCGACTGACTGATCGGGCCTTACAGGATGCCACAGGGCGCAAAAATACTTTTCGTTATATTCATCTGTAACTCAGCGGGTACTTTTCTTTTAAGGGTAAATCAACTTCCCAGTAGGAACACTTGAATAGTCCTAATTTCTACCATCAATATCTAAAGGTAATTTTACGCGGTAGTGATGGCGAAGTTTTGAGCCTGTTGCGTCTTCTTCATGCAGCCTCATTCTCTAGCCGTCAGTCCGCCCTTAAAACAATAGATCGATAATAGATACTTTATAATATGAAGTATTGGGTTGTTTTTAAGATCCAATGCGTAATGTCAATTGATTTTTTGTGTGTTGTCAAAGGGGTATCGTGACAATTTCCCTTAGATGGCTTTGCTTACTTAACTATGTCTGTCATCGGTAAAGCTTTTCCACTATCTGTTGGCTGGCAAAGACGTCTCCGCTCACGGCCACAGATTAGCAGACTGTCTTTGATGTTAATGTTTGACAGTTTTTATGGAGCTCAGGTCTCGTGTCCGTATGCGCTCGTGGCCACAGGCCAGTGCCCGACTTGTTTTCATCTTTGGCTGGGGAGGAGCATCAGCAGGGAACGGGCAGCCACCACCCGCCCTACTCTTCACCCGTCGGGGGTTTCCTGCTCCTGTTCTGTCTGGCATGTGTGTAAGATCACCAACCCTCGGCTGAGTGTCATTCAGCCACTTTAGCTGGCGTCAAGTATTCCAACGTTGCGAAGGCGAAGCGGTGGCAGACGATGCTCTGGATGATGGGTGTCATCTGAGGTGGAAGCGGTTGAGACGATGAGAGCGGCGGGTGGCAGCGGACGCCATCCAAACGGCGCTGTATTACAAGCCTGCTCAAATCCACCCCGTTCCCTCCCACTGCTCTCCACCTTTGTCACACAGCGGCGAGATGCTCGTACCCTACGGGTGTAGACTGTAAATTTCATTGTCTGGCTGCGAGAGCCTGATAAGACAGTTTCTGCCCTCTCAGAAATCGCTGTCATTTTCTCTGAATAGCTGCGGTCGTCTTAAACACGGTGCAGCAAATCACTGCAGCGGCAGCTTTACAAGTGCCACTAATTTTGCACATCTTGAAGTCATCAAACCTCTTCTAAAGCACCACATTAAACGTTTTACTAATGTTCTGCCAATCAAATATGTGGAAAGCACCATGCTCCCTCAGCTTTTAAATGGGATTTTCTAAATGTTGGTGTTATTTCAACTGTCTGCAGGTTTAGTGAGACCACAGCTTTCTCATGATAGAAGAATGTCTCAACTTCTTGAGACGAGTTCTTCCTTTTTTTAATGTTTTGTTTTTACCCTCCCAAAGACCAGGGAGATTAGCTCAGGTCTTGAAGAGTCGTCCCCTTGATCTCTCGTTCGGACACCAACTACAGGCGTTTAATCTCAGCTGTGCCAGCGCCTGTCTACCGGTCTCCGGGGAGGAGCAGAGACGAACGCTGGGCGACTATTTAAGTTAAACTGTGCATTGACTTTGCATAGAATCAACCAACCGTGTGAAGGCTTCGCTTTGCTTTCAGTGTGAACGCAGCATAACTGTGCTGCTCATTCCACACTTCTCCTTCCACACCTGCTCGCTCTCTCGTGAGCAATGGAGAAGAAACCCAGGTCTGGATTTCCAAAGTGGACAAGGCAACCTGGTCTTTGGTGTTGTCAATGTTTTGAGGACATAGAGGTCCTCAAAAAAGGACATAGTAAACTTTACTTAACAATTATGGTTATGATACATAGGCGGTTGATAAAAGCTTCAATCAAATAAGTAAAAAGGTCTGCAAGTAATTTTTTTTTAAAAAAGTTAGTGCGTTAAATTTTGTAGTTCTATGCCGTCACGGTATATTAGTATCATGGTATAACGCAGTGAGTATCTGTTGAGTTAAAGGTGCGGACCGGAGTAGTGGAGTAACGAAATACTGATGATCCGTAACTCGTACGGATACCTACGGCTGTCACCATAACTACTTTTGGCTGGGCGATATATTGCACTAAAATTGTGATAACCTTTTGTAATTTTGTAATTCTCAGACGATTTAATGCCACTGACACAGTGACAATATAAAAGCATAATAATAGTGCACTCTTTCAAAGAACGTTTTATTCTTCAGAATATTAAGACATTAGAATCAGAATGTGAACAAATAAAATAATAAATACACCTTTTTATTGACAGTGCAATGTAACAAGAACTATGCAAAGGCACAGATGCATCAACCGACCAAGTCTGCTGACGGATCAGTTTTTTAGTTGTTAGGCAGATGCCCAGGAAAGAACACTGCTGCCATGTTTACCTTGTAGGGCTTTAGGCAGGATCTTTTTGGGTGTCTAATGGTTGCATCTCTTGGCTATCTAGACACTGGGGCCACACAAACACTGTGTAGTGCATCATATTGTCACTACACAAATTAGCCACTATAATTGTAGTTTTTGATCCAAATTGAATTACTTTAAAGTCACAATGTTGGGTTTAGGGGTTGATGACTCAATATACTTTTCCTCTTATATCTGATTCTTGGTTCTTTTTCCCTAACCTACATGTGTAGAAAACAAAGCAATGTCATGTTACAGTTGGGCTTAAAACCAAGGGTCCTACGAGGGGGTTATTTTGATGATTGATTACACTGATTTGAAAACTTATTTATTTTCTTGAAACAAATCCATTGGTTCCTCTGCACTTGATGGTTTGTAACTTGTTCTGTTATTATCAGTTAAAAGTCAATGATGAAGGTTAATTTTCATTTCCCTGTCTTTTTTTTTTTTTTTTTTTTTTAGATCTTGTATCTCTCTTTGACCTGGAAGACGACCTCCCAGATGAGCTCATCCCTAATGGAGACTTGGGAATGTCCTCCAATGGCGGTCCAGGCGGTGGGGGTCCTGGTCTCAACTCCAACGCCCCTGATGCGGCAGCCAAACACAAGCAGCTGTCTGAGCTTCTGCGACCAGGAAGCTCCTCCATCTTGGGAGGTGTTCTCAACTCTCTCAGCCCCCAGCAGGGAGGCATGGTGGAAAGCCAGCTTGGCGCTGTGCTTGGGAAAAGTTCACATCGGCAGGGTTCTCCCAATCACCAGTCTCCCCAGGCCCAGAAAGGAGGGACTCCCACTGGACAAGGAAATGGGGGCATGAGCTTCAACCAGGCCATGTTGAACAGCGGGCAGGGTCATGGGGTCATGGGCCAGACGGGTCAAGTGATGAATGGGGCTCTGGGACCAGCGGGCCGGGGCAGACCCGGCATGCAGTACCAAGGCCAAGGCATGCAGGGGCCACAAGTGGGTGCCGGACCTGGTGCTGGAGGCAGTGTGCTGGCAGAGACACTCACCCAAGGGGGGCCACAGTTGGGGGCACACAACACGTTGACTGCTCAGCAAGCTGGAAACATGAATAAGGTGAGGTTAACATTTCAGCTTAATTGGTCCCACGAGTTGTTCGCTCAGTAAAGAAAAAAGATGAGAACAGAGCATGAAAGATCATCAAAATCTGTGCAGCACATAAAAAAACCGTCATGTTATATTTGCTTATTGGTCAGATGTATCCAAATTGGATTTTAAACTTTAAAGTACTTAATGGACCCTTGCAGCAGATGCTAACGAGCTATGATTACCTCGTGCTCATTATCATTTTCACAACTATGGAAACGTAGATGTCATTTTTATGTGAGTGCTTCCTCGCTAGTAATTTCTTTCAGTCTGAGTAAATTGTTCAAAAGCAATAGTTCTCCTTTTTTTTATTGTAATCTATGGTGGTTAGTAGGGCTATCAACAAATATTCTACATTCTAATATGTATTCAAATAATTTTCATCTTCCAATGGTTTTTGCTTTTCAAAGAGAAAAGTATTGATATTTACTTGAAACTACATTTTAAGGCAGTCTTTCTCAAGCTATCTGCCCCTTTTATTTAGGTTCTTGTAATGAAACGAGGCGGTGTCCTATTGATAAGTAAAGGAAAAATACAATTTGGGAATTAAGACAAAATTTAAGTAAAATTTATCCTTTTTTTTTAGAGCTTGTTTGCACCGATCAGTTTATCTCGTACACCCACACTACATGAACACATGTTACCATTTGACCAGTTCTCATCTGCTTGCCCGAAGGAATTGTGATTTAACTAAGCGTTCATTGGCCGTTAGTGGTGCTACCATGGTTACGATAAACTGTATACAGGAAACTGTTACTGGTTGTCCATTCGTTAATTTAAAGACATACCTGTTCTTTCTGATGTACCATAAAAAAATCTGATCACATTTTCACTGAATATTTGTGAATTACTAAAACTTCAACACTATTAATACGCTGTTCACGCGCGTGCCGAATAGTGAGGGGGATTGGTGCCGTATCACAGATCGACAATGGTTCTGTTACACCACTATTACAGCCACTGGTAGTGTAAAGTTAACAGGTCATAATGCCCGCTGGATACTTGATATTTCTGTGAAGACATCTCCGTACAGATTATTTGTGAACAAATCATAATATGGTTAAAATGCACCATTTCCCAGTAGTAATTTTAATTCAGCTCTGAGGCAAAAATGCATTTTTAAAACTCCATTGAATGCAACCTAATTTAAAATTGGAACAGAAGAAGTGGAGGGAAAGACCAGAATGACTTACTGGCTCCGCCTAAACCCCCCCCACCTCCGTCTCTGGCTTGTCGTCGGTGATCTCCGCCTCACTCTCTATTTATTTGCTCTTCTACCTGGATCCTCCATTTGAAGCAGTCTCCCACTGAAGGGGGTTGAGTCTGCTGGGGGAGGGGGCTGGTAATCGTGCGCTTACTGTTCGCCGCTGCAAGCAGGCGCACGCGTCCTCGTCTGGGCGTAACCGCCGGGCGAAACGAGGAGCGGACAATCGTATGAAGAAAAATAATTAATTCTAGATTTTCTAGGGAGAGGGGAGGGGGGGGGGGGCTTGTTCAATGGTAGCAGAAACACTGATTCCTATTCCTCGTAAATCAAACGATGCAGCTGCAGCAGAAACTGTAGTTAAGCGATAGTAGTACTGCACAGTTAAGCTTTGTTATCATTTGGGACCGTACGGCACTTGATGGGCTGATGTATTTTTATACATGAATATCTTTAGCGTGGAGACTTACCGTGGCGTGCTCAATTTGAGAAATTGTTTTGATGTGACTATGATAGTCTGGTCTTTGTGGTTTGACAGGAAACCGAGGTTAAACCAGCACCAGTTGTCACAAAGATTATTTCAACAGACATTGCCACATTAAACAAGGCCCTCCTTTACCATGCAGACTAAGCTTAGGCTCGACCTATAACTCCTATGTTGTGGGACAAAAACAACCAATGGGCTTATTTGACAGTCAGTGCACAGGGAAACAAATTACCCTTCGATTACATTTCGATATCTGGATTCAGGGCTTGGTGGTGTACTGGTTTTAATCTGGCATGAATTTTTCATATACCGTCGTATGGCCGTAACAACTGTTGTCGCTTCACAGCGCAGCGGTCGGAGCTACTTGTCTAACAAGGAGGGATCATGTTTACGTTGCATGGCTGCCTTCAGAGAAACATAATATTTGTGTGTGTGTGTCTAGGGGGGGTGACGTGTTTATTTGTTTGGCTTTGCTGTCACTTAAAAATATAGGACATTAATATACATTAATGCAGAAATGAATGGTAAAGTAAGTAAATATGAATTTGATTCCAATTGATGTTTAACATGTGGTTGCTTTGTTTACCAGTGTTCTACTTAACAGCAGGGCATGTTTTCACTTCAGTTTGACTTCTGCAAGTGCAATGCCTTTTTTAAAGGGTAATTATTTCACTTTCCACAATGCACAGGCAGGTTAAATCCATAATTTACCTTTTGAGATTATGTGTTAAAACCGGAAACTCAGTTTACCAAGTTACGTCTGCTGGGTCCGTCTATGTTTATTCTTGGCATCCAAAAGTTATGATTAAAAAAAGAGAATTAGACTTTTAAAATTAGAACAATAAAAGGAGAAGTTTGCAGTTATGGTGGTTGCATTGAAAGTGCGATGTAGTCTTGCAGGTCACAGATTCTTATTGTTTGTTTCATTAATTTATCTGGTTCATGTCTTGTTTCTGCTTTCTGGACAATACAAGTATGATTGTGCAGAAGAACATTGTAAATTCTTGTCAATAGCCTCAGGAAGTAATGGTTGCTTTTCATGTTTAAGAGCATTTTTTAATTTGTTGATCCTATATTATGAAACTATTCTCCAACAGTTTATGCTATAAACGCATGCAAATGTATTGCAAACAATTGTAGCTTCTCACTGAAGGTATTTCCAGGCCCTTAGTTTATTAACTTAGCTAGCATAAAATAAATCCCCCTAATTTTTATTTTAGAATTACATTCTATTGCAACTCGGTGTCTGATTTAAATCATGTATTTGTTGAGACTTTGTTTCACCTCTCTGATAGTGACATGGAGTAATCCATCACTCGATCACAATCCTAGTCAGGAGGTGGATGCGTATTCAACACCTTTTTTTCATCCGCCTTTGATAATAGTGGCGTAAATCATCTTTAGAAGAGTGTTTCTCTCTTTTAAATGGGTTCAGGGAGGCAGGTAAGAGGAAGGAACAGAAACACATTAAAAAAGAGAGGGGTTCCATTACAGGCCGTCCTTTGTGACAGAGCCTCCCTTCCCTTGTCACACTCCTAGTTAATACATCAAGTGGGAGAATCCGTTTGTTAGAGGAGGATGAGGCTGTGCTTATTTGTGAATGGGAGGGAGGCAGCAGGCAAGCATCTGTGTTTCTGTGCAGCGGAGGGGGGGAGGAGGGGAGGAGGAGGGGAGGCTGGCGGCAGTGCAGCGCTCTGCTCAGCAGTTGAGCGAGCCGATGTGTGTGTGTGTGTGTGTGTGTGTGTGTGTGTGTGTGTGTGTGTGTGTGTGTGTGTGTGTGTGTGTGTGTGTGTGTGTCCTCCCTTCTGCTGCTCTGCCTGCCTCGGGAACCTCGGCGGCACGCAGGAAGACGGGCAGGCAGCCGACAGACGCACGCTAAAGGCTTCGGAATAGATTTCCTATGAAATCCCAACTATTGCCTCTGATTCAAATGATGCATTATATCTTATTATATATAATTATTCATTTTCTAGGTTTTTGTTGATGTAACGATGTCTTCAAAGGAAGTTCGGTAGCTTCACGTTTAATGCTTTGTATGACTTTTTTTTATTTTTATATCTGTGTATAAATGTATCCTATATTATTCCCTTCACCAGACCAGATTACCAGCAGTCCACAGAATCAATGATGTGGCTACATAGAATTTGTTTTTGTAGAAAAATAAATAAAATACCAAAAAAATACATTGACCTTGCGTACAGATTAAGAGTTTAAAAACACAACCTTACTTGTGGTTCAGTTGCTCCCACTGCAAACTTGAGCCCATTCATCAAATGAAACACCCAATTCCCCTTCTGCAATGCTTCTGCAGTTTCATGTCCCTCACAGGACCGTAACACTTGATCATATTTGGACACCTCATTTCACTTCATTCATATTGATGCTCGTGTACTTTGTGCACGCATTCACACAAAGGGTTCAGTTCAGTTCACATATACGAGCTGTGACGATGTGCTGCCTGTCGGGCCAATTGTCTGACCTCTTACCTGCTCGTCTCCTAAAGATGGGGATGTCTGGAGGTCCGTTTGGCCAGCAGTACGGTCAGTCCGGGGTGCAGCAGATGGGGGCCGCGGGGGTCAACGCCCAACAGCTCCAAAACAAGGCGACCCTTTCCAACAACCTGCCCCAATTCCCTACTGAGCTGAAGGGAGCTGGGAGTGTGCCAAACCTGGTGAGTGTCTTCTTGGATCTTATTCCTGTCCCTGGGAATATGCGTCTCTATTCACAATATCAATGTCGGGGTGGGGGGAGGGGGAAGACCGAGATTTGGAGCCGAAAAATAGGCTTGTGTATTAATCTCCATTGACAGCGGAGTGGATGACCAATGAGGGGTTTGTGGATGACCAATGAGGGGTTTGCAGACGTCATTTGGACGTTACTGACTGGATCTCAAGTTTGAGGGGCCCCAATGACTGCAACCCCCCGGGGGAAGCGTCAGCAATTGGATCTTGCGCACTTCTAACGCGCTGTGCCGCGCTGACGAGCCGCGGCCAAAGCTATAACGGCCACAATCGTAAACGGTGAAACGTGTCTTCTGCAAAGTATTTTTACCCCCCAACAAAACTTGGGTTGCATTCAAGTGTTCAAGCTGTGGTTTGCGACAAAGCATGGGCAATGTTAGCACGTGGTTGCTTTTTTTCTTTTTTTTCTTTCCCCTTTTTTTTAATACAAGAGATACAAAGATGGATTTCCATTTTGAGGTTCGTCTCAAATTTGGAAAGGCAGAAAACCCGTTGCACGCACAATTTAAACCGTCTGCTTTCCAGTCTCCGCAAAGACTATATACAGTAGTATTCTACAGTATTATTTGGGTATTATCCGTATGTCATCCTCATGTCAGTAAGGGGAACTACGGGCTCTGTCCAAACCATTTGCACCCACTGGAGTGAAGTGGTTTCAGTGCGTCTCCAATACTAACCCTGCTTATCTACGCCCTCAATCAGGCGTCAAGCCAGCCGATAAACGTTATCTGCATGAGCCCGTGTGGTACATATGGCTACAACAAATGATTGACACTGCTTTCAAAATGAAACCAAAAATGAATATTTGATTTGTGGAGGAGCAATGTATAAAGTCTGTACATTCTATTATTGTTGAACATTTTAGAATTTGAACTGTCAAGAACAGAGTGAGAGTCTTTTAAGGCGCAGCCCTGAGCTATGCAAATCAGTAGGAGAGGAAATGGGCCTAATTGGATCTTCATAGCTGTTGCTCCTCAACCAATTTGCTCTTCTTCTTATTAGTCTCCCTCAAATGTATTTTACATCTTTAGCATTTTAACAAAGCCATCTTGTCTCCACTTGGTTCTACGTCTTCATTTTCACTCCGTTATTTCTTTTTCCAACATCTCCAAACCCCTCCGGGACATCAGGTTTTTAGGTTTTTCCTACCTGGTGGAGGAAAATCCGATATTCTGTCCCTAACCTGTGTTTCTATGGCGATGGCCCGCAGATGCAGCAGCAGGTAGCGGCGGTGGGTATGGTCCCCGGGGCCGGTGGCGTGTCGACGGGCCCGACGGCCGACCCCGAGAAGCGCAAACTCATTCAGCAGCAGCTGGTCCTGTTGCTCCACGCACACAAGTGCCAGCGGCGGGAGCAGGCCAACGGGGAGGTGAGGGCCTGTACTCTGCCCCACTGCCGCACCATGAAGAACGTCCTCAACCACATGACCCACTGCCAGGCCGGCAAGTCCTGCCAGGGTGAGTGCAAAGGGATGCGATGACCAATCTAGCTTTGAATCCACGCGTTCCGTGTCTCTGCGGCGTCTTTTTGAATGTGGGACACGCAACGGGCCAACTGCGCTCGCTCACCGAGCCAACTCTTTTGCATGTAGTTATCTTTAGTCTATAAATCGCTGTGAGAATCTGACCAAGATGGGGACCCAGTTATGATTAATGTACAGATGAGTTTGCGGTCTGAGGAACCATGCCAGTGGTTTTACACACCACAGGAACAGCTCGGCAAACGCCGGTGATGGCTCGTTGTACTAAAAGCGCCCGTGGCCCCCAGCTCTTCATAGAGCACCAATCCTGTCCCTAGTGGAATTATTTAACGATATACAGAAATACTGTTACTGTATATGTGGCTGACGACCGGTGAACCCTCCTGACGCGATATGCTCCAAATGATTGACAACATCAGCCAACCTGAATTTAATCTTCTTTTAAACGGGTGTCATTGGGTTCATATTCCTTGTCTACGCTGGCGGCGAGCAGCTTCCCTCTGGCAGCTGCGGGGTTAGTGACGACGTCATCCAGAGTCGATACACTTTGAACTATGATATTTATATGTAATATGCTTAAACTAAATTAATTTATGGTTTTACGAGTATAATCCCATTTACATAGCTATTTGCACATTGTACTAAAGCAGTTCAAAATTACGTTTGTCATTGCACTGTATTTCAGGTTGACTGAATGACTGCTTAGTATGTTGTTCTTTACCGAGTCAGCATCCGTTGTGTATAATGTGGCGTAATATGAATTCAGTGCATTTTAGTATGTATTTAAATCCTTAACTTTTACGATGTCCCCTGGAAATTTATTACTGAATTCCCACACCTCACTCCGGGTCTCTGTTTCACTTTCCTTCCTCCCCAGTGGCTCACTGTGCATCATCCAGGCAGATCATCTCCCACTGGAAGAACTGCACGCGGCACGACTGTCCGGTCTGCCTGCCTTTAAAGAATGCAAGTGACAAGAGGAACCAGCAACGTGAGTGACTCCAGCCGATCCCCTTTGCTGTTATTAATTTACACATCCAGTATTACAAATGGTGTCGTCGTGGTGCAGGGGTTAGAGAAGGTGTGCTGGGAAGCACAAGGTTGGTGGTTCGATTCCAGGCTGCCCCATGTTCCATGTCGAAAGTGTCCCTGAGCAAGACACCTAACCCCTAATTGCTCCCCGGGCAAAAATGTGAAAAAAAGCCATGGGTTTAAAGTGTAATGTAAGTCGCTTTGGATAAAAGCGTCTGCTAAATGACCTGTAATGTAATGTAAATAGGCTGAAAGTTAAATTATATTGTAGCTTGATATTTGTTTTCATAAAATTAAGAAATATAAACGCTTCCATCTTGCAAACTGTTTATACAAGACAATTGTCACTCGGCAGAGAGCCTCAAGTTGGTGTATAAAGTGCTGCCACCTGCAGGCTGCGTCTCTGCCAAAGCTCTGTGCCGACCAGAGCGCCAACAGGGAGAGAATTCCTCTAGAAGGGCTGGACCTGTAACCTGACGCTGCGGGGAGGGGCTCCATGGCCTGCTATCAGTAGGGGCAGGGTCTTTGGACAGCGTGCTTCCTGATTGGCTGAAAGGGCCTATGACAGATTTAAATCCCCACAGAGGCAGCATGCTCCCTGTCAGCAATCAACACAGCAGGGAGCATGGCAGGGATTGGAAATTGAGGGAGGAAGCTCAGGAATGCATTCTTCTCTCACACAGAACATTTGTTTGTGAAATGTAATGTTTAAGGAGAAAAACAAATGTGTGTTTGTATTTTTAGAGTTCAACATTTATGTTTATTTATTTATTTATGCTTTGTTGTTGATCTACTTTGTACATACATTGATATATAAATATACAGAATTGCCAGTTATTCTAATTTGTTTTTTCAGATTTCTTAATTATTTGTCTTTCGTAGCGTATATATATATATATCAGTGTTTTGATGTTTACAAATGATGAAACTCTGGAAGCAGCTGTTGCTTCTCAATTCTGGCACTGTATTGGTTAAATGCTCTTTTTTTATTTTTGCCAAAAATTTTAACTTCCTTTACCTTGTCTTCTCCATCCAGCAATGCTAAGTTCTCCTGGCGCAAGCCTGCAGAGCGCCATCAGTACTGTGGGGCCTGGCCAGCCCAGTGCCACAGCCATCAACAGCGCTGCCACACACATCGACCCCAGCTCCATGCAGAGGGCCTACGCTGCCCTCGGCCTGCCGTACGGGAACCAGTCCCCTGCCCAGGGACATGGACCCCCTCAACATAACCCCCAGGGTCCCCAGCACCAGCAGCTGCGAAGTCTGAACCCACTAGGTATAACCTCGCACGGACCCCGCTGCCATTTTAGAAGTAGAAATGAGAATCGGCTATGTTTGTTGTCACACCCTTTTCTTGTAAACCCTCTGTAAAGACTATATGTGTTCATCAGGCACTAATCAGATGAACCAGCTGGCAGGAGGCATGGGTGTCCCCTCTGCAGACCAGGCCGGCATGCACTCCGACTCCTCGCTATCATCCACACTCAACAAGTGAGCCCTTTCATCCTTAATATGTCACGCGGAACACGGCCCCTGCTGGCTTGATCCTTGTGTGTGTGATGGAGCAGCCGGTTATTTCATTTATTAATGAGCATTATTTTGTAGATGACCGTTTCTTTCTGTCTTTCTAGTCAGTTGATGCCGGATGGGTCAGTCGTGGGAGGCATGGGAAACCTGCCCGCCGCCACCCCTCTCTCTTCTTCGGGGGTAAGGAAGGCCTGGCATGAACACGTCACTCAGGACCTGCGCACCCATCTGGTGCACAAACTGTAAGTCCACAAATTGAAACGGTCTTGTTCTAAACACTCTGATTCTGTCATATGAAAACAGAAACAGAAGTTGGTGTCCTCCTTACTGATGCTGCGTTGTGTCTGCTGTCTTTCTTCTTCAGTGTACAAGCCATATTCCCCACCCCAGACCCTGCAGCGCTGAAGGACCGGCGAATGGAGAACCTGGTGGCGTACGCACGCAAGGTTGAGGGCGACATGTACGAGTCGGCTAACAGCAGGGTAACTAATATACTAATAATACTTATATACTAATATAAGTGATCGCACCATTATGACCAGAGGGACAAGAGCAATATTTGTCTATTCGCTATGAGATGAGAGTACTATAACATCATTTAAGGCTTAACTGTTTCTTTTCTGTTTTCTTTTTCTTTCCACTTACTAGGATGAGTATTACCACTTCCTGGCAGAGAAAATCTACAAAATCCAGAAGGAGTTGGAGGAAAAGAGGCGCTCACGCCTGCAGAAACAACCTGGCATGGTGGGCACAGCTGGGCCTCAACAACCTGGAATGGCTCAGTCCAACGCCATGGGCCCTGGACAGGGGGTCCGGTCTCCCAGTAAGTACCCAAACTCTCTAAACTATGGCTGACAAAATGTAAAAGGGGCAAGGGGATTACTAGCGAACTGGTCTGCAGTTCTCAGTTTATAAAAGTACAAAGCAACTCTGTTACCGAAAGCAGGTTAAATGAATGAACGTTTTTTTATCCTTTCTTCTCTCAGATGGACCCGTGCCTATGCCCAACATGCCCAGTCAGATATTGAATCGTATGCAGGCTGCCCAAGGTTGGTGTTTATTAAGTCATTCTGAGGGAAAAGCTACGCTAATGTTAAGATGTTGAGCCCGTTTAACCAGTTAAAGCTTAATACGTTAAAACGAGCTGATGTTAAGATGTTGAGCCCGTTTAACCATTTAAAGCATAATACGTTAAAACGAGCTGATTTTGAGCCCGTTTAACCAGTTAAAGCATAATACGTTAAAACGAGCTGGTTCAGGGCCGTTGCCAACTCACTAGGAGGAGGATTATTAAATTACAACTCCTAAGTACGATAAACCAGTGCATAATGCTGCGTATCTGTTCCCACAGGAATCAATCAGTTTAACCCAATGGCAATGCAGAATGCGCAGATGTCTCAGGCACCTATTGGAGCACGTGCTCCCTCCCCCATGAACCATCCACAGCAAATGAACATGAGCTCCGTCCCAACGGTTAGATCTTTCTCCTATGTCTCCTTTCCATGTTTCTTCCCTCGTTTTTCTTATCTTGTTTGTTTGTGGAGTCATTCAGGAATCAGGAAACATTTATTACCAAAATATGCCAAACATACAAGGAATTTGTCTTGGCGGTTGGTGCGCGACAGTAGACAGTGTGACAATAGACAAGACAGCAGTGCACAAGTAATAAAATAAAGTAAAATGAAATGCTCCACCCTTTGCTCCTCTTGACTATCAAATGCCCTACGCTATTTCACTGTTCATTTTATAGTCTGTTACTGTTTTGACACAACAGAATCGGTATGGAGTTCTCTGTATGTCCTGATCAACCGGCCAACCTCTTGTCGCCACGCTGTCTTCTGATGCACCACATTTTTCATTTGATCATGATTACATCAGTTTCATCTCTGTGGTCTTTCTCAGATGGGCATGTCCCCGTCAAGGATGCCTCAGACTCAAGGAATGATGGGTAGTCACGCTAACAACATGGTGGCGCATCAGGCCAATCAGGGCCAGTTCCTTCAACAGGGCCAGTTCCCTGCTGCTGCAGGCGGAGCAATGAATGTAGGCTTGGGTCCGCCCATAACGCAGGCTGCTGTCACACAGGTGAGGACATTTATGCTGCGCTTTGGGCTCCTAGCGTTGTCGGGGCCCCCCAGCATTTGTCTTGTCTGCACGTTGCCAGCTTTGTGAGTGGTGTGTACTGGTGTGCTAATGCGCGCATCCCTCTCTGACCCCTGCAGCCACAGAACTCTAACATCCCTCTGAATGCGCTGGGAGCTCACGGCCCCCAGCTGCCCTGTGGCCCCGCGGCCCAGCCTCCCCTTGGCGCTACACCTCCACCCAGTGCCTCTGCCAGCCTGCAGCAGCTGCAGCAGCACCTCGCTTCTGCACAGGCCCAAGTGCCACCCCGGCCCACTACCCCCGCCTCCACCGGTGGGCCCTCTTCCACCCCGACCCACATCCCCAGTAGCCTCCATGGCCCCCCCTCAGCTAAGGGCACACCTAACCCCTCCCAGCCGAACACACCCCTGCAGCTGCAGACAGAACCCCCCAGCCAAATGCAGCAGCCCACCTCAGTGCAGGCACAGCACCCCAGCACACCGGTGAGCGCACTGGTTGTCATGTCAAACAAACCATAGAGCCTTAAGGGTCGGGGATCACTGAATGGTGATCCTCGACGTGCTCGTGAACCAATGTGACTATTATCAGAACTGTGATGACATTTTCTCTTCCTCCTCTCCTTGAAGTTGTCTCAGGCAGCAGCGAGCATCGATAACCGAGTGCCCACCCCAGCCTCTGTGGCTGAGCTGAGCTCCCAGCAGGCGCTGCCGGACACGGGCAGCGCTGAAGCCAAACTTGAAGTAAAAGACGAAGAAGACGACGACGACGACAACAAGTCTGGAAAGAAGCAGCCAGATGTGAAAATGGAGGTGTGTTGTGATTTATAAGAAGCACACTCGTGTCTCCTGTCAATCAGACTAGAAGACATTAGCTGTTTGATCTGCTTTGCAAACTCAGTCCACCACACCCAATACTGCACAATATCATGTCCAAAAAAGTTTAAAAAAAGAATAAACAAGTTAAAGGTATTTTATACTTGATTGTTTCCGGACTCGCTACTGTAGGAGAGCGTATTAACTCTTGGTCAACGTATGTTGATATGGCAGGATGATGAAACCAAACCCCTGCTGGCTAAGAAGGAGGAGCCAGATGCAAAAGAGCCAAAGCAGGAACCGATGGAAACTGAGATAAAGAAGCTGGAAATAAAGACAGAACCCAAAGACGAGGAGGAAAGTGGGGCCAACGGCACATCCAGCAGCTCCAGCCCTCAGAACCGAAAAAAGAGTAAGAGCACCTAAATCGATTGTAGACAGCAATGTGTTACCAGTATGTAACAAGATCTTGTGTCACGGCACTAAAATAACGCGTTTTAATATCAAGTCAATGTTTTTCTTACAAACCAAGTGCGTGTACAGATACTTGTAACCACTCCTGTATGTCGTTTGCGTCGCATAACATTGTTACTGTCTGTCCAGTTTTCAAGCCAGAGGAGTTGAGACAAGCCTTAATGCCAACACTGGAGGCTCTCTACAGGCAAGACCCAGAGTCACTACCCTTCAGACAACCTGTAGACCCCATGCTACTCGGCATCCCTGTGAGTGTCCACGATAGCACTAACGCGTACAATAGTTCTTAACCTGCAAGTCCCACAAAAAGAAAACCTATTCAGCTTGATTTCCTCATTCTCAAATGTGCTTCTCCTGCTTTACAGGACTATTTTGATATTGTGAAGAATCCCATTGACTTGTCTACCATCAAGCGCAAGCTGGATACGGGTCAATACCAGGAGCCGTGGCAGTATGTGGACGATGTGTGGCTCATGTTCAACAATGCCTGGTTGTACAACCGCAAAACATCCCGCGTCTACAAGTACTGCACCAAGTTGGCAGAAGTGTTTGAAGCAGAGATCGATCCCGTCATGCAGGGCTTGGGCTACTGCTGCGGCAGGAAGGTGAGACCCAACGAGATGGGAATTTAACACCAAACTCTGCCTACTATGTCCATCTAGTCCTTTCACATTACCTCTACCTGAATGTGGATGCAGACGTGAGCGCAACCTGTTTGCAACAATGACATGAAGGTCAACGTTCTCTCCTATGTGTCCACAGTATGAGTTCTCACCCCAGACGCTGTGTTGCTATGGCAAACAGTTGTGTACCATTTCCAGGGACGGCACCTACTACAGCTACCAGAACAGGTAAAAGTGTGATGCTTTTATGAAGCCATTCAAGTCAACAACGCTAAGAGGACCTTCTGGCCGAGCAGAATGTGCATCATCTGGTTCCGTGTTGTCCTCGTATGTCTGCTCGTATGAACCGGACCCAAAGCTCCCCCTGCTGTGCAGAAATGCTACTGCACCTCAAATCAATCTAATGCAACACCATTCAATTATTGCAGCTACTCGCTATGACAGAAACTTTATAAGAATTATGCTGTTTTAGGAGGAGAATTGTATCGCCGTAAGTTCCCAAAGAATTAATACAGAAATACCTTTGACTTAAATATGGCCTTGTTGCCCACAGGTATCACTTCTGTGAGAAGTGCTTCAACGAGATCCAGGGCAACAGCGTGACCCTTGGAGATGACCCGGCACAGACGCAGACGTAAGTTACCAGGCCCGAACACCACCTGAGGATCATCTCGCAACAAACGTTTTTGTGTGGTTTCATCACAGGACCAAACTTGAACCTGGTTGTCTTTTCTTTTTGTTGTTGTGCAGCATGATATCAAAAGAGCAGTTTGAAAAGAAGAAAAATGACATGTTGGACCCTGAACCGTGAGTAGTAGTAGTTGAATTTGACTCTGGTTGATGTTGTGGCAGTGACTTTCCTACTTTTGGCATGGAAAGACCCAAATAAAATGAAACCTTTGTCCTTGCCAGGTTTGTTGAATGTAAAGACTGTGGACGAAAGATGCATCAGATCTGCGTGCTGCACTACGATGTTATTTGGCCAACAGGGTAAGTCTCTCTGCAGCTTGTTTGACAACTATCCAGCCAGTTACACATGCTGTCCATGTTCTACCTCAACATAATTTTATCTTCCAGACTACAGAACTCTTAATTGTTTGTGCACGTGGATGCTAAACTGCTGTCTAACCTTACATTCTTCTAGCTTTATCTGTGACAACTGTCTGAAGAAGTCTGGCAAAACAAGAAAGGAGAACAGGTTTTCAGCCAGAAGTAAGTTGAATGCATGGCATGGTAACAGAACAGTAACATCAAATGTCATTATAACCTTTGAATGATATTAAGTGCATTTTGTTCTTGTGTCTGCGCTGGCCTTTGTAAAGGGCTGCAATCAACCAGGTTGGGAACGTACATCGAGGACAGAGTGAACAAGTACTTGAAAAGGCAAAACCATCCTGAGGCTGGCGAGGTGTTTGTCCGGGTGGTAGCCAGCTCCGACAAAAATGTGGAGATTAAGCCTGGCATGAAGTCTAGGTAAGGTTCTCACCTGCAGACGGTCTCACCTGAGAAGGGCTTTCATGATTCGCAAAACATTAGTTAAACGTGGAATAATATACTTATAATCTAGGTTTTTATTGTATGGCTGATTTTTTTTTTAAATTCAAGCTCAGTTGGAGACGTTTGGCATTTTAGTCTAAATTTGACACAGCGTAGAGGTGACAGAAAATGAGAGGAGACAAAGGGGATGACATGCAACGTCTCGCTGAACTGGAACTCGCCACCAGGACACATCCACACAATGTCGCTTCATTGTGTAAATAAACTCTTAATTGTGGTGACCTTCTCCTGCTGAACGTATGAATATATATCGCTGAATAAGCAAACAAACATGAAAGACCTGAGCATGGATATGATCCCTCTGTAAAATATGCAAATTGTTCTAGAAAAAAAAAAAAAAAAAACTCCAAGTTGACCTTTGCCTCTGTTCCCTTAGGTTTGTGGACTCAGGCGAGATGGTGGAGACTTTCCCTTACAGAACCAAAGCACTTTTTGCATTTGAGGAAATAGACGGGGTCGACGTTTGTTTCTTTGGGATGCACGTTCAGGAGTACGGCTCAGAGTGCCCCTTTCCAAATACCAGGTAGAACGACAGAAAAAAAGACCCCAACATGATTCAGCATGCTGCTTTCCTCAGTTTATTTTGGTGTTCTGTGCGTGTTGCCCTTTGATGATATTCTCATTTTCTTTGCAGGCGGGTTTACATATCATACCTCGACAGTATTCACTTCTTCAGGCCACGTGTGCTAAGGACTGCAGTTTACCATGAGATCTTAATAGGCTACCTGGAGTATGTGAAGAAACTGGGGTAGGTTGAGAGTAACTTTACACTGTGTAGCCTCCACAAGTTTCAGCTAGTGCTGCGATTATAATTCTTGCAAGTGGATGAAAGCTCTTGTTGCCCTCAGGTATGTGATGGGTCACATCTGGGCCTGCCCACCCAGTGAAGGAGATGACTACATTTTTCACTGCCACCCTGTTGACCAGAAGATCCCAAAGCCCAAGAGGCTCCAAGAGTGGTACAGAAAGATGCTGGACAAGGCTTTCGCTGAGAGGATCTTGCACGATTACAAGGTCAGTAAAGGGTTACATCATCACGCCTTTGTGACTGCCGGGGGATTCCTCAGTTATGCCTTACAGTATTATTCTATAGATTTTACTTTAAATAACACTAATTAACTCATGAGTAAACTCCACAGTTGGTGTAAAGTACCAGCCTGATTATCAAACTGTTTAGGTTTATAAGTATTTTTTTATCTTGATCATTTCTATTAATTAATTATTTACTGTTGGCTATGAAATTATTCTGTTTGCTATTGTCGCTTTAACCGTATTAACAAGATTCATAAAAAGATGGTTTACAGTGGCCAATGCTTGAAGATGTAATGAAATATATACATGGAACAAATGTATTATCATTAACTTTATTCTGTAACAGTCACATCAAAAATGAAGTAATCCGATAACCAAATATCAGTTATACATTTTGAAAAGTAAACCCTGTCAACCCTGGTGATGAATTGTCTAATGAAGTAGTCTTAATTATTAATTGTTTGTATTAGATAACACAAAAAAGCATAATACAATGGGAATTGATTGAAGTTAGCAATACTTATTATCTTTAATAGTATTTAAAGTATTAGTGTTGTCAGTAAGGCCCTGTTCTTTATCGTATTATTGATGCTCTGTCTCCCGTCCTAAAGCGTGTAGTAAAGCAGGGCTCCCCCTGGTGTTTGACACATCAAAAAACTACAACCGTAATCTATAGTTTAGACTTTTTTTTTCCTTTAGACATAATTACGAGAAAATCCTGTCAATTTTCAATATTTTTCAGAAAGAAAAAAAAAATCTTTCTGTGGTTGTGGATCACTATCTTTACTGTATGGGGCCCACATTTATTTTTCTTCTCCACTTGTAATGGTCATTTCGCATTGGAATTGGTCTTCAAAAGCTGTTAATAGTTCTGAATTGTACTTAATGAAACTCGCAGACGTGTTCTATAAGAGTTGTTACTCTCCTGCCTGATGGACGTCTTGTGTTGGGGTTCAGGACATTTTCAAACAGGCAACCGAAGACCGGATAACCAGTGCCAATGAGCTGCCCTACTTTGAGGGTGACTTTTGGCCTAATGTACTGGAGGAGAGCATCAAGGAGCTGGAGCAGGAGGAGGAGGAGAGGAAGAAGGAGGAAAACACGGCCTCCACTGAGACACCAGAGGTGAGTTGGATTGAGCACGTTGAAAGCTTTTTTTCTTTTTAAAGGAACGCTCTTGTTATGCCAAAACCAACAGCCTTGTGCTACGACCTCAGTTTCAATCCAGATTGTATCATCCTAAAGTGCTTATTATATAAAAGCTTGCATTTTACGATTTACTGCATTACACCGTCTTGTCTGTTGTGCAGCTTTTGTGAACCTTCATGTTAATCTTATTTCAAGGGGGCCCAAGCTGACAGCAAAAATGCCAAAAAGAAGAATAACAAGAAAACCAACAAAAACAAGAGCAGCGTCAGCCGAGCCAATAAGAAAAAGCCCGGAATGCCGAACGTAGCCAATGACTTGTCCCAGAAGCTCTACGCCACCATGGAGAAACATAAGGAGGTGTGAGACTAAACTGGTCATTTCGAACTCTTGAGACTATTAAGCCAAGCTGGTAGGTTTAAACATGTTTCCTCCTTCCTGCAACCAGGTGTTTTTTGTGATCCACCTGCATGCCGGGCCAGTCGTTAATACCCTGCCACCCATCATGGACCCGGACCCTCTGTTGACCTGTGACCTGATGGATGGGCGGGATGCCTTTCTGACTTTGGCCAGGGACAAGCACTGGGAGTTCAGCTCACTGAGAAGATGCAAATGGAGCACGATGTGCATGTTGGTTGAGCTGCACAACCAAGGCCAGGACCGCTTTGTGTACACCTGCAATGAGTGCAAGCACCACGTAGAGACTCGCTGGCACTGCACCGTCTGTGAGGTAGGAATCATGCCACTACCCATACAATTAGTTTAAGTGGTCTGTATTAGTTCTAAATTAAATGTGAATCCTAACATCATCTTAATGTGGTCTTCCTTGTCTTTCATCAGGATTATGACCTATGCATTAACTGCTACAACGCTAAGGGCCACGAGCACCAGATGGTTAAGTGGGGCCTCGGTCTGGACGACGACAACGGGCAGGGTGGAGAGGCCTCCAAGAGCCCGCAGGAGAGCCGCCGCCTCAGCATCCAGCGCTGCATCCAGTCCCTGGTCCATGCCTGCCAGTGCCGCAATGCCAACTGCTCTCTTCCTTCATGCCAGAAGATGAAGCGGGTGGTTCAACACACCAAAGGCTGCAAGCGCAAGACCAACGGTGGCTGCCCCGTGTGCAAGCAACTCATTGCTTTGTGTTGTTATCACGCAAAGCATTGTCAGGAGAACAAGTGTCCTGTTCCCTTTTGCCTCAACATCAAGCACAAACTCCGTCAGCAGCAGCTGCAGCACAGGCTCCAGCAGGCTCAAATGATGCGCCGGAGGATGGCCACCATGGCTGGAAGGGGTATGCCCATGCCGTCTCCACCTACTTCAGCTGGCCCCGACACCCCCAACTCTGTGCAGCAGCCTAATACACCACAGACCCCCCAGCCCATGCCCAACCAGCCCCAACAACAACAACAGCAGCAGCAACAGCAGCCACCAAACCCTGCCAATATGTCCCAAGGCTTCCCCAACAATGGCCGCAGCAGCCAGCCCCCAACACCAGTGCCGCAGGGCAAACCAGGGCCTCAGTCATCCCCTCTTCATCAGCAGGCGTCGCCACTGCCTAACATGCCACAGCAGCAACAGCAACATCATCAACAACAACTACAACAACAATTGCAGCAACAGCAACTACAGCAGCAACTACAGCAGCAACATCAACAGCAACAGCAACATCAACAACAGCAGCAGCAGCAGCAGCAACAACAACAACAGCAGCAACCACTGCTGGCAGCACTGAAGGTGGCCAAACAGATTCAGATGGTAGCCAAGGCGAAGCATCAGCAACAGCAGCAGCAGCAGCAGCAGCAGCAACAGCAACAACAACAACAGAATTATGCTATGAATGGGATGCCCATGAACCACACTCGAATGATGGGGCCTATGCCGGGTCAGATGCAGATGATGCAGGGACCACGGGGCCCCCAGGTGATGCAGGCTATGCAGCAGAGCCAATGGGGTCCAGGGATGCAGAACCCCATGCAGAATTCCCAGGGTCATCAGCCACAGGTACCTTCTCAACATGGCCCTTTGGCCCCTCAGCAGGCTCAGGGGACTCCCATGCCCCAGCAGAACCAGCTTATGCAGAGGCCCATGATGCCTCAGCAACAAGTTCTCCAAATGCCTGGAGTCATTCCTCCACAGGGGCCTTCACAGCAAGGAATGCCACCACAGCAGCAACGGGGGATTCCTGGTAACATTGCTCCGAGTGCCCTGCAGGACCTACTGCGCACCCTCAAATCTCCCAGCTCCCCGCTGCAGCAACAGCAGGTCCTCAACATCCTCAAGTCCAACCCCCGCCTCATGGCCGCTTTCATTAATCAAAGGACAGCCAAGTATCAGGCCACCCAACAGCAGCAGGCGCAGCAGCAGAGCGCACAAGCCATGTCACAGACGGGAATGCAGACCATGGCAGCCATGGCTAACCAGGTGCAGAGGCCAGTGATGGCACCTCAGCAGCCTCAACAGCCAGGGTCCCAGGGCATGGCAACCATGGTCCCCCAAGGCCAGATGATGAATGCTGCTCAAAACGGCAATTCCCCACTGTACCGCAGGCAGCAGGCGCTCAGGGGGCCGATGCAGCAGCAGCAACAGGGAGGGATGCCTCAGGGCCACGGTCAGTTCCCCCAACAGCAACAGACGGGGCCCGCAAACTACTCTCAGCTCCGCATGCAGCAGCAAATGGTTATGCAAGGTGGTGGGGGACCCATGGGGCCGATACCTCCCGCATCTCAAATGGGTCAACCTGGCATGGGCATGGACGGGCCCCAGAACCACATCCAGCAGCGCATCCTTCAGCAGCAGCAGCAACAGCAGATGTTAAAGCAGCAGATGGGCTCTCCGGCACAGGCCAACTCGATGAGTCCACAGCCTCACATGCTCCAAAGCCAAGGCCAGGGAGGAGCTCACTTACCTGGCAAGACAATGGCAAACACCCTGGGAAACCAAGTGCGCTCCCCAGCCCCAGTGCAATCTCCCCGTCCGCACTCGCAGCAGCCCCCGCATTCCAGTCCCTCCCCGAGGATACAGCCCCAACCCTCACCCCAACACGGCGCCCAGCACTCCAGCTCTCCACACCCGAGCCTTGGAGGCCCAATGTCGGGCTCCATGGAGCAGAGACACATGGGAACGCCAGAGCAGAGCGCCATGCTCCCGCAACTCAACACACCAAACAGAGGAGGGTTGAGCAATGACATGGTTATGGGGGGTGACGCGACGGGAGACACGCTGGAGAAATTTGTTGAAGGATTGTAGCATTTTGGGACAGAAGAAAGGCCTTGTTCTGTTTTCAACTGAGAATGTTTTGTACTTGCCGGTGTAAAAAGCTAAAATAAATACAAACAAATGAGTCATACGAGGCCTACAGACTGTGAACTTTCCTTAAACCAAGGGACTGCTTTTTCTTCCAACACAGTGCGAGTGATTTAATACTTGCTGTTGAAAAGAAGACAACAAAGACACAAAGAATATATTTTTTGGTTCAGACCAGCCATGCAAGAATTTGCCCTGGTCTTGGTGTTGTTTTAATTTTGTTTTTCATTTGTTATGCTCTGGTATTGACTTTTTTAACAAAACTTCTCAAAACAAAAAATGTTTTTTTTTATTTTGTACCTTTTCAAATTAATATGATATTTGTGTTGAGAAGACTGTAAAATTATTTGTCTGGAATTTGTTTTGCCAGATTTCACCTCTTGCTCAGTTTCTCTGTTCCTGGATAATTTATTCTAATATGCCATTTTTCAAAAGGACTGCCTTTGGGAAAGCCTTAATTTCTTTCCTGTTTGCAGAGTCTATGGGAGATAAATGTATTTGTATAGATCTAGGAACTATTGCACACACCCAAACACAAAAGGCAGGTCTAAGAGAAACCTGTCTTGAAGCTTGTTAATGTTCACAGGTGCCGGAATGTTCTTTTTAGGCCTGGGCCCAGTATTTGTCTTGCTTTGTCTTTCCTGCAGGCAAAAGAAATTTTCATCAAGTCTTGAACCTCTTTTGACTGTGTTGGGAAATTAACTTGTCTGACTTCTGATTTGTGTTTAGAGAGGGTTTTGTGCATCATTTTCTCACTTGCATTAAACTTGAATTGATGATGAACTATCTCTAATGTAAATCATGCAGCTAGACTGTAAATATGCAGAAAATAAGAATGAAATCACTGTACAAACTGGTTCAAATGGCTCATTTCGTACTTATATACCATATTGTTAAATAAACCTGTGTGCCACAGACTTTGTTTCTCTTGTTTCTCTTTGGAAAGTGCTGTTCTGTTAGGATCTAGTCAGTCGTTGCGGGCGGAGAGACCGACGGGGGTTGTAGTCGCGCGCTCTGTGTTCGCTGGTCGGCGAAACTGCCGTGCACGGTAAAAGGACAAGAAAAACGCCTGGTGAAGCGTGGGGAATATGTCAGAGGGACGAGCGCACATAATTAGGAGAAATTCCGGTCAATTTTCAAAATAAAACATTTTCAGTGGTTGGGGACCACTGCATTAGATCATTTGCTTTTGATCGGGCAGTGTGATGGACGCCCCGGTGACGTCATTTCAAAGCGCGGTCGCGGGTCTTGACTGTGCGGTGCTCGTCCGGCGTGTGTCCCACGGTCAATCGAGCTGTCTCCTGTCCCCTGCTCGCCTGTCATCATGTCCCGCTGCCTCGCGCTGGCTCGGTTCGCCTTGGGTTCCTCTCACAGGGTCGATTCCCCAATAAAGTTGTGTGCGCGAGGGCTGAGTAGCCGAGTTACCTCGCGCTCCTTAACGGGAGGTAAGCTGCGTTTCTGAGCTAAGCTAAAGCGGCTAGCTGACTTTAAGAGCATAGCCAATGTTACCTGAACGGTTGCTCAACGCTTTGTTTACCAGCCTGCTGTCTAATAAAATGGTAGCCCATTTGGAATTTCCCACGTTAATTTAAATCAAGGGTTTGCTCAACTATTGCCTCATTAAATGATACTAAGATGAATGTTTTGAGTTAATTTGATTAAAATGTGTCATGACCATATAGTTATGTCTGCTGAGGTGGATGCTGTGATCACACACCTGCTTTCAGCAAAGAGATGCGTTGCTGACATGCGCACTGCAGCCCAAGCAGCTGACTCTTGTCATCAGACCTGCAGGTCGGGCAGCAGCAGCAGCAGCAGCGGCGGTGGTGGAGCAGCAGTCGGCCCGCAGCGTGGAGCTGCCAGCGGTCCTCGGTCCCAGGCTTCAGCCAGCAGTCCTCCTACAGCACCCAGGAGGCTGAGAAGGAGCCCGAAGAGGAGCCTCTGCACACCATCATCAGTGACACGGAGTCTGTTCAAGGTGCTGCAGCGACTGCAGACGCACTTCTGCTTTCTTTTCGCGCTTTCTGATTTAAATGATGACTGCATCTTACTCTTTCCCTGCAGGGAGCTTGTCCAAACATGAATTTCAGGCTGAGACCAAAAAACTTTTGGACATTGTCGCCAGGTCCTTGTACTCGGAGAAAGAGGTTCGTATGTGAGTGTGAGTCACAGATTGTTTATTTATTACTTGGCACACTGACTTTTTTTAATGAACTACCACCTCTCTTCGTCCCGCCAGGTGTTCATCAGAGAGTTGATCTCCAACGGCAGCGACGCTCTGGAAAAACTGCGCCACAAACTGATGACCGCAGGTGGAGAAACCGCTCAGATGGAGATCCACCTGCAGACTGATGGTGCCAAGGGCACATTCACAATTCAGGTACACCCATGACTGTGTAAAAGTCCACATACAATATGGTCATGGTCATTAATTTTCTTAACATTTACAAACCGCAACACCGATGTTTAAACGGATTCTGCTGTCTTGTTCTCTGCCGGCTTGTGGGATGAGATCTTAGAGCTGGCACCAAAATTATGATTTCACTTTTTCCTACTGACAAACTCCCCCTCATTTTAAAAAAGAAAGAATGTAGGCTGAGAAATATGTCCACCAATATTTTCATAAGTTAAAAAGGAAAATGTGGCCACAGCATAAATTGGTAGGAGTAAGAGAAATTGGGACACAACGCAGTTTCCTCATTGTTACTCTTAAACCTTTGGAGAGACACGGTCTTATAAAACCCAAATCCGGTGGATAAATATATCATATTCACAAGTGAATAAACCCGCCTTTTCACTCTCATTTCACCATAAGCGATCAATGCAAAGCACCCCATGAAAGTTTTATCCGTAAAAATGAGCCGGCTGATCGGTGGTTCTTTAAGTTGAATCCTGAAAACGAGGTTGATTGTTAATGTCATTTAAAGGTCATAGTTATGGTAGTTTGTCCTCAGTGTGCTGAGCTGTGAGTCAATGAAGGGCAATAATGCGAAGTGGCCAGCGCCTCTTTCACGCCCGCTTTGGTGTAAATGCAACTTTAATACTGGGCTCCAGGTTACTTCATTGAAAATGTGCTTCTGGTGAACTCAGGTCTGACTTTGAGATAGATGCCACCTGGTGGATGAATATTGTACAACAAGCTGTGGTGACTTGAATGAATAAATTCTGTGTACTTCTAACAGGACACGGGAGTGGGAATGAACAAAGAGGAGCTGGTAGCCAACCTGGGGACCATCGCCCGCTCCGGATCCAAGGTGATGCTCTCTCACCGGCTTGTGTGGCCATCGTGATTTTATTCCTATGAATGTCACACACGACTCTGTATCTATAACGCATCCTCTCTTTGCCGCACTGCAGGACTTTCTGGATGCCCTGCAGAACCAGGCGGAGGCCAGCGGCAGCATCATCGGTCAGTTCGGGGTGGGATTCTATTCGGCCTTCATGGTGGCCGACCGCGTGGACGTCTACTCTCGGTCCGCTGAGCCTGACGCGCCTGGATACAAGTGGTCCTCAGACGGGTGAGAGAGGGGGAAGGGATGGTGGTCAACGGCAAGAGTAGGGAACTGCAGCTAACCATTATTTTGATAATCGATGAACCGGTCGATTATTTTTTCGATGAATCTTATAAAAAAAAAAACACACACAAAAATACTTCAGAAAGTCCAAAAAATGGTTTCTCCTTGAACATAATAATAATTTATAAAAAGTAAAAAATGCAAATCAGAAAACTTAACAGGATTTGTTTTAGCGCGCACACTCATGTTCACTTGAAGCATATTCATTTAATTATTACCAAGTTAAGTAAATCTAAATACAGCTAAAAAATAGCTGCTAGTGCTATGAGATGAGTTTAAAATGGCATTAAAAAGTACAACACACACAAATGCTTGTCAACATTAACCGATATGGGACGAAGCACAAAATATATACGTAACAACAGATTGAAAAATGAATGGTCCAAAGAAAATTAAAAACAGGTCTTCAGTCAGCTGCTGGCTGCTCTTTCCTCTACGTCAGCTCGGCTCTTTCTTTTGTGCTCCGCGCGCATCTCCGCCAGTCGAGTGTGACTCAATAATTGCAAATCGATAATGATAATGAAAACACTTTTAATGATTGTTTTTTTTTGGCGATTTCATCGATTCGTTGTTGCAGCCCAACGCCAAGAGTAACGTTTCCTCAATGTGCAGCAGAACAAAATGTGTACATAAACATCTGTGTCATGGCTGTAACCATGACCGTCACACATTCCTGTTCTTCTTCAGCTCTGGAGTTTTTGAGATCGCTGAAGCCAGCGGCGTTCAGCAGGGAACAAAGATCGTGCTTCACCTCAAAGACGATTGCAAGGAGTTTTCCCTTGAGGACAGAGTTAAAGGTACAACTGCTGCAGCAATTTAAAACGCGGTACATCCGCATCCCCCCCCCCCCTGCGTGCGCTTACAAACACGTCATCTGTGTGTCTTTCAGAGGTCGTGACGAAGTACAGCAACTTTGTCAGCTTCGCCATCTTCCTGAACGGACGGAGGCTCAACACTCTGCAGGTGAGCCGCTCAGTGGTTCTTCATCCAGCGACTCGTAGGATAAGTGCAAAGTGGCCGGTGTGAATCGGACAGTGGGGGAAGTTCTACATAAAAACGTAATCTGGAAAGTGTCATCATTTGTTAACGCACGAATCGTCGGGTGGTCTCTTTTTTTTCCGTCAGGCCTTGTGGATGATGGAGCCCAAGGAGATCAGTGACTGGCAGCACGAGGAGTTCTACCGCTACGTCGCTCAGGCCTACGACAAGCCGCGCTACACGCTGCACTACCGCGCCGACGCCCCGCTCAACATCCGCAGCATCTTCTACGTCCCCGACTCGGTGAGCGGCCCAGCGCGGCGGCAAACGCTACGTTTCCCCGCTCGGCTAATCTGGTTCTTCTCCTCACTGCGAATGAATTATCCGTCAACAGAAGCCGAGCATGTTTGACGTGAGCAGGGAGATGGGCTCCAGTGTGTCTCTGTTCAGCAGGAAGGTTCTGATCCAGACCAAAGCCACTGACATCTTACCCAAGTGGCTTCGCTTCCTCCGAGGTCTGACACCCCACCTCCCCCCCCACCTCTCACACACACTCCGGTGGTGGAGTTGCTTGTTTTAGCTCTACTGTTTTGAAATGAATGATTTTTAAAAAGTGCTTTTACTGTTTCAGTGCTGAGCAGCTAACTGTACGTGTGTGTGTGTGTGTGTAGGTGTGGTGGACAGCGAGGACATCCCGTTGAATCTGAGCAGAGAGCTGCTGCAGGAAAGCGCCCTCATCAGGTACAACACGTGTCTGTGTTTAACCACGTCCCTTCTTCAGACCTTTTTGTTTAGCTTTTTCTCCAGGAGCACTTCTCAGGTCTCTAACTGAACTCCAATATCATTTGTGTACCGTTGCGTCTGTCTTCAGGAAGCTGCGTGACGTTCTGCAGCAGAGGGTGATCCGCTTCCTGCTGGACCAAAGCAAGAAGGAGCCGGAGAAGTACAACACCTTCTTTGAGGACTACGGTCTGTTCATGAGGGAGGGCATCGTCACCACCCAGGAGCAGGACGTCAAGGTGACTTCCAGAGTTCCAGAGAACTTATTATAGCAACCATATGCTATCTGGGATACAGTTGCATTACTGTTGGACCCCTCTCTCTCTCTCTGCACAGGAGGATATTGCTAAGCTGTTGAGGTTTGAGTCTTCAGCTCTGCCAGCGGGTGAGCGCACCAATCTCATGGAGTACTCGTCCCGTATGAAGGCGGGAACGCGCAACATCTACTACCTGTGTGCGCCCAACCGCCATCTTGCAGAGCACTCTCCCTACTATGAGGCCATGAAACAGAAGGACATGGAGGTAAGGGGAAGAAAAATCACGTCCGTCACTTTAAAACCTGAACTTTCACGTACTGAGTCAGTTTGCTTGATATTTATTTATAGTTATTGGTCTGCAGCTGATGCTCTCGTGTCCGTACAGGTGCTTTTCTGCTACGAGCAGTTCGACGAGCTCACCCTGCTCCACCTCCGCGAGTTTGACAGCAAAAAGATGATCTCGGCGGAGACGGACATCGTGGTGGATCACTACAAAGAGGAGAAGTTTGAAGACACCAAGCCCGGTGCGCTCCGCTCTCGGCTCTCCGGCGCAGCAGGACCGTCGTCGCGGCTCTCAGTGTTCAATGTCGCCTTTTCTCTTTCCCCGCAGCCTCCGAGCGTCTGACGCAGGATCAGGCCGACGACCTGTTGTCCTGGATGAAGAACGCTTTGGGCCCCCGAGTCACTAACATAAAGGTGGCGATGAGACCAACGTGCCTGTCGTAGCCTCGAGTGGTGTTTTTGTCTTATGTGGCCTTAAAAAATGCATCTTTGCACCCGTAGTTGACTCCTCGGCTGGACACCCACCCGGCTATGATCACAGTGTTGGAAATGGGTGCTGCGCGCCACTTCCTCCGCACCCAGCAGCTGGCTCGCACCCCCGAGGAGAGAGCTCAGATTCTGCAGCCCACACTGGAGATCAATGCAGGGTGAGAGAGAGTGTGGTGTGAGCTTTACAAGATTGAATAAAGTAAAAGCAGTGTGCATTTGTGTGTGTGCAGCTCTCACTTCCTTGTCCTTGTTTCTCACAGACATGATCTGATCAAGAAGCTGCAGGCACTGAAGGACACAAACTCTGAGCTGGCTGGTCTGTTACTGGAACAGGTACGGTGGCTCATTGGGGCTCCATGTGGAAAATAAGCTTAGGAACCTGTACAATAATTTCACACTATGGACATCCAGTATTTCAGCTGCTCGTTGCATAAAGTTTTATATTTGGAATGTGCTAAAGTTATTGTCAATGGTGACTTTGAGAAAAAACACAATGAAATGTTAATTTCCTCATCTCTGTTCTAGCAGCTGATAATACTTTCCATCAGTGCAGTTTTACATGTTGATGTATCTTTCTGTACTTTGGATACAGATATATGATAATGCCATGATCACGGCAGGCCTGAACGACGACCCCCGACCGATGATTTCCCGCCTTAATGACCTGCTGACCAAAGCTCTGGAGAAGCACTGAGCGCTGCTCAAAAAGCCTGAATGGGTTAAAGGACGGCGGCTTGAGAAGCATTTGCAGTCGGACAAAGCGGCTGGCTTTTGTTCAACTGCAGCCATAAATTACCATCTGCCCCCGCGGACCGCTTCATTATGGAGAGCACGGAAAGGCACAAAGACCAGCTGGAAGAGTCTGTGTTTACGCTCAACACCATTTCGTCAACAGATGCAAACCAGAAAGAGAGAATCGGGGTCCCACTAATCCATAGTGGAATTAAATTGGATGTCTTGATATGTTCTCTGTAGGTTTTATTGTGATGTGTGGATTGGAGCTTTGAAATAAGCCGCTCTCTGCTGAGTATAACGTTAAACATTTCTTCTGGTTTTCCCAATCCCTCCAATATAATATATTTGTTGAAGGCATGAGGTGTCTTAAATAAATTGTGTTTAAAATACCGTGTATGGAGTCATCAATAAAAGGAGAGTAAACCAAGACTGACAACTTGAAAATACAATTTTACTGCATTTCAAAAAAGGAACATACCATCTTTGTTGGAAAGATAGAAGAAATTTCGTTGTGTGCACTCTGACGCAGGAAGAACATTGATAGCGATGCAGTTCAAAGACAAAAGTTCCAGTTTTTTTTATGCGAGCGTCCCAGCGCTGTCCGTCCTTTTTAAACCGCCTCGGCCTCCTGCCCAGTCCCGTCTGTCCAGATTCACAACTCCCAGAAGAGTGTCAGGACAGCTTGTCTATGTTTGCTAGGAAACGTTTGGCCCACCATTCATCCAGATCTATGGGAACAAAGCCTGGGGAAAAAGAAAAAAGGTTATTGCAGCCCAAAACAAGAAATATGCAGAGAAAGGTTCACAATTGATTTTGTAAACACTGAAAAATTGTCATTGCCACTACATGTGTGACTAGTTTTAACAACTTTGTAATTAAAGTCTTAAGTTCCTAAACGTTTTGACGCAAATGGAATTATCCAGTATTTACATTGAGTGTGTCGCCCTCTAGTGGTCAGTGAGGAACTGCAACATGTCCAGGCAATAAACAGCTCTTATTGATTGGGGAGACCGCCTTCAAATATATAAATTAATATGGCTTAAATGTTAGCAACTTCCATATTGCCTAATGTAGGAAAATCCATCTCGTTTCCTGGTGTTAACATTTATATTTAGAACTGACTTAATCATTAAATAATGACCCAAGTCACGTGGTGCCCTCTAGTGGTTACAGTGATGAACTGGAATATCGAGCCAAAGTATTATACCGGTAAGTAGCTTCAAAATAAGGGGATATTTTTTCGTATAACTGACATGTTTCAACTTTAGAAGATACTATTTTTTCGACAGCACTATTCATTTCAAAATGCCATATTTTACATTCTGTGGTCGGCTCAACATATTCTATGAGATTTTATACAATAGCTTTTTTTAAATGTCTTATGGACATACTATAGCAGGACTTTGTTTTATTTACATATTGTCTACGGTTGGAAAGTCAAATATTTACCACACGGTTACAGAGTGATGTGGAGGCTCAAGGAAAAAGACATTTGACACTCAGATTTTGATTTCTACTTCCATTAAATCACGTTATTACGATAAGACTGTCGATTTCTGCACCAAGACTACAAAAATATGACCGAATGAAATGTACTACACTGCTTTTGACTTGCTATATACTACGACAGGCGCATTACCTTGAAATGATTTAATATAAATTATTTTGATTGATTATATTCTGACTTTTCTACATGCTATGTGACTCGTTTTGATTGTATTACCCGTATGAGGATTTTGAAGGAGAGTTACGTAGTAAAACGAAGGAAAAAAAAAAATGTAATAGGAACAAACATTTGCATTATTATTGTAGTCTGTTAAGAATACAAAACGGACCAGTACAGTCCACATAATGTGTCGTCACAGTAGACTCCGTAAACTCATTTAGCGAGGAGCGAGGCCTGTGACCTCTGCTGGCCTCCTTCCTGCTGGAAGGATCACAAGCACATCTGCTGATCCTCCCTTGGCTGCTTGTCATAAACCAACAACCTAACGATGGGTCTTTAGCCGGTTGTAATTAATAAAACGAAATAAAAACAAAAAAAAGGATTCAACATTAACTTCTAATTAAACTTAGATTCTTTACATCAACATACTTGCTCTTGAAAACGTTGCTCGGTTAAGCCGTAACTACCAAATCTGCAGGTGAAACCTCCGGGAGGAGAAGCTGTACTCACCGTCCATGTGCGGGTTTGGAGTGGATTCTTCGTAGTGGACGGCTCCCGGGGCCTCCTCGGGCCCCTGCTCCTGCTGCACCACCTCCTGCCAAGCTGGAAACACGAGGACTCGTTCAGTACGTCTACTCCCACCAGTCGTTACAGGATTTTTCGAGGTAACATACATTAAGCTGACATTTGGAGACTTTCCTCTTTGGCGCTCAGAAATGTATATAATCTTCTTTGGTTAAGAAATTGATCATTAATAAACAGATTAAATTAATTATTCAAGATGATGAGCTAAAATAAGCATTAAGTCTAACTTACTAAAAAATAAAAATAAAAAAAGATAAAAACAACAGTCAGGGAGGGTTTATCATCAAAGTCTACACAATTAAAACAATTTAATAGATCATGATAATCTGGACCTCAGAGTAAAGTTTGTAATGTAAATTCGTAAAGTTTTTTTTTTGGACTGGTCTTGTGTAGTGTGTGTAGCGTGTGTGTGTGTGTGTGTGTGTCTGATTTTCAGATCACGACTTTCAGAACACGTACGTTATGCTTGTTTGCAGAGTATTGAGGCTTTTTTTATTTATTTATTTTTTAGTGAAAGAGAATGAATCAGCCCCGGACAGCTCTCCTTCTATCCGGGGATGGGAAGTGTGGGGGGACTGGGGGGAGGGGGGGGGGCTGCCATCTTTGTGTCCTTGTCCACCAAACAACAAGGTCATTGCAGTCGTTTATGACTTGCTGCGGCTGAGCTTCAACACCAGAAACTCAACAGGACACAGAAAGAGAAAAGCGAAAGCAGCCCAAGTCTCCCGCAGACTGAAGGAGCTCGCTCCTAAAACTGGGTCACTGTGTAGAGTTTCAGCCAGACCCAATAAAACACTCCACACAGTCACAAGTCTTTGTTGTTGTCCCCCAATCACAGTGCCTGGTCGTTGCTAGTTTAAGCCAACAATGCAAAATACTTCAGCACATGTGCCAGCGGGGGTCATGAGAAGTGAGACACGTGGGTGTGTAGACATGTTCTCCTTTGTGCCCATCGTGGATATCAGTGTCAGAGCAGCTGTGTGTGTGTGTGTGTGTGTGTGTGTGAGGCCTGGGCGGGGGAGGTTAGTTCTTCGTTTTAAACCCTTGATAGTAATCCAACGTCATTTCAGAAAACCGGCAACGAGGGACAGACAGGTTTCTCCTTTGTCTCCTTCTCGTATTTTCCAGTCCGACGGTGCATTCGTTCTCTTACCGTCGTACACGAATCTGACGTTTTCCTCGTGCACGGGTGTGAAGCTCTCCTGCTGCTGCTCGCCTGCAGCGAGCGCCGGAGCAGGGTGATGGTACTTCTTACCATTCGGCCGGCTGAAAACTATCTTGGGTGCCGGGAGGCTGAAGCAGGAAAAACAACAACAACAACAACATGACAAATGAATCTGGTTTCTGAAAAGTCTAATTATTTATCAGACATTTCCTCCAAGTATTCGCATTTGGGCCGGAATTCAAGCATGTCGGCGGCGTGGGAGTTGAAGGACCATGTGCCGCCTTGACTTTCTACAAGGTCACACACACACACACACACACACACACACAGACCTTGAGTCTTCGTGAGGCTGTTTATCATTCAGGCTAATGAATAAACACTGTCCAACGCAATGTCATCTGGACACACACATGAACAAAGCATCACACACAGCCTTCAGCGACGGGTGTGTGTGTTCAGTACTCACTCAGGTAAACTCCAGGACGATTGTTTGTGCTTGAAGTCGTTTATTTTGTTGTCGAGTTGCTGAGTAGGCCCTAAACGTGACAGCAAAGTTCACGTTTTTACTTTTAAAAACAAAGCAGCCACCATGGGACGATCAGCTGTGTGTGTGTGTGTGTGTGTGTCTCACCTGTCCGGCGCTGGGTGGCCAGTTTGCTGGGACCTCTTGTGATCGTGTACATGGCGCGTGGGGACAGTCACCTGTGAACCGTCAGCTCGGCGCTTTTTGGGGTTAATTAAGTCCAGGCGACGCGGACGCAGGTGGAAGCACGCGGAATCCAATCACGGGCACGAGAACGCGTTCCTCCTCCGGGATCCGCGGGTGAATTTCAAACAAACAAACAACCGTGATCGTCGGTGCGCGCGGCGTCGGTCCTGTCCTCGGCTGCCCGGGCGGACTTTCAGTCACAGGGACAGAAGTTCGAAGACAGAAGAGTGAAAAAAGCCATTTGGTAACCGCGTAAAAACCAGCGGCCGGGGCGCGTTTCCTGCAGCGACCCTCTTCCCTTCTCACAACCCCCCCCCCGACGCCCCCTGACCTCCGCCAGTCGAGACCTTTAACGTAACTCACGTTGGTGCACGAGCGTCCTGCACAATGTCACATAACCTGAAACTGCGTGCGTGGTTCATAAGTGGACCCGCACCGTCGCGCTGCAGCACTCGGCGACGTAGATCCACGCCTCCCTGCACGCTTTAAAGGGACAGTGTCTCTCCACCCCCAGCTGTGGACCGACGGTTTCACACCGAGGTCAAAGGTCACTGTGACCTCCCTCGCGGCCACATATTGCCGGATGTTACGTAAATCAAATCAAACAGTCAGAGAAGTTAAACTCGCAGAATGAGACTTTATTCGCTGTGGATCCTTTGGTGTGCGCGCGTGTGCTCGTCCACGTGTCCCGCGTGTGCCCCGCGGCTCCGTGTTTACTGTACACGCAGATCAGGTGCGCGGGCACGAGGAGCACAGCACACACGACGTATACAACGCAAACCGTTCGCTGATAACACACTGGGGATGTGGGAGAAGATGGATCTCAACCCTTTGAGGAAAGAGAAATAAACGTGTATATTTATCTGAGGAACAAATCATCAATATCTTACATCAGGCTAAACTATTAAGTTAGATTAAAATAGTTAAGTGTTATTATAATGCAGCGTTAGACTAAAGTTGGACGGAACAACGACAGGCGTTATGGTATCAACATTGTCTTATGTGGACGGACGTCTACATACATTTCTATTTGATTTTCGTTTACTTTATGTGGACTCTTGAGACAAACACTCACGCGTGTGTTAGTAATCAACGGTGCATCTACTTTCCCTCCTTTGGAGCATAAAAACACATTCATGATAAATAAACACATAACAACAAAGATATTATTTAAATTAAAATAGTTGTGTGTTTGTGCAGTTCTGGCACTTAAAGAGCAATGATAGAAAGCAGGACACTGAACAATTAATAAATATCACAACGGAATATTAACAAGAGATTTGCTCCAGTCGAGTAGTTACTACGTCTCATAATAAATAGAAGGCATAGACATGTTACAAAAATGTCTAACAAAACCACTATTTACACTGATATTTATTTAAAGCCTCTCAAAGATTGGCACAGTAGGTAGAAAATACCTTAAAGTAACACAATCCTAGCAGGTGCGGTTAGTAGAATAAAGACATGGATATATGCAGTTGGGCCTTCCTGGTTCCATATCTGCAGATTTAAGGTAAAATACTAGTATGCCTGCTGCAGTATGACTTTTTCTAACCCTGTGAATCATTTGTATTAGAAAGCAGATATCTAGCATTCCGCCCCACTTTATTATTAACATCTTACTTTTGTTCATATGTGTCAGTATTTTACCTTCTTTGAAAGGACAATGAACTGGGAAACGTCTTTATTACAGTAATTACGTGGTCTCTCTCTCTCTCTCTCTCAAACTAAGGAGGCTTTGACCAATTTTGTTCATTTAGAAGCTGTAAAACGTAACGTTGTACGAGTTGAAAACACTTGATGTTTGAGGCGTGTGACCCTTCAGTAACGCGCGTCAATGTCCTCCAGCAGACTGTCCGTCATGTAGCCGATCTTCAGCATCTTTTGGTAGTAGTCCTTCTCCACGGCAGTAGTAACAGTCCAGCCCACCACCTCCACACCTCGCTCCGCCCAGTACTGAACGTAGTCCCTGTATGGACAAAGTATGGAGGAGGAAGTAGACACATTTATAGCTCACGTTTTATTCACAGTTATTGTCATTTTGCATCAATACGGCGTAAAAAAAAAAGACCTACACCGAGATGAAGTCCTTGTGCACGAGGATGGCAGAGACGCCGCAGAGCTTCCACAGTATGTGGTGGTGGGCCCAGTCCAACAACACGTCCAGAATCCCCAACCACAGCCGGCCCGACGTCGACAGGGACCGAGAGGTGCCGTCGTCAAAGCGGCTCAGCCTCCAGGGCCGGTGGATGAGAGCCGTGACCACGTTGGAGTCCGTCTGACGCATCTGTGCAAGATGTCAACAGAATACGGTCAGAACTAGTTTACTTGTATGACAACATGTGTGACGGTTCAAGTTAAACAAACCAGAGATCCGTCTCATTTCAGGGATTAGCAACAAAAAAAACATTGACGTTTCCTAAAGCCACGACCTTTATTTGTGTTGATCAGTTATATTTTCTATTACCTTGTAGATGACTTTGGGTTCAAAGGAGCAAACGATGCTGGAGTTGTAAAGGGCAGGATACTTCTTGTACATCTGGTGGAGCGCGGCCGCAGCCTAGAAAAGAGGACGCGTTGTTGACAGTCCATGAAAACAGGAGACGGCCAACAGAACGTTTGAGAAGAATATCCGATCATAAAACGCTTAGAGATCAACGGAATTAATGTCTCAGAAGGGTTGAAATGGAAGTAAAAACAGAAGGCAATCTTAGTGAGCCTCTTGACATAACTTATCTACATGATGCCTGGAGGCCCAAGTCAGCTGACATCACCGTTCCACACATGCTAGAATCCGTGTATATGCTTGTAGAACCTTATCAGGTTGACTTTTCACATCAAAGAAGATGGTCAGCTGGTGTCTGAGGCATTCCTCCACCGCCTCCTGCAGAGTCGGGACCTTCTCTCCGCTGAACTTGTCCCTGGAGGTCAAAGCACGTTCTTCAAGCAAAGTTCCTGCTGGATCACACTTTAATGTTGTACGCTTCTCTTGTTGTGACAAAGGAACTGAGAGGTCACACGTTAAATGGTGACATACAGCTGTGGTCAAAAGTTTACATACACTTAAAGAAACATAATGTCATCCTCTCTTGAGTATCAGGTATTTCTACAAATCTGATTATTCTTCGAGAGTGATTGGAACAGATACTTCTTGTTACAAAAAAACATTCATGAAGTTTGTATCTTTTATGACTTTATTATGGATCAACAGAAAAAGTGATCAAAATCTGCAGAGTCAAAAATATACATAACAGCAGTGCTAATGTCCTGACTCCCAGGTCTTTAGCACTTTAGTCCCATTGAGAACATGTGGACAATGCTGAAGAAACAAGTCCATGTCAGAAAGCCATCAAATTTAACTGAACCGCACCAATTCTGTCCAGAGGAGTGGTCAAAGATTCAACGAGGAGCTTGCCAGGAGCTTGTGGATGCTACCAAAAGCGCCTAATCGAAGGGAAAATGACATGTAACCAAATATTAGCACTGATGTATGTACTGTATACTTTTGACCCAGCAGATTTGATCACTTTTTCTCTGAAAAATCAGACTTAGAAATAACGGGAAACTCAAGAGAGCCATGACATTATGTTCTTTACAAGTGTATGTAAACTTTTGACCACAACTGTATCTGTGAAGGGCAAGACCAAGATATCTGATATGAATATATGTCCAAACTACATGTTGTTGAACCACTGTTCTTTTGTTTTGTCGTTTCCTCATCTAAACACAAGTAGAAATGAGTGTTTGATAAGCATCTTACTTCAACCTGTGACGAGCGGCAGCATCGAGCTTCTTAACTTGGACCAGCCGCAGACCACTGACGGGTCCAGAGCCGTTGGTGGTGCGGTCCACAGTCTCATCGTGCATCAGCACGGCCACTCCGTCCGCCGTCAGACTCAGGTCCAGCTCCACGCCGGTTGCGCCGTTTCTACTCGCCTAAAACGGGACGTCCCAAGGGGGATCAGATGATATAGATCCCATTCAGTGCAGTTAGTAAAGTTAATCTTTTATGTCTGTAGGCAGTTTGCATGTTCTCTGCAGAAGAATCAACCGAATGCCATTTGGAACATGAAAGATGAAGAGTGTCAAGAAGGTAAAACGCATTCAAACGGCGCATGTTGATCTCAGTTTGTCTCTAGAACACATTTAAACGGTGGCCTTTTGATTTGAGTCTCGTAGACTAAACACTGAACTTGCCAGCGCATTCTTTCTTTTGCATTATTGGAAGATGCCAGCTTAGATCAGATGAAACACGGATCAATTTATATTCCCAAATCCTCGAAACAAAGTGTGTGAATGATGGTTTATTAGATTAGACAAAGACTGAGTGAGTTCTTTCATTTAAAATGTGATCAACTCATCCAAATCATGCGGTCTAAATTTAAAGTCAATACAAGTAACGAATAACCTCAAGAACAGACCTCCTGCGTACTCGACATGATGCACATACGTGCTATTAGAATGACCGAGATCTTTGGTCCATACAGGAATACCAAAGGATCAAAAGCAGCAAACCAGATATTATCTGAAACAGCTGGTTCAGTACTGTGCAATATTCAGAGCACACTTCATTATTTCATCTCATCCTTCAATTCCAATAGGGAAGGTTGAATAGACCCGTGGATCAAAATGTGTGAAAAGAATCTCATGCGGAGGTGAGGAACCTCGAGGCTATTAGAAGAGATGAAGTAGGATGCTACGAGGGACAGTTACACCACAAGGACAGCTGGGAAAAAACCCGCCAGCAGCTCTCGTGTCCTTGGCTCAGTTTACACTGCAGGATGGAAAGTCACGACAAGCAAAACCCCAAAACAGCTCAAGTCAGCAATACACTGATCATTGCACAAAATCACGCGTAATAACGCAGTTATGAAATTAAAGGGAGAAAGTGAATCCTATTGGGCAGCATTTGATCCGCACAGTGGACCACACGGTCACAGCTCGAGCGGTGGCCGCGCGTCACCTCTCGGATCGCCGCCAGCGTGTTCTCCGGAGCGTCGCGGCCGCCTCCGCCGAGCGCCACCGCCGGGACGCCGCCCGACCCAGCCGCCGCCGCCCCCCAACCACCGGGCCGCAGGACGCGACCGGCCTGGTCCGCGGGCACCGGAGGGAAGCGGAACATCAGCATGAAGACGTAGAGGAACGCGGTGAGCAGAGAGGCTCCGGTGGGGCTGCGCGTCCCCGACGCCACCAGCACGAACACCGCCGAGAAATACACCGCCTCGTCCCCGAGCTGCAGCATCCTCGATCCGATCCGATCCGGTCCGGACGGGGGTTTGTCTCCTCGCGATCGAACCGGAAAGAGTCGTGGGTGAGAGAGCCGCCGTGGATGGAGCGTTGCTGTCAGCCCCCCCCCTCAGGGGGCTACGTGGTGGGGGGGCCGGGGAGCAGATTTAAACACACATGGAAGATGACTGACAGCAGCTTCGTTTCGTGAACGTGCAAAAAGATAGATGTGAGGATGTAGAGATGTAGTGTGTCAGTTCAAGGATAAATACATATACATATATACATACGTATACATACATATGTATATATATATATATATACATACATATACATACATATGTACATATATATATATATATACATATATATATATACATATGTATATATACATATGTATATATATATACATATACATATATATATATATATACATATATATATATACATATGTATATATGTATATATATATATATATATATATATATATATATATATATACATATATATGTATATATATATATATACATATATATGTATATATATATATATATACATATATATATATATATATATATATACACATATACATACATACATATATATGTATATATATACATACATACATATATATATATATATATACATATATATATATATATATATGGGAGAGAGAGATAAACCACGTAGGTGGAGGCACAATTCACTTATAATGGTTTAGTCCCTTACCAGGTTATTACATACATCTTTAGGATTCATGTGTGAAGTGGTATTTGGATTTTCACACTTTGCATAGAAACAATCCACGAGTGTTACTGTCATGTATCATTTAATAAAGGTTTCACAATATTTAAAAGAACTCAGATTTATTTGATTGTAATTTCTATTACACGTCTCAATATATAAGAATTTAAAGAAGAAAAAATAGCTTGTTAAAGAGAACAAACACTTGAGCAGCTTCGGCTGCTTCAGCTCAGCACCATCTGCAGGCGTGGATGGTGAACGTCGGGTGGAGGAATTTACAAAGACATTTAAAAACAACCCCCGGTGCATCAAACATGTTTTCTTCTTCATTAAAACCAAACATCAGAACCAAAGGATGACATTAACAGGAATGAATGCCAAAAATCTGTCCTGATATTCTGCGTGAACAGGAATATTGAAAAGTTTGACTATAAATAAAAAAATAAGTCACCTACTCACCCGCAGGAGAGTTAATTCAATTAAGGCAAGTTCTTTTGTTGTAAATATGACAAGTCCAAATGCTCCTTTGTAAGATCACCATCATGTTGTTGGAGGTTGTTCCTCAATGTTGTACATTTTGAACGTGAGAGCATCCTTTGACTTGAGCCACGATCTCCAGCTCACTGCGGACGCTCTGCCGGCAGGAGGCTGAGGTGCTGCAGCAGCTGGTCGCAGTACAGAGGACTCCGCTGCTGGTCTCTCACGCCCTCCGTCTCCTTTCTCAGAAGAGCCGGGTGGACCGAGCTGCCGCTCTTCAGGATCTCTGGACGCACACGGACAGATGGACAAACAGCGACCAAAGACTCAGGAGAGGAATGGCACTCGGGATGAGAGGCGGAAGAGGAAACAGAAGCATTCTCGTCTGCAGTTAACGAAGCTTCACACACAAACAAAGTATTGATCTTCTCATCTCGCTCGCTGCTGGAAAGCTCATAATCTCCTCGCCCAAACCGTTCATTTGATCTCAACACCTCATGAGTTTTGTAAAATTCAAATGCTCTAATGCTGTGTTCACATTCAGGCACAGTTTATTGCAACAAAGTCAGAATTTGAGGAAATTGCACTTTCTTGTTTCTTGTTCTTCGGAGTTTGTACCCCTATGGTTGAATGCACTTATTGTAAGTCGCTTTGGATAAAAGCTAAATGACATGTAATGTAATGTAAAAACGCCAGCAGATGGCAGTGATGGACTACGTACAGCACATGAACTGAGAGCGTCCTCTTCCTTCCTTCAAATGTTTTCCTCTTACTGTTCCCACACCTTCTGCTGCCTTGCAGAAGCATATCCAGTTACTCTAATTGCTTTCAATGGATAACCACAATGCAAAAGTGCCGTTTCCAGCGGCGACGCGCCGTATCTCTGGATACGTTAGCTCATGTAAACTCATCACCCGACACCGGCCTTTGTTCTTCATGGAGATGGAGGGGATTTTTGCAGCCTTTTGTGTACACGGCGCTCGGGACGGGACGGAGGTGGGGGCGTTTGAATTCAAAAGAGAACAATGACGACTTGTGAGGAGCGAGCTACGCCCGTGCCAACCAGTCTGCGTGATCGAGCAGGTATAGCGGCCGCGCTGCCAGGACGTCGGGATTATTGGGGTGGGTGAGAGGGGTAGAAGGGTGAGGGATGGAGGGACGGGATGGAGACGGAGACGGAGACGGAGAGACGCTGTCATGACACGCTGCACAAATGAAACCCCTTCACAGATATGCGTTTGAAATCCAAGAAGCACAAGAATGGGATTAAGGATTAAAGCAACAAAGAGGAAGAGCGCAAGAGAGAAAGAGAAAGAAAAAAACAGAAAGCTTCAAACGGCCGTTGAGAAGGAGGAACGCCTTCATGTCAGGCCGTCAGATACAGGCGACCACTCAGCGGGATGTGAAGGCATCTCATTTCACCAAGAGACTCCAGGTTACGGCTACGAATCTACTGTCCTTCATGGAGACGCACAGCGGCTCGTGTGTGTATCTTTACACTGTTCTGGTCAGATCCTGAAACACTCGGAGGGTAATTAAAGGTCATTATGTACTTCTTTCATTAGTGACTTTATTACATAAACGCACCCGTTCGCTTTTAGCAAACAACTCATGCTGGACATGAATCATGTTCACCACGGACCAAATAAAAAAAATCCCTTACATGTTACAACTGGAAAATACAGAATTACAGTATCATTTTTCAAAGCTAATCTTTGAAAATTCTTCAGGCACAACATGCAAAATCACTCAACTACCATAAGCGCAGATGTTCGGCATGTGGACAGAGCTGCTCTATGAGTAATTCTGCAACACTTTGATAACAAATTGCATCAGCACAAAAAGCCTTTGAAGGCTTTCTAAAGCTCTCTTGCAGCGCTATCATTTATTGTATGAAAGCTGTCGCCACATCTGGTGAACGTCCCATCCGTTTTCCGCTCCTCTTTTTATGCGTGACAGCATGAAGATAGCTCCTGCAGAAAGGCCTCCCTGTGCTGGCCGAGGCTTCAGCCCTCACCTTCCCTTTCAGAAGAAACGACAGCTAACACGAGCTTCACCCCAGGAAAAAAATAAGCCACTCAAGACTTTCCACCGACTCATCATTAAACACGGCCGCCAAGTGACGGGTTCGTATGAAAGCACGCAGTGTGAGGCGAGGAAGCCTGATGGACGGACAAAAGAGCGGTTGAAGCGGGATGGGTGCGGCCACAGGTTTGAAAAGGTGAAGACCCCACGTGGTGGACATTAGCTGTTGGTAGGTGGAGGAGCAGTGAGTAGAACACAAAGTGCAGCCCCAGGTGCAGCGAGTTGATCAGATACCGGGGCTCACATATTGACCTGTGAAGTGCCTCTCTCATGTGGGTCCTTATCCGTATCTGGATCTTGTCTTTTACTCAAGGATCACCTCCTCTTCAGCCCCCGAGGGTGTGCTTTGGCAGGAGGAATTGTTAAGAGCTGCTTTTGGTGATAGAGCATGTAGAAAAGAAAAGAAAAAACACCTACTTGGAATCTTCTGGCAGAAGAAATAGTGTTTTACGGGGGATCCACCTAGTTCCTCTAATCCTGCTGACGCAAGGGCCTTGAGCATAACTGGCCGGTCCGCGGATCGTCCCGGGAAAACTCGCCTTTCATCGCCACATCGGGCGTCAGCCAAATATATTTATCGGATCTTTCCAGTCATGTGGTCTGTATCGCAGTATAATACACCTGATATATGAGGATGTTTCTGCTTTTTTAAACATCCCACAATGTGATCGTCACAGTCCCTCCTCGTTCTCATCCAGGACTGTTAACAACACATTAAAGGAAAACTACTAAAAAAAGTTGCTGATTAATACTCATGGAAAAGCTACAGGGAGTAGTAAATCTTTTCTAAGAACCAAACTACTTATTAATTTTTACACACAGCACTTTTATGTACATGTGAAGCCCTCATCATCAACTACATAAGCCTGAAGTTGGCAACACCAATCTCACCGAGCACTTGGTCCTGGACGGAGCCGTCGGGGTCGTCCAGGTGCAGCAGGAGCTGCTGGAAGAGGACCTGCAGATGGGAAGCCCAGACCTCAGGGTTGTAGTCTTCGGTCAGGCAGGACAGCCACAGGCCTACGGCTCGCAGCGCAACGCCGCGCACCTCCTCGCTGCTGTCGTCCAGGCGCTTCAGCAGCACTGCGGAGGACGGACGCCCGCACACAGAGAGCAGATCAATGCACAATGTAAACAATTCCACTGTTGCAATTCATATTAAGTAAGACGTTTTGACAATAATTGGGACACGTGATTTCTCAGACATAAAGCAAAGTCAACATTTTAGGATGCACCGTGACACAAATGTGAAGCATTCATTTGTGTGTGTTTATTCTACACCTACTGGGATAAATCTTGTTGAGGGCCTCTGGGTGCAGATTGGTTCCTATGAGTCGGAGTAATGCAGACAGGGAGCGACAAGCGAACAGTCTGCTCATCTCAGAGTCTTCCTCCAGGGCCGACAGCACACAGGGAGTCACTTTGTCTTCCAGACAGAGCAACTGCACCAAGGACAAAGGCAGAGACGAGCATTCAGATCTATTAAATGCATTAATGTTCAAATTTCTGCCCATGTTTAATCCGATTCACACACCCAAAAGGAGACAAAAGCGGTTTACATAACAGTGCTTTTGTGTTTTAATGTGAAGATCTTTTTCATGTAGATTTCCAGTGACATGTTTAAGGGCTCTTAGTCAGGACCACTTTCATTTTCAAAAGCCGCCCTAAAAAGTGGGCTTCCACAAAAGAAAAGGTGCGTTAGTGAAGGTGGCAACACGTTCCCAGGAAAAAAAAATAAAAAATCACATTTGTCATTGATGATTTGTCTATTTTTTTGTATCTAAGTGAAACATCCCCTGAAGCGTGACAACTCCACCATCACACCAACAGATGAGAACCAGAGGAAACGGACAAACAAGGTGAGGCTGAGCACACAGACCTACAAGCCAAGAGGTAATGGCTAAAACCTCTGTCCCCTCCTCCACGCCTGTGTGCTATCAAAACCGTACCGTGCTGGAAACAATAAATAAAAGAAAAAGGGAGCGGTAGAGAGCAGTAGAACTTGGCAGAGGAGGGATCCGCCATGACATCAGTGACAATCTGAGGCTGCTCAGCGTAACTGGAGCTGCTAATTGTTTTCACAGGGAGTAGTGAGGGAAATGAAGCGCTGCCTTCAATGTGTCCGTGGAAACAACACATGACCCTCTGTTGTTGGAGCCATCGGGACACGTTCATTTCAGCTGTACCGTAAACGTAACACGGCCATGTTTAACCACCACCTTCCCATTGTTTCTTCAGCGAGGGGACGCCTGGGTGCCATTAGATATCAAAAGTTGGATCAAACACCCACGCTTGTCCCACAGCCGCTCGCTGTGCATGTAGTAAAAAGACGCGTGAATGGAATAAGTGTGCGGGACGGTTAAAGCCGGTCACTCTGCACACACGAGTGCAAACACGGCCACGTGTGCATGACCGTGTGAGCACAATTGGTGGTACTGGGCACATGCTGGGACAGGCAGGTGCACGGGAAGGTCCCGCTGATGGATCCTACGTACAACGAAGGCCCAGAACAGGGGGAGCACTGTTCCTGAGGGACAAAAAAGGTATGTGAACCCGGTGGCCCCCACGTACACCTGCTACCTGCCGCGGCCAACTCTTTCAGCCAAGCGGCGAAAGACGGCGGATATTTTTTTCCAAAAAAGACCAAGTGGGACCGTCTATTTCCAACTCCTGTTGGATTAAAAGGCCACGGACACATATTTTCCTTCACAGCAGAGTCAATAAAAAGTGCTCCTGCAGATTGGATCAGGAGTATCTACTACTGCAGACCTTTTATATCTGGAGCTCACTTACAATATCGGTTATTTCTCAGGAGGTGAAAATAGATGTAACCCCTGTGTGCATTTATGTGCGTGCACGGACCTGTCCCGGCGTGACGGCCCCTCCGTGCAGCAGGGCCAGCAGACAGCTGAGGGCCGAGGTGCGGATGGCAGCAGCGGTACGACCCGCACGCCACACCAGGTTGGGCAGCAAGACGTCAGACAGGAACTTCTCGGACTCATCGCGGAAATGCCTGGAAGGAGGCAGAGAGCGCAAGTATTGATACAGAACAGGAGGCACAAGAGAAGCAGAAGGTGAGGTGTCCTGCAGCTGCAGTAGGCACCTCCAGCCTCGCACCGTTCGGCTGGTGAAACAACAAACTTGTCACGGCATTCGTTGGGCTAAAACGTGCTGTAATGTTCCTGTGCCAGTAGGGGGCGACTGTGTGGCACTAATTTAGACAGGACAGATCACTGCCGCTCTCGTTCGGTCTTTTCTTCTTGACAGGTGTTGAAAGGTCATCATGAGTGACGCCAGGAGATGAAGAGACATTTCTCAACGTAGCGGGGATGATGTCCAAAGGGAGAAAAAAGTGAGTGGGACTTTACTTTGATCTTGTGGGTCTGTTTGGAGATATTCACACACATTTCCAGGGAATTCAGTCACCTTACGTGTCTCTGCCCATTAGAGATATCTGCACTTCTGCGTCGGTCACAAAGCATCTGCAGAGCAGCGCTCTCTCACAGCAGAACTTTGGTTGGAACATGTACTTTTGCCAAAAACGGCTCTCAGTGCAAATCAAACCAAATTCCTTCTTATTCGACAAGTGTAAAGAATTTAGTTCATATGTTACATAACATCGGAACCGGAAGGATTATGCATACATTTGCCGTTTCTTGGCAGATTGTGGAAAACATCCTTCATAGTAATCTGATGTTTTAAAAACTTCATTCTCCATTTCTTCTGGAAGTCTTGAAATAGGACTTTTGGGGAAACTGATTCAATTTTCTGCCAATATCTATTATGTTTCAGGAATACTGTGTCATTTTTGGATCACCCTTGCGTTGTCTTGTTCTATGTTATCTTACAGAAATTTGAAGGGAAAACCAGAGGTTTCATTTTTTTTTTGTCTTCAAAGCTGAAATTCAGTCTTCTGCTGTTCATCTCTACATGAAAGCACTCTCATCTGCCTTGTAAGTGGCCAAAGATTATTGTCTGACACATGTGAGGGAAAGAGTGAACTTTAATTTGTCACACATCACCTTCTACTTAAATTTGCGCTTTGTAATCACGGCGCACAAATCCACATGAAACAAATCATTATAAGCGCGCGCGTGTGTGTGGATGAAAGGAGCGTTTATGTGAACACATACTTACTTTCCCTTTCTGCTTGCTCCATAGTGGAGCTGTCATTATGTCATTTTTTTTGTTGAGGAACAAAGAGTTTTCTGTAGCGCCATCATTGCCCTCTTGATGACATACGGCGCGTGTTTGTGGGTGGGCCACAATCTGCTGAGCAAGCCCTGGCCATAAATCTTGAATGGCGGGAGAAGATGAGTATGAATGGAAATATCACGGCAGACTGAGCAGCAACGTCCCCATTAAGTTAAGCATTTGTTCGAAACCATGTTACGCCTTCAAAAGATTTGAGTCTTCTGAGGGTCCTGTGATCACCAGAGATGCGTCTGAGGCAGTTAGCAGCACAGGTGGCCCCTCTGGCAGAGACAGAGGCTCCTTTTGTCACGAGTAAACTTGGATAAAATAATGATGAAAGCCTGCTTAAAAAAAAAAAACCTTCAGGTTTAAACACATTTTTCACTGACGAGGATATAAATTTGTCTTTACTCTGGTGACGGGCTCACGCCAAAAGCCATCTCTCTCATTACCCAATAGAAACACGTAGAAGCCGCTGGCTGTTTGACTCCGGGGTTAGGGTTATTTACACCGTGCACAAATGTCTCCATGGCAACAACTCCAACAGAAAAGATTTGTCCTCCTGATCGACAGCAGCAGCTGCTCTGCTCACTGGGACCTGATCAGGGCCTCAAGTTTAATGCATTCCCTCAGATTAGAGCTGTGAGCCCGGCCTGAAGGCTGGTTCTTTATTCATCACTCAACCACCACAAGCTGCTGCTAAATCCCAGAGGAGCGATTCGGATACCGTTTGCCTTTTGTGTTTATTAGGGGAGTGATTAACTCATTTGAGAGATTCTAACAGAGACTCCCAAAGAAAGTCTTTTGGGTGTTATTAATGAGGTTCATCATTTTTATGTACGGTGAAGTGAACACCCCAGTCATCATCATCATCCGTCTGAATTTATTAATTTAAGTCCTGAATAAGCGGATGGGGTTACACTGCTCCGCTTGCTTGTTTGCATTTATAATTAGGAAATTTCTAATTTGTAGGTTAATACGAGGTTTATTCTAAAAATATGAGCTGGCAGAAAAAGGGCAGAATAAATGTCTTTGTTTCACTCCGTGTGTGTGTGTGTGTGTGTGTGTGCGTATCAAGACATTACTGTTATAACGTGTTATACTGCATATATGAGGGCCCCTCTCACCCCTTGGAATCCAGTGTGTTGGTTGCATCCAGCAGCAGCTTGGCAAGCATTGTGAAGATGTTCATCCTCATCTCTGGGTCTCTGTCCGGTTGAAGGCAGCTGGACAGCAGCGGCATCAGCTGGCAAACGAACTCTCCAATAACTGGACCTGTATGAAACACACACACAGAAATATTCACATTGCTGTTAATACAAGAGTTTGCCGTTGCATTCTACGTTTGAAATCTTCCTTCGCCTCCTTACAGGAAAAAGTAACTTAAATCAATTCAACAGGAAAAACAGGGAAAGAGAGACTCTTTGTGTTTAGTTGAGCCCAGAGGGCTTGTTATTGAGAATGGACCGGCGAGACAGTGACACCGAGACATAAAAAGGTCTTTGTGTGACACACTTCTACACAAACGCTCTATTACAGGAAAAGTAAGGAGCTCTATTCCCAGTCATACTCATGCCCAAACCAATCCAGCCACCCACCAGCCGTCTGCCTGCATGTTTACAGAGCTATATATAGTAATCTGCGTGTAATGAGTGATAACGGTGACCATGCCCTGTTTGGACTGGATTGTTCAGACGTGAGAGGAGACAGGAAATCCTGAGACGGTCTGAGGGTGGCAAACAAAGAGATACGGGAAAATGTGCGAATCAAAGTGTGAGTCCTTTAACGAGAGGTTGCCCTACACACACACACACACACACACACACACACTCTCTCTCTACGGGTTTGACGAAGCAGCAATCGGACAACAAAAAAGAGAGATACAAACACACCTGTGAAGTGCCTGTCCTGCCCTTGAGCAAGGCGCTCAAGTTTCCAAACAATGGATCAGACATTCTCACAGCGCTTGAAGGACGAAGCACTGCGAGGGGGCAATAACTAATTCCCTATTCCTGTGTCCATGTACGCAGACGCAGTGTGTGAGGAGAGGAAGAAATGACCAATTCTCTGTTGACAAATGAATCACTTCAAATTGTTCAGCGGAGGGCAGATTTCCCCGAATCACGAGCACGTCCAACAAGAGCGGCCACGTCTTTTGGGCGGATGAAGTCCTTCGGTCATGTTAATAGACCAAAGATCAGTAGCCATGAACCAGGGGGAAGCTTAGAGCAGCATTCAACATGCTCAGATAAAACACACACACACACACACACACACACACACACACACACACACACACACACACACACACACACACACACACACACAAAGAGCTTCAAAGTAGCCTTGATCCAGGCTAAGGTCAAGAGCAGGCGGCTGTGGTGGCGTTTGATGTGGTGACCTGCGAGGGGATCACTGAGTGGACTAAGAATGGACTGGTCAGTTAGCCGTGGGACTGTGTGTGAAGCTGTGTGTGTGCCGGAGGGATTAGAGGGGCACCCAGTTGCCCAGTCAATTAGAACGCGAGCGGAAGGAGGGAGAAAGAGATGGAGATGAAAGCGTGGTACACGGGAGGTGCTGATGATGACGGGATTATATGGTAAAAAGGGAGGTAATGTGAAGTCTCAGCACCAAACGGCAGGGTCACAGCTTTTTAACCCACTAACCCAGCAAGCACACTCCAACACAAACACAGACAGAGACAGACTAAACCCCTCTGGACAAGTCTGAGACACACCGACTAACAAAAGGGAAAATGTAGCATCTTGTAAAACAACAATGGAACGGCGAGCAGCCAGTGGGACTATAATGTGTATGATTTATTGCAGGAGTTCGTCCCCAGTGGACGGATGGATCAGCACTTACATCAACGGGGTGATGACGATTGCGCCGACCACCATTGACAAATACGTGGCTGACTTAACTCTCTAACAGGAGCAGTGGTGTATTGTAAGGAAGTCATTGTTTGCTCCAAGAGAGTTTCAAGAAACTACCTGGATCCCTTGTACAGCGGAGAAACAATGCTTCTGCTTTAATCGCTTCTGGTTTTGATGTACTGGCTCAATGACGGATCATGTATGAACAGGAAAACGGCGTGGCGTTTAAAATATGATGCAATACGTGTGTGAACAGGTTAAGGAAAGAATGGCTTTACTAACTTCACGATGCAGTAATGTTTAATAAGACATGACCCACAGGATATTGCGATGTGTTGAGGTGAAATAGACCCGGCGAGCATGTTCAGGATGTTTCCCCATCATTAACAGGCGATATGACGGACCAGATTTTCAAAATCCCACCGCGTATCTTTGACCGTCATAGTGGACCCAATATGTGCAAACATCAGCACCTGCTGCATGATTTGACAATGTCTTGTGCACGTTCGGGCTTCGCTTCTCACCTGATTGTGTGACTATGACGTGCAGTTGAAGTCTCTGTGGGGAGAAACTGGACCAGGTGTTCACTGAGCCTGATAGCCAATCCAGCAGCTGGCCCATGTGTTGTCTGTAAAGCTCCATCGGCGAGTCCAGGCCCTGCACCGTACTCAGGAGCTGCACACTGTCCAAGGCCTGCAGGGGGGAGAGGTAGGTGCAACAAAATCAACCACCTTTTTTTAACTCGCTGTATATACACAGAACATATTGTGGCAAAAAGACACAGAGAAGATTGGGTTGGAGAGCTCTTGAGAGAAAGTGAACAGAGCAGTGGGTATTGTGTTCAAGTTCAGCAATTACAGCTGTTTTCCTCTAAATTCAGGAATCCTTTGGGTCGCGCTCGAAGGCACAAAACTATCATGTGGAGCCATGGGAAGAAAAACACCAAGAGTTTACTGGGTCTTACATATAAAACCACTTAAAAACAAAAGACTAGAATGACACACAGGATATCACACACACACACACACCAATGAGCTGGGAGGATAGAAAGGAAGGAATGAAAGATTGGAGAGTAAATAATGAGCTAACTCTTCAGGTCAGGGGAACTGACCTTTGGGGGACTTCATAGTTCTGTTCACAGTCCCTCAGGGATTGACAGGGACAGAGACGGAGCCTGAGTCACAGATCGGCTCCTTCAGAAGAGTGCTAGACACCGCTGAGCTGTCCACTGACGGGAAAACTAGGAAAACAAGCTGCGCCTTTTCTCTGGGTCTGGGAATGCCCAAGGCCAACCACCCCCACCTCCTCCCTCTGATTTTCTGAAGCCATTCCTTCTCATCTTATCTAACGCTGCACCCTGTCTGCACATACACTCTGCAGCAGACGGCCATGAACACACATTCACACTTGTGGCCCATGTGGTGTCTGGAAATCGCTGCCGATCCCTTCCCGCTCGCCTCTCCCTGTCGTCCTCTGCACTGGCCTCAGAAGCCGTTCGTCACTGTTCCCGCTTGTCCCCTTTGCATTTGGAGGCCGACCGCAACATGCGAGCTCGTGGCTCGCGTACCGCTCGGTGGCTGCGGCCTGAGGAGGAGCAGTGGAGCAGAAAATGGGAGGGCGGCGATGACGCGCGCGGCTCACCTCTCCCTCCGCACCGCTCTCCATCTGTGTTTTTTGTTGTCTATTTCTGGCTGTCTTTCTCTCCACCTTTCACCCAGGACTGGATTTAAAGTTCCACACCAAAAGGTGCAATTTCAGCTCCGCTGACTAAGTGGGTAATAATACAGTTGGCCTGTCGCACTTTGAACCTCATACAAATACTGACATTCCTCAAATAGCTGTCCCGCTTCATAAAAGCCACTTACCTTTCTAATAAAAAAGGCTGCAAGACAAACATTTCAAAAGTAGAATCAAAGAATGACTCAGGGTGAGGTTACATGCTGGTTGTGGAACAACGTGATGGCAGAGCTGCAGAGAAGAAGCAGCAGCTGGGATGACATCTCCCAAATGGGTTGTCTCACCTTCGCGCTGAGACGAGGCTCAGTGGAGAGACTCTGGACAGCGACCAACACCTGCAGCAGCTGCAGGCTGACGGAGCCCGTGTCTGACTCACACTGACGCAGCAGCACATCCACGCAGCACAACAACTGCTCCAGGTACACAACCTGGGAAAGAGAAAAGGTATGCGAGTGATGCGAGAAGTATTTGCCTCATCCATCGATGAGCCACAACGCGCTCCGATCGTCACAATCACGTCACTCTTCGAACTGTGTTGTGCTGAGCTCATGTTTAGACAAAGACCCGCGGCTCAGGCGAACTTCTATGCCATCATTGGGATCATGGCCACTTTTCCCGTTTCCTCACAGCCTGTCATTAGGCCTGGATGAGAGGGGACGGTGGAGTTTTGAAAGGCATTTGGAAGGTAAATGTGTGCAAGTGAGTTGAGAGTTGGTTACTTTGGTCTGGTGATGAGGTGTGGTGTGTGTGTGTGTGTGAGGAAGAAATACCCCATGCAACCTCCTCATATGTTCCATCGCTCTAAAAAAACACACCTTGAAAAATACCAGCGCTGCATCACCAGGGGGCACACTATCTTTTCCTAGCTTTGAGTAGCTGTTGCACGGCACAGCTTGGCATTAATGTGGGAGGAAAACAAGTGTGGAGCCAAGTGAAGACGGTCAGTGCAAAAAGGCCGGCCTTTTGAGAAGGAAAGAGCGCTGAGGGACTTCCAGTCTGCAAGGCAAATGTTCTCATTTTGCAATAGAGTCTTGAGCGCACACACACACACAAAAACACACACACACTGGAAAAAGTTTGTCTATCTTAAGCCCCGGGTGTCATCTATGTGTGGAAACACATTTTCCTGAGGCTAAACCCAACTCCATGCAGCGGCAACTTGTGCTCTCCTGATTGAGTGTGTCGTTGATGATGGGAAATCCCTTTCTATGGCCAAGCAATCCAATGGCACATACACACATGAGGAGTTCCAGGGAGGAAGTAGCGGGAATAACGTGCAAACGGTGGCGGGGGACTCGCATTAGCGTGCACAGAGAACATGGACACCAATATTATACACGTGCAGAAAACAACCATTAGGGCTGAGTGTCCGAGGCACAGAACGAGGGAGAGCGGAAAAAGGGGCGCGGTGTAATGATAATGTCGACACCTGGAGCGCGGCGAGCTACACCTGGTTTCATTGGTGTGTGTGTGTGTGTGTGCGCACGCTCCAGGGCCTCATTACGCAGCGTGCGCGCATCTGTCCACCACTGTATGCATTAATTTTGCACACAACACAACTTAAAAAAGGAGCCATGCCAGAAGATGGATTCCTATCCAGTGGGGAGACTCCCCCCCCCCCCCCCACCTCCACCAGTTACAGATGTTGCTACGGAAACAGGAAAACAAACACTTGCGGTGGATGGGACGTCGCCCCCCTTGTTGTCAGGTATGGTTTGCTCTGCCGCCTTTCTCCTTATCTTATCCGTCGTACGGTGGAGATGGGAGCAGCATGCAGCTGTCATTGATGACAAAGGACGGGAATGCAAGATGTACGCCGGTATGCATGCGTGTACGTACGTACGTGTTTGTTAGGCAGAATACCGTTCGCTGTGACACCAGTGAAAAAGTTTCTTTGTGCACAGACGAGACGAAAAAGCGGTTTCTGTAGGCCACTGCAGGCCAGACACTTTAAAACAGGCTGCACCAAAACAGCGTATTTACTGATAACAAGCTTGGCTGTAAACATGCCTTCTAATCCACCGCCAGGCTCCTTCTTCAGGCCTTTATTCTTTATCTCCTGGCACTGTCTTTATTCCCTCCCTGCAGATAATGTCATGCCCCTGTCACCATGGCGAACCACAACACAGCGTCACTCAGCTGTGTCAGTTGTTTGAGTGTGTGTGTGACGGTGGGGACTTGTTAACCCCTCCTCCCTCCACCTTAAAGAAAAGACACCTGTATACGTTGCATAAGCAAACACCATCACATATCTAACCCTCAAACCCTTGACATCTCTAACATGTTTGTGGAAGGAGTCGTTTTCTACTTGCAGAGAATCCGTTGCATAGAAGTGTCATTTATCAGTTTCAAGTATTCATCCTGTTCCCTAAACTCGCCATAGAGCCGTGCAGTTCCACTTGCCTCCAAAAGGATTTGACTATTTCTCATTAAAGAAATGATACAAGTCAGCTGCTTTACCGGTCTTCATAGTTTGTGTGTAAACAGGTAATTCAACCACAGTCAAATGCAGATCGTAGATCGTGAATGATCCAAGGGTTGGATTGAACAACACCCAGTATTCTGAGTGAGCTTTCAGCACAGAGAGGAAGAGGGAGAGAGGGGGGAGGAGGGGGTGTTGCAGGTGCTCCTGTCTCCAGTCATTTACAGCTACACGGGGATCTGGCACGGCTCCCTGCTGGGAACCCTGCCTGTTGTCAAAGAATGCTGCAGGTGCTCTGTCTGTCTGCGCTTTCTGAATCCCGACACTTTGTGTTTTTCCGGCAGAAGCAGAGACGGACAGCGGGACAGAGGGGGAGATGGATGGCGATTAAGGGACAGGGGCAGCAGAGGTCTGCCTCCATCTGTGTAAAAACGGGTAACGGGTCCCATCCTGTTAGCGTTCTCTCTGGTTGACCCCGCCAGATAGCAATGAGGGAGGACACAAGGGAGGAGGGGGGTGAACTTCCCCACCATTTATCACCAGCCTTGACCAGACGGGCTTTGAAATGTCAGGGATTCTCTCAATGCTCCGGGTGAACCAGAGTCTGCGTGGAGACCTTCCACACGGCTACAAAAGAAAACAAAAGCCTTGTCCGCTCACAGGGGTCAGAACGGCTTTGCAGGGGTCACGAGAAATTAGTAAATTTGTGTCATCATTATCCCGGGGAGGAAATTCTTGCCAGCCTCACTGAGAGGGGGCCGGGGTCACCGTGTAAAGGTGAGTGAGTAGAGCGGCAGGATCAGAAAATAGCTTCTGCCAGACAACTGTTATTTTGATTCTGAAAGGGAAACATATTTAGAGCACGCGAAAAGGAAGCGGGGGGAGGTGTGGGGGAGTCTGCTCTTGACCGGATTTTTCCACAGTGGAGACAAAAATACAATGTAACTGAAAAATTTAAGCACTGCTGCAATAGCAACAACAAAGAATTGTGCAACAACATGTGGGAGCACACAGATCCACGTGGGCAGAGTCGATCTGATCAGAACCGTGTAATATTAGATTAGAAAAACACCACGCGGCCTGACTGTCACTTCAGCATGGTCAGCATTTTAGTAAATTACGCAACACTGAACCCGCTGAACTCACAGTACAGTAGTGCCATTGAAAACTCGCTGAGGCGATTCATCTGAAAGCCCTTTCAAGAGATGTGGCATCTTATAATGAAACCACTTTCCTCGAGGGACAAATGGGGCAGAGAACTGCACAAAAATTCGATGACACCACCCAACAACCTCCCAAGACTGGAAAATAAAATCAGGTGATGCTCGTACACATGCAACTTAAGTCAACAACCCGCAAAGAGGAGTCGGGTGAAAAAAAAACGGTGATCCACAAACAAGCCCCACCTGTTGATATTCCTGGCAGACTTCGGGCAGGGACAGTGTGTTCCCGATGTTTTCGAGATGTGGTTGGAGGAGGGCTCGGGAGCAGCCCCCCAGCACCGCGGCCAGCACCATGAGGGGGGTCCAGGGGTGGGAGGAAGAGTAGGGGGCTGTCACGTGGTCCAGGAGCAGCTTGAGGAGGACAACGGGAGGGACAAAGGTCCCCAACAGTTGAGCAGCTGCCAGGCACTGGATGCATGCACACACACACACACACACACACACACAATGAGTACGAGGGAGTGTTAAGGAGGATGTCAATTTCTTTTTTTTTTAAATCTGCGACACATCAAAGCGCTACACAATCCTCCGACGTGCGCAGGTGCATCCCGAGTCCTTGAGCCCTGCTCGGCCCAACAGATGTGTCCTGGAATCATTCCGTCTGGCATTAACTGATTACAAAAAGGATTCCGCAGTCCGTACAAAACGGAGCACTGCGGAATGCGGCGTCTGATCCCAAGAAAAAATGGAAATTCACTGTGAAGTATCGCGCTGATCTCTCCGGGCACTCACATTGCTGACCACATCCCTCTCCGTGTCCGTGCAGGCCGAGTAGAGGGCGGCCAGGAGAGGCTGCAGATGCTGGGTGCTGTGGTCCTCGGCGTGGAGCAGCAGCACGGACAGCAGCTGAGAGGTCCTGACCCGTGTGGGCACCAGCCAGTCAGTCATGTCGTGGGCGACGGCCGGCACCAGCCGACCCAGGTTCCTCAGCACGAGCTCTCTGCAGCCCAGCCCGGGACGCTCAACTGGAGGAGAGAAATGAGGCGCGTTCACCTTTTCATCCTTGCTCTTCTAATGTTAGATATCAGTATGTGAGGAGGGTTTTCTTTTTCTTAGCCTGGCTACATCTCCTTCAGTTGGTGAATAAATATAACCAGCAAGAACACAATGTTCATGACGGTTCACTGCAACATCTTTTCTCTCTTTATGACATCGTCCGTGTGTGGACTAATTAACAAAATCCAACAAGATCCACGAAACAGCATTTGGAGAACAATACATATTACTGATTCACAGGGTTACAAATGTCTGCTGGCATCTAACATACCTCAGTTTTAACTTTTTACGATCAAGATTTCCCTCACAAGGGACTTGGCAGAGCGAGTGAAAGACATTCTCAAATGGTCCTACATTTGAAATACCACAACCCTCGCTCTCTCCTCCTCTCCCTCTTTTTCTCCCTGATCTAATTCTTCTTCTCCTACAGGCCCACTAATGAGAGGAAGAGAGCGGAATAAAGGAAGACGGTGATAAATCAGATAAACACACCCGGACAAGACAAAACAAGCTCCTTTAAGGTTGCCTCTCAGTCTCTGAAAGTGACCTCTGCACACTGGGAGGCCCGGCAGATTTATGATGTGATGGCAAGACAGAGAAAGACAAAAGAGGAAGCGGGAGAGCCTCTTCTTTTCCTTTTCTGTCCCCCTGCAGAGCCTGTACTCATCCACATTGTCACATAAAGGATATTTAACCAATATGCAAAGCCAAGGAACGTTACCTTTGACACACATGAACAAAACGCCACACAAATACACAAACCACCACGTTTTCAGCTTCACACTCATTCCAGGCTCGAAGGTACCATTACTTCTACTTATTCTTCCAAGCCAGTAAAATGTCTTTGGCAACATTATTTTTTTTTTTATTGCATTTCATAAATTTGAATTTGACAGCAGTAATAAAAAGAAATGATTTAATGCCGTAAAATGTGGAGACATTTCTTGTCAACTCCAAATGTTCTCTTGTATATAACTGGTGTTTAAGCATTTCAGCACAGAGACCAGTGAAGCCAGCGTGTTGCAACTGCAACACTGGATTTTAGAAACCATTCCTTAGTCTACTGAAGTCAATCCTTTAATAAAATAAACTAGACAGATTACCTTTTTTAGTCTTCATATTTATATATTTATTTTGAGTTTATAGTCTGAATTTAAAACTGGATCATATAGATTTCCCTGCCTTCCCTGTTTATTTCACCTGGAAAACATCAGACATGTAGACAAAAAGCCAAGTAGGTCAGTAATAATAGTATATCTCAATTCTGCAAATCGCAATCCTGCGCATCCTCTACACACAACCTACTATGAAGCCATAAAACTACTCCAAGTTATTTTCTGTAAACCTATGCATCTTACAATCAGCTAGCTATATGTAAACTAAATGGGGAAATAAAGATGACGGACACCAGCAACTCCAACAATATATTTATAGGTTTCTTTGTACTCAGCCGATGCCGAGTGTGAGAACCATAGTAGAATTCAGAGAGAGACTGACCTCCGGGTGGGTAGAAGGGAGGTGGGGTAAGAAGAAAGTCCATCTTATCCTTGATTTCTTCCTCATTCTCTTTCTCCCACTGGGCTCCTACCTGCTTCCACAAATCAGCTGATAGGAGTCTGTTGGAGGGGGAATGTAGGAACACATTGTGCCGAAAATATAAGTACACAGACCAGAATATCTATCATATAATATTGTATTACAAAGCAAAGAACAAAAGTAGAACAATGCGTGCTTTTACCTTATTTCTGGGATCTCATCATTGATACCGCTCAGGAGGAGTGGGATGAGTTTGTGGAAATAAGAGTACCGGTCCCTCATGTGAAGCAGCCAATCGCCGACGACCGCTGCCACGGCTTTTCTAACCTGGAGCGAGACGGGAGAAATGTGGAGACGGCAGAATTGACTAACGACTTCTTTATCCCGTGCATTTAACGGCCCAACACCCATTAGGTGATTCAAACTCTAAACCTGCGGCGAGTCGTCGAACAGTCTCTGCGCCAGGTGAGACAGCACGTCATCCACGTTCTTCCCGGTGCCGTGCTGAATGACAGCCCCCGTGGCTTGAATGGCAGACACTCGTACCCGGTGGTGTTGATGGGAAATGGTCTGCATCAGAGGCTTCACAAGACTCTCCGCCTGCATGTGGAAGTGCTCTGAAGGGAAAGAGATTCGGTTCAGTTAGTATGGAGCTGGCTGATTCCAGATCAGTGCTGAGATGCGAGTCCATCTAAGGTGCTTCTTTCTTAAGACTTACTTAAAATGATCTTTTCCGAGATCTAAAAATGATTCAGCTGAAGAGAAGCGAGTGTTTTTGTATTTCTAACACAACACCTTGGTGCTTGCTTGAGTCTGTGTGCCTCATCACCATGGCAACAGACGATGAAAAAAACAACAACAACAAAAAAGCGTTTCACTGACCCGGCACACACTTTGCGAAGTCGATCGTGCACTTGCAGCTTTCCCTCCGGACATCTGGAAAAGGATCGACGACGGTTCTCTGCAGTATGTGCATCATTTCGGTGAGATATGGCGCTAAATGCTTGCCGCACACCTCCACGGCCAGCGTCAACATCTCCACGGCCGCCAGCCGGAGCTCCTCCGCCGGCTCCAGGAGCTCTTTTTCCCCGAGCCGATGGGCCAGACAGGGCATGAGATACGGCAGCGACTCCTCCGGCTTCGGGACGCAACGAATGAACTCCGTTATCATCGTTATCGCGGTTTCTCGGCATCTTTCCATCGGGTCTGAGAGACATTTGAGGAGAGGTTTAAGGAGGGCGGAGAACACTTCCTGTAAGACGCTGCTGGAAAGTCCTCGGTCAACAGTGTCTCTCTTAATGAGCTCAAGGGCCCTTTTTCTTGTCGCCTTGTTGTCTTCGTTCAGACAGTTCAAATGTCTCGCGAGTCCCCGCAATACTTCGGGAGCAGCATGTTCGTCTCCGGCCGCCATGGTTGCCATCTTGACTGTCGCTATGACAACCTGCAAGCTGCACGACAAACAAACGGCTACTTTACGGCAGCTTCCGGTTCAAAAGCACAAACTTTATTAGTACTGACAATCTTCCTCTCTCGCGTCAATCTATGTCCTCCGTTCCTGTTTCTATTTACGGGAATAAATCTAAACACAGACGATTCATAACGACAAATCACGTTGTTAGAATAGCAACGGCAATAATTCTCGTTTAACAATCAGATGAACTTGTGTGTGCAACACGTATTAATTATTATGATAAAATTCTGATGAAGAACACTAAGCCTTTGATAGGCTTGGAAAAAAACGGTGGGCCTAAATAATTGCAATTATTACCCTCTAAATGCCACAGTCAACTTACTGTAGGAACTTTGAAACTTGAATGTATGTAGTTAATCAAAGACATTTGGTGGTAGATTCACATTCAAACACTGACCAAATTATCAAAATGTTGACTATTCTCATGTGCAATAGCATTAAAATAGCGTTGCATTTCTATTAGGATTAATTAGAAAAGCCTGAGACCAAGGGAAGTTTATTTCAATAGAGCATATCAACAACAAAGCAATTCAGTGCCTAAAAATAACAACCCCCCCCCCCCCTCCAAAAACAACAACAACAACAACAACAACCTTATACCATTCTGTGACATGAATCATGGAAAAATATAATGTAACAGTTGAATGAATGAAATATCAAAATCATAATCAGCTTTAATGGCTATGGAGTCTATTCATTCAAGTAGTTTGACTCCATTTTTAGGTTGTTGTGTGCCTTCATTTTAATATATGAAGATGCAAACTGATATTGTTGTTACAGGTACACAGGGCAAATGTTGGGATGAACGATGTAATCTAAAAAACACACATTGTCAAATTCAAATTCCCTTTGATGTCACCTATTCGGTAAGAAAAAGGGTCCGGCTCTGAACCTGCATCCAAGACGTTCACGGCTCCTCTCTAAACAGCGCGCCTGATCCCACACGCTCTGCTCGTATTTACAGATAAACGCGTTTCCCATCTTGCAGGAGTGCAGTCTTACTTTAAACATGCTTCACCTGCAAATGGACCCGGCACCGCTGCGGCGGAGAGCGTGACCGACTGACGTCATCGGCATTGACGCAGCGCGAGCCGAGGTATCAGAGCAGCAGCAGCAGCAGCCGCAGCAGCAGCATCCCGGCTAAGCAACCGTATCCCTCCTCCGCCGATCTCCCACCACCGGCGAGGTCTTTTCCTCTCCCGAGCATCCCTCCAGGAATAACGGTAGGGACACCAGGGAGAGCGCCGATCAGATCGCGTCTTTATAAGCACCAAATTGCGGGAGGAGGGGGAAAAAAAATCGGGCCCCCCTCGTTTACGTCGCAGTGAATTCCCCTTGGTTTGGGTTTGTCCTTTCTACTCTCGGCAAAAAGCTAGCTGTTGTCTATTGAATGCAACTGAACAGGTGCTCAGTTGCATCACTCGCGTCACAGTGTGCATCTAGAAATTGTTATGCGACGGGCACCGTTTGCTGCGAGGACAAACGTGGTGCCATGACCTCAATGCATAACTGATTTAGATTCATTATGCATTGAGCAACACATCCTGTCACACCATTCTATATGAGGAAGTGATCTGAGGCTAGATAACAGTCACCTGCTCAGCTTCCTGACTTGGCCGTGACAGACACGCTATGCGTTATCTGACGTGGTTTGACATAATCATAGCTGTTGTTGTCGTAGACTGTCATATAATTTACTTTGCCTTCACCCGCTGAAGTGTTTACTTTCACAAATAATAAAGAATCATACCGAGGGAATGAATGGTCATGCTTTAGTTATGCATCCAGGGTTTACCCTTCAATGACAATACATTACATTACATGTCATTTAGCTGACGCTTTTATCCAAAGCGACTTACAATAAGTGCATTCAATAGGGATACCGTACGCTACCCAAACAAAGGAGTAAATGAATAGCTGCCATGGTTTAAACACAACAACTAATTCTTAGTTTAAGGGGGCTGCGTATAACTGCAACACCAACTTTTACAATGTGATCTCCAAAACCTGTTTGTTAAAAAATGTATACGAAAATCTTGAACATACAAATTTGTAACAATACATACGAACTGCTGGGGTTAACCAAGCCCCTTGAGTGAACAACATGGCGGACTATGTTGGATTCTTGAGTGAACGTCTCTCCGCCATGTTGGATTTTTTGAGGGGGTTAGGGTTAGTATTCTATTTTTACAATTTAACATTAACTTCTCGTTAAAAATGCAATCATAACACGTTTATTTTACATCGTTAGACTTCACAAAGTCCCCGTTCACTTTGAATAGGGTGACGTCATCAGTTGCAGTCCGTATTTTCGTATACATTTTCACGAACAGGTTTTGGAGATCAGGCTGACTTTTATTATGACTGTAAAAAGTAAAATGATCTATTTTTATTATATACTGTTGCCGTCATTCTCATGTCCTGCTTAGGCTAGTTGGTCTGGAGGTCCTTGACAAGAAGCAACAAGATTTGAAATGTCCACTCACCTCCGTTCCACAACTATTGCGCCTACATCGTCTGTTCGACTTTCCTCTTTTCATTCTGTATGCCCCTCCTTTGCCCCTGATCTACCACTTTCTGTATGGAATTTTCCCTCCCCTCCTCTCATGGTCCACCCTGTTTTCTCCCACTGCCACAGAGATAAAAGATAAGATGGCCACCTCCTCCTCCACTCTGGAAGAAGACGAGAGCTTGAAGGGCTGTGAAATCTTTGTGCAGAAGCACAACATCCAGCAGATCCTCAAAGAGTGCATTGTGAACCTCTGCATCGCTAAGCCTGAGCGTCCTATGAAGTTCCTGCGGGAGCATTTTGAAAAGCTGGAGAAGGTTGGTGATGGTCTGTTTAGTGGGATTTAGGTTTCTAAGCCTGGGTATCTTTCTCTTTCTAATGTGGGGCTCTGTGTTGTTGTGTGGTGAGATTGAAGTTCTTAATTTATAATGCACTTTTACCCTGAATATGATCAATGACATGAATGTTCATTTGCAGTGAGATGCTATGTGCAAACGTTGTTTTATTTGCTTATTACATTGCATTGGTTCAACTGGAATTTGTAACACCACCATACATCAGAACACATCAGGGAGACTGAGAGGAGCATCTATAAAGGGAAGATGTCCTGTTTGCAGGACCGCCGGCCCGTCGGTCCGTGAGCAGAGAGAAAAAAAGAGATGACACATTCGCACATTTGTTTAAGGATAATAGCTGGGGAGGAGAAAAGGCTTTTGTGAGATGATGGGAAAAAATACCCAGACCAGAAATAAGGTTATTACACCTCTGAAGCACATTTCCTGTGGCTCACAAACAGTGCGACTGCTCAGATGACATTTCGCATTCGTCTCTTTCGGCTCCGACACCTCTACAGTTACATTTACATTACATTTCACAGACTCCCGCTGTATTGATCATGTGGTTTTGTCCTGAATATCTTGGAGGTTTTGTAATGCTGTTATGAAGTATTGAAGGATATACAGGTCAATTGTTTTCTACAATTTAGACCCAATAAATCATCTTCTCCAACACTTTTTCTTTGATCGAGCAGAGACACGAAGCATGTGGGTAGTTTGCTAATGAATGGATCATATGATGTCTTTGTTTAAACAGTGGGCTCTACTCTTTGCGCTGCTGTTCCACGGACTTCAAAGAGGTGTACGAGATGTAGCCGTAGGCCGTCCATGTCGGACCTCTCGGCTGTGGAAAGAAGTCTCAAACAACAGAGGCGATTGTGAAGCAACATCAGATGTAGCCGGGGCTGAATGTAGCATCCCGATGCCTGGAGGAGAGGTCTCCATCCTTGCTGGAGTCATGCGCACGTTAGCATGTGAGAGTCATCTGATTCGATCATCATGTTTATTCAAGTTTATTCAGCTTTGCCTCTGTGGTGAAATCAATGTATTTGTTACCCTGGAATTCATTCATCCTTACCGACCAAACATCATTTTCGTCAACAGTTTGTTGAGCACAGCAGTGACAGTGGAGCTTCTGCTGCTGTTAGCTGTTGTCAGGCTGCATAGTCAGCGAGGCAGAGCGAATACAGATGGATGTGGCAAAGCTCAGCAGACGTATACAGGCAGGAGGTGAATGTATTTAAGCTGACCTGTTAAGAGCGAAATCCTACTCGGAATGTTTTGGTTTTCACTCCTCGATCTCGTCTGACGCAGCAAACGTCAAACCCTGTCGTTTGAAATAACAATAGTCTGGGCTGCTTCCTTGATTGCAAAACTAACATCAGCACATAATGCTTCTGTTTGCGTGAGAGGAATTAATGGTTTATTTCATCCAGAGAAAAGGGGGTCTGTAGTTTTGCGTCATGTGAAGGGACCCATCCTATTACTTGTTCCTCTTTGTGAGCCGGGTGTGTGTGTGTGTGTGTGCGTGCACATTTACACAATGTGCGCACGCGCTGCCGTGGGTCTCCGGTACGCCGGCTCGCACCTGACATAAGAATGCCAGATGGATCTCACGTCTCTGTCGGTATGCACATAAACACGTACTTAACCTCTGTTTGCAAAATCCAAACGTGTTGTTGTTTTGAACCGGAGGTCGGCAGCAGTGCACTTTGCGTGCCGATAGTCTGCCAGGAGTTATGTGAAGAAGAAACCAGTCTTTTTGTTGTTGTTGTTGGTCAAAGCCAATCACCCGAGATGTCGTGAGCACCCCTAATCTTTTCGCAGACGGTAATTTAGAATTTCGGATGTCATGGACAAAGCCGGCGTATGCGATTTGACGATATGTTGCAATTGATGCTTGTGTTGTTGTGTCAAGGACGAAAGTCAGCGTAGAAAACTGCATATTTTAAGTTAGTGAGGATTGACCGTATTGCCTGAGTTGTGTTGTTGAAATGCGGTCAGAGAAATCACTTGCTGTGAAGAAGTAGTTAGAATAAACAACCCTCTAAGGCCCACGGTTGCCCAACACTATTCCAGTCAACCCACCCTTGTGTTTTGAGCTCAGTCATTATTGGAATCTAAACAAGTCAAGTTTTTTGGTGTCGCAGTTATTTCAGAAGCTTTTTATGCTTCCTTCCTCTGGCGCAGGTTGACTTTTAAGGCAACATTTGGTTCAGGACCAAACAACAGTTAAAGTTTTGTTGAGTCGAGGTGTCGGGTCTGTCCCCCGCAGTCCTTCAGACTCTGAATCTGTTGTTGTCAACACAAGGAGATAACGCAAAGTACTCTTTTGTCATCACATTTTCTGCTGTGCTTCACCCTCTGTGTTGTCTGCGTTTCTCTTTCCTTTTTCACTCGTCACCCAGTGCAGGCGGTAACCTAGGCAACAGTAGAGGATAGATAGTCTATCTTGTGTTGAATGAGCCCCTTTATTCACAAGGTGTATTCCCTCTTCCCACTTATATTTTTCCCTCAAGTATTTCTTTGTGCCAATTAGATCACTGGCGTAGTCTTTCTCCCCATTTTCCAGACCTAATTTAACCTCATTTCTTATCTGCACAGGATCCATTCCATAGAACGTTCACAATCTTATCTGGGAAATGTATTTTTTCTGTTTCAGTTTCTCCATCATCCCCTCCCTTGCTTTTGCCCTTTGATGTCCCCCCCACCCCCCCGTTTGCTTTTTCCCTCCTCTACTTGGTGAATCTCTCCTACTTGACTCACAAATACATCGACTTGATGACACAGTTAATTATTAGTCCGGCTGGAGTTATTTGTTAACTTTTGTTTCCGGTATAATAACATGTCTTTGGTTCTGTGCTGAAATAGTGAATGGGAAAGTAAGAATTGTCTTGCCTGCTTGCCTATTTGTGCACAGTGAGGATTCCTGTGATCGCTCAAAGAGCATCTTCGGATTAGTGTTCTCATCACTTGAGCTCTACGAGCTCAGTTTAGTGTGTATATTTTATGAGGAGTTTAACTTGATTTGTGACCCACTACGTTGTAAAGCAAACAAACAATTGCTGAGACTTCTACCAGGACATTTTAAAGACATTCTCTAACCTCGGGTTTGTCTCTGCTACTGAATGTTTACGGCAAGGCTGTTCAGTTTATAATATCTTTAACTAGGCACTTAAGTTTGATGACTTTTTAATACAAAAGTTTGCTAGATGTAAAAACAGTGACGAACACACACTGCGTTTCTACCACACAGGGTTCATTGTTACAGTCCTCTTGCTGACACTCATGTGCCTAATGATCAGTGTTACAAAGTAACGCATTACTGTAATTCCACTACTTTTAGCGGTAACGAGCATGTAACAAATTATTTTTTTATTAATTATTTTTAAAAATTATATTATTTATTCAATTACCTTTAAAAGAAGTAACTAGTGACTGTAACTAAATACTCCTTTTCAGTAACTTGCCCCACACTGCTAATGATGGATGGTAACCTTTTCTCACTGGTCAGCTAAAAGTACAAGGACTGAACGTGTAGAGTATGAGGACGCTGGTTCTGCCGGGTCAGTCATGCAAATCCACTTTTCTCTTTATGTCCATCGAGGATTTGCTGTACTCTCCCGTCTGCTCCTTTTCTTTCTATTAGCTTCAGTGAGAAGATGTCTGCGGACTTAAGATGCGTCTCTGTCGACTCTGTTGACTCTGCGCTGGCAACTCCATCTGTACTGCGTGTGTGTGCGCTACTCGGATGTGAGACCGAGCAGCACATCTGGATAACGGTGCCCTGCCGCTGTTTTGTGATCGCAAATCAAAAAATTAGGAACTATTTTGCGAAAGTGGCTCTGTTGTCTTTTTTGGGTGTTTGTTTGTTTGCAAGTAGGTCTAGCATCTAAAAGCACATTTATCTTATCTGTTTTTTTACAAAGACGTTGACGTTGTTTTTTGTTGTGTTTGAATGTGTTATCAATGCCCCTTTTATTTGTTATGCTCACAGGACTGTCATATGTTTGGGTCTCATGATTTACTTCAGGGTTTTTACACTTTCTCTCTCATCCGTCTTGTTCTTTATCTTTTCAATACTTAGCAACATAACGTAACAATTTTTTCTCTGTTGGTTGATGTAAAAAATGATTGTACTTTTTTTTAGTGCCAACTTATTTTCAATTGTTCTTAATTATTATTTTTACTTCCTATGTTTTTTAAAAATTGTGCTAAAACGCGTGACTGTTAAGTACTTTGTTACCAACCATAGGGGTTTAAAAAAAATATCTCTTTGTGTCCCTACATTCGACTGGCAAGCGTTGCGTTGATTCCACATAATCTTCCCACAGCACCATGAAGCATAGCCGAGTCCGACAAATGCGAACGCCTGCCTGTGAAAGATCCCATCGCATTGCATTCTGGGAGCTCCTCACTCCGTCTGTCAGTCCATCGGTCAATCAGCCGCTGAATCTCCGTCCCTGTGTAAGACGAGAAGCATTTCCGTGCCGCCGCCCATTCAGCTGTCACCGGGACCTATCATAACAAATCCCACCCTCTTCAGAAGCCTCTGACTGACAGTCCGTCACAAGGGTTTGGATCTTTGTTGAATCCGTTTTAGAGCTGAATTAGGTGCGGAAATACCTCCCCTATATTCATCTATTTCCTTTAGTTTATTTTATGCTGTGCCATTAGTTAGAGCAGCAGTACTCTTCTACGTCCCGTGCGCACGTTTTGGTGTAATTAGTGCCTCCGGCTTCTGTTTCACTCATCGCTGCCACTGTGGGAGCGGCGTGTTTTGTCAAATCATCCTGGGGTGCACGCAGTGACCCAGGCCTAAACCTCCTCCCTGGCCCACCCCGGGGGCCCCTACAGGTAAATTGGACCCCCAGTACCTGTTTCCCTGGTGGTCCTTCTTTGTCCTCTCTCATCTGCCCGTTGCATCTGTGGTCGGTGGTAGAGGAGCAGAGTAGGGGAACAACAGTAAGAGGACGTCAGAATCAGCAAAGGGGGAAAGGACAGATGTGCACAGAAAGTCAGGCAATGTTACATCAAGACACAGGAAAAGCAGGCAGCATCATTTATTTTGTACATTGCAAAATAAATTGTAGGACTGTAACAAATTATTTCCATTATCAATAAATTTGAGGATTCATTTCATTATTAATAATTGTTCTTTGTATTTTCAATAAAATGTTAAAATATAGTGAAATATTTTAATTATAATTTCTCTAAACCCAAACTGAAATATTCAAATGTTTTGCTTTGGCTTCCCATCAATCCAAAATACAAAGATATTATGGGAAATATTTCAGACAAATTCAAACAAATACTCATATTTGAAAAGCGAGCAAAATAAATGACTTAAATGACAAAATTGTTTTAGATTAATTTACTCATGGTTGAGTATCAACACCAATAAAGTTTCAGCCGCGAAGAATTTCCTTTAAATTCAGACTTTAGCTCCATGTTGCAGTCTTTATATACTATATACTCAACAACTGAACAACAGCAAACCATCAATACCGAAAAAACTCCCTCTAGCATCCTTTAATATATACAGATGTTGCTCCTGGTGCTCATCTCTCTGTAGCAGCAGTTTAATAATAATTAGTTGGGGCCCACACAAGTTTATTTTAGAATTTAGAATTTGTCAAAGTTTTAATGGTTTCAGCGGTTACGTTTGAGGGTCGACATTCAAAAAATCCCCAAAAGGCGAGGGTTGATTTTAGGATAACGAGACGATTCTGTGTTTCTTGCGACAACATAGAAAAATGCCAAAATGATTTTGTAGGCGCGCACTGCTCACTGACACACAGCCCAAATACAGCAGCAGACCTTCTGCCTATTGTGGTGCAGTAATGGTGTGGAACAGAGTGATGAGTAGACTGTTAGCTCCACCGGTGGATCAGCTCTCCATGCTTCATTAACTGTGTGTGTGTGTGTGTGTGTGTGTGTGTGTGTGTGTGTGTGTGTGTGTGGCCCCTTGTTGTTTTTGGTCCACTTGCTCGCTTTCAGCTCTGGCAGTGCAGAGTGAAATCGTCTCCGTCGCTGGATTAGGGCTACCGAAGGTAACGGCTTATGGAGGCTTTTTTCGTAATAACATCAGAAATGCACTTTGTGAAAGAACAGATATTTTGATGTATTTGTGCTGCTGGGGACGCTGAGCTTATCGGCCAGGTTCATGCGCTGAGCATGATGGATGGAGTGATGATTAATATTGGTTATTCATAGCTATGAGAATAAGAGGTAGTTTTAACTTTTGTTCATATCTGCTTTGCGCAAATTGGCTCAGGGAATTAACAAAACAGGACAGGCCCGTTTTTAGTACGACCATTCATTTGTAGAAATTGGAATAATGGTGAAATAACAGTGACCTTTGACGTGAGCGAGTTTGGCTGTAATTGCATGTGTGCCATCTTTTGTCTGTCTCCATTCTTCGCTATAAACTCTCACGCAGACGCCGATGTGCGGAAAGCCCACTTTTTACAGTGCTTTTGTGTCCTCGTCCCGCCTGTGTCCTCTGTCTCCCGTCCTCGCTCTCTCCCTCTGCCTGGCATCCAGCCGCTGATGATGACGCAGAGGAGAGCAGAGGAGAGCAGAGGAGAGAGGCTGACATAGTAATTACACAAAAATAGTAGAGCAAAAAAAGGTAAAACAAAACTAAAAAACTGCGGCGTTTTTTTCCCCTTTGCTGCTGCGCCTGCAGATGGTGAATTGCGTTGCAAGAAAAAGTTTTCCTCCGCTTCCGCTGAGGACATATGAGATCAGAAGCCACACTGTCGTGCTGCTGTTTTCTGTTTATGTTTTTTTTAGACCCCCGGGACCAAAACAGTGTGAGGATTTGTTGGAGCCACAAAAGCGCTCACTTTGTGCAGCCTGACCCTGTGACCCAAGCGCAAAGCTTGTGGGTGGGGCTGAAGAACAACAAGGAGGGAGGGGAGACACTGCATGGCACAGACCAGTGTCTGGCACAGCATGTATGGGGCGATGATGCATCCGTACAGGAATGTTTGGAGCCCTCGGCGCGCGGCATTTGGTCAGAACAGAAGTCGGTACTAAGGGGACGATTTTCTGTAATTTTCCTCCCTGGAGACGGATGAGACAACCTGTCAACAGGCGTCACAACGGGTGCGTGTGGGAATGTAGGTGTGAGAGCCGCCGCGGCTTCCGGCTCGGACTCACCGCCACCTTATCCAGGATGCTCGCAGCACCCTGTCGTCATAGTGACGGGGGTGGGGAGGGAGGGAGGGAGGGGGGGGGGAGAAGCCGCTCGTTGTGCCAGATGATTGTGAGTGTGTGTGTGAGAGAAAGAGAGAGAGGGAGAGAAAAGGAGTGAGAGGGCTGAGGAAGCAGGGACACACAGTTGCGCAGGAGCGATGGAGGAACAAGCGTTTAGCTGTGATGAGTGTTTTCATCGCTAGTGTTGTTCTTCGGCTGCTCTGTCGTGGGGATTACAGACATCTTGCCGCTCTCTCTCACACGCAAGCTTGGATTGATCAATGACTACTTGCACACACACACACACGCGCACACACACTCTCTAACTCTAGCTGGTTTGGGAAGATGCTGCTGCTGATGCTGCTGCAGCTGTTTGGCCCGTGTGTCAGGTGTGCGTGAGCTGGGGATCCGTGTGTGTGTTGATTCCCACGCACACTTTGACACACCCGCACGTTGACTTGATGCCCGGTGCGTTCGACGGGCCGAGGGGACACGCAGCACGCCCGGCCCAGGGCCCTCCTCCGTGCCATGGTAAATACCTCTGCCGACCTCCTCGAACTCAAACCGCTGTAATCTGATGGAGGCGGGAGGCAAGTCAGATGCAACACTTGGACTGTCGGTCGATGCGTGTCGAAGTTTCAGCGCACGGTGAAGATGCTTGGCGCCAGCTGGCTGTGTTGACAGCGATACTGAGGTTTTCCTGATGTGTTTATCGGCGCTGCTCGGAATAAAGGGATGTGTTTGTTGTAGCTTTTCCCTTAAGCAGCAGTAGTGTGTTTACCTCATCGCAGACCTGGTTTAAGCTGTGAGAGCTCTCCTCTCGCCCTGCGGTCCTCCTGTGCGCACGCGTTAGTGCCATCGCGTATGCGTGTTTTGATGCCGTTATCTCGCTCGACCTCTTCTCCCACTGCTGGCCTCGTTTCCCCAGGCAGTGACTCTGCGTAAGCAGGATGCGTGCGTATGTCTGGGTATGTGCGTGCGTGATCATCACACTGTTTTCAGTGATGTAATTAGCGGGAGGGAGAGAGAGAGGTCTTCAGTGAGAGAGAGAGAGAGAGCGAGAGAGAGAGAGAGAGAGAGAGAGAGAGAGAGAGAGATTGAGATGAAAGGATAACCACACAGAAGAAGAACTGAGCTGTGTAACTGCACGGCTTCTGTTTTGCATCATCACAGCATTCGTCACCGATACGAAGACTCCGCCGAGAAGTGCTGAGGTCTGGACTTGCCCGTTTGTCTGTTTATCTCAGTTTTGGAGGTCACCTCCTTTCCTTTCCGTCGTCTTTGCGTTGAGTTCTCGGTCACCGGTTGTCCTACGCTTCCTCCCCCGTCTTCACGTCCCCGTCCGCAGAGTGAGGCAGCAGCCATTTTTTTGCTGCCTGCTCAAGGCACTCAGTAATCACTCTGCTCCCAGCTGCTCCAGGTCGTCTTCTTCTTTTCTTTCTCCCCCCGCAGAGAAAGAAGTTGCCTCACTGCGCTTCATGGAAAATGGAGGCACTTGAATTATACAACACACTTAGAGGTGGTGGGAACTTAATTAGTCTGCATTTACCATTTGTGGGGTCGCAACAAAATTCCCATATCGATTACTGTCCTTGTTGATGATCAATAATAAGTTATGAATATTGAAATTGCGACGTTTGGACGTGCTGATTTTTGTCGATCAGTTAAGGAATTAAATCCTTGTGATGAACTGTTCATCTCTCTCTCCTGGTTCTGGTTCTTTCTGGTGATTCTGTCCTGCAGTTTAACGGTGCCTCCTCTCACTAATGTTTTTTGTTTCTGGCTACCCGGCAGCAATGCAATAAACCAGCCAACAGCTTCTATTGTTACTGTACCAAAACATGTGGTGGTGAATAATTATGCGGCCAACTCGTTCCCCACTGTGCTATTAGACAACCCAATGCGCTCAAATAAAGGAATAAACACAGACACGGGGCGCGTCTGTGTTTATTCCTTCATTTCATTCATTCATTGTTACTGGCAACACAAAAGGCAGTCGACTATGAAGGGCTGTTATCCCTGCCCTTGTCTCATGGCAATCACACATTAACAAGCCTACAGTGGTTTCTTTGTGTGCTTATGCTTATGCGTTAATCAAGTGCGCAATCAGTGATTCCTCGTATGCGGCAGTTGAAAACACAGGGAGTCAGAAGCCTCCCGAGTCGCTCCTTTTGAACGTCGGTTTCTGGTCTTTATTCCTTGTTGTTTATTACCTGAGAAGCAGGACACTACCTTGCAGGGCCTTCTTATCTCTGCAATTTCAAGCTTGCAGATATTAATATTTGATGCTTTTCGGGGCAGCACGATGTCCAGACAGCGTGTCCTCAGGACACAGTCTGACCCGGTTAAGAATCTACGAGGCGCCTGACGTAGGAAAAGGTGTCCGGAGAGATTTGTCAAGCCGTCTTTGTGTGATCTTTTGTGCTCAGGAAGAATACCAGATGTTCTCAGATGACCTTGTTTGTCTCGACTGAAGCTGCAGTGGTAGTTGATTTGTTTTTTTCCACGTATGCACCGTTTTTTTCGCATTTAATGAGCCTGTCAACATGGTCACTGGTTTGATGGACCGTTTGCTATTTAATTACTAATTACTAATACTTTAACCCCATTTCTTCTCTCCCTCTTTGCTTGCCCGTCATAAAATAAACTGGTCTCGCCTTTTGTCTTTACAGGAAGAATGCAAGCAGATCATGGCACGGCAGAAATCTAACAGCCAGTCGGACTCACACGACGATGAGGTTTCTCCCCCACCGCCCAACCCCGTTGTCAAGGCTCGGCGCCGCAGGGGAGGGGTCAGCGCGGAGGTGTACACCGAAGAGGACGCCGTCAGCTACGTACGCAAGGTCAGTGGCCGACGACGTCTGTTCAACAAATCTTTTGATTGTGTTGACGTGTTTCACCAACTGGTAGAAACACGTAGCAGCTGTGCATACGCAGGTGAACTGAAAGCCTTTAAAAATAGAAAACCACACAATGGAGAAAAAAAGGAGGATAAGCATAAGTGACAGTCTCATTCGAGCCAAAACATCAACAAGTAGGTTGATTGTTTATTTGTTTGCAAACAGCGCTGTTGGTCCGTTGACACCCACTCGAGAACACATTCGTCGAATCGTCGTGACAGTGAAGAGGGAGATGAGCTGTGCAGCTATTAGTGAACGCACACGAACGACTGCGGTTCATTCATTTTGTTTGTTGAACCAGCTGTTGAACTGATGTTCGGCACTAATGCTGAGATTGAAAATTGTGACGTGAAATGGATCATGGTACACTCCCACTCATGGGATCTAAAGATGATTTTACGTGTTTGCTGACTGAGCTGAGCCACAGAAACGGGGAAACTGGGCCCCTCTTGGAAATGCTGTTTGACAAATAAATATGACGGTATGAAAATATGGTTAAAAATAATCATTTTGGAACAGAATCCTGGAAAGGATGCCATTTTGCCAGAAACTAATACTCACCTTTATAGACGCACGCTAATACCTTTACATACTTTGTACATTGTATCATGGCCGTGTTTGTTCATTTTTAATTAGCTTGACGGGCCATTGATTGCTGGGTAATGACAAAACTGCTCCAACTCCCATCACCACGCTGTAATCGCATGGCCACTGAAGCATTCAGTGAATGTGTGTCTGTGTGTGTGTGTGTGTGTGTGTCAGGTGTGTACAACTCACCCTCGTGCATTTGTGTTCGTGGCTCTAAAGTCAAACACTGCAGTAATGTGTTGATGTGTTGAGGATCTCCAGCCTCATTCTCTCCACTGTGTTGCTCACTATCTCACAGACAGACACACACACACACACACACATGCACACACAACAAACACGCTTACAGATGGACACAACAGACAGCCGCATGCAAAAAACAAATGAATTCATGTGCTTAGTCAACACAACAGGCCATCAGAGAAAAGTTCATTAAAACCGAATTATAAGATGAAAGCGCATTATTGCTTCAGCATGAAAGAGCAGTTTATTTGACCATCAATTTATACCGAGGTAACAGACACACACACACACACACGTGTCAACACCCTCTACATCATCATTTTCATCAAAGAATCCAGCGTGAAAATCAGCAGCTGTTAAACGGAGCACAATCAATTAGCTCACCCTGCTCATCTGATTAAAAGGAGATTTGCTGTAAAGCGCCATTAGTCTTAACAGATCGTGAGGCCCGTCGGCCCGGAGATGACGTTGACAGGGTGATTTGCAGTGCTGACCACAGATTGATGGGAACTACTTAAAAGCCTCTTGAACGGGTGGAGACAAAAATGGGCCTCCAACTGTAAAGGGTTCTTGTGGCATAAAAAAAGGCCTTTGTATCACAGCTCAATTCCGAATGTATGTAAATGCCGTTGAAGCAAAAAAATGCAGATCCAAGCGCAATTCTGAAGCCTTACTTCAGTTTCTACCCGACTAACTTCCTCATGGAGCCCACATGTAACAAAGCGTTTGGTTGGCTGCTTGCAGGCACAGCTGGTAAATGATTAAAAATCCCTTTTTTTTTGGCTTTCCTACGACTTATTGGCTAGAAAAGAATTTGTAGACCTCACCCTGGCAAGTAGCAGTAATAACGACAGTGATTCAAAAGCTGGAAACAAAGCTGAGTGCCCAGACATTTACTGATACCCTGGGTGACAGTAGCCATGTCTGGCTGGATCTTGTGGACAATGATAAAGTGGACAACTAAGTGTCTGACGTCAAATAGGAATCTCAAAATGAGTTATTTTATCTCTGGGCATCTGTGTCCTCGTCTAACTCCTGTCCAGCCCAACCTCCTCCTTCCAGTGCTTTTCCAAGCCATGTGATGTGGTTTAGTGTGTCTATGTGCGCGTCGTGCACAGTGCGGCGTGGTCGTCTTCATGTGGACACATCTGTTGCTGTAACGTAATTATAAGCTAGCCCCCTCCTCTCCCCCCACCGCCCCGAGACAAAACATACGCACAAGGGGACACACCCCCAGAGCTTCTCAAGCGATTCTCCAGTAAGAATCGTCCAGTTTCGTCCGGTCACTCTTCCTTTTTGTCTTTCTTTTGTCTTTTTCAACCTAAAGCTAAAATGTGTTTTCTAGGATTCCACGTCATGAATACACACTTCCTAGGCCTTCGTGTGCCTACACACATTGCCATTAAACACACACACACACACACACACACACACACACACACACACACACACACACACACACACACACACACACACACACACACACACACACACACACACACACACACAGACCACAGAGTCTGGGACAGGAAAATGCATGTTTTATGAATGAGTTCAGGCCCCTTGTGAATTTTCCAAGGCTGTGTGACATTTGGAGTGTAATCCCTGAACAGATGGGCTTTTCCCAAAAATACGCAGACACACGTGCCGGATATTCCTTTCAGAGTGTGCCAACATGCTGCTCTTTAATTACTCAATTTAGTCTGCCTTTGAAGTCAGGCCTATTATGTGTTTGCGGTGGTCTGTTTCATGTGTCCACCTGCGCAGTGTAATGCAGTGGATTATAACAGATATCACTGCTTTGTCCACACAGGTGATCCCCAAGGACTACAAGACCATGACCGCCTTGGCCAAAGCTATTTCCAAGAATGTGCTGTTTGCTCACCTGGACGACAATGAAAGAAGGTAAAACACATTTGTGATCCCGCTGGCCTTTTTGATGGGTTTGCACAACATGAGTGGATGAAATCATAAATGGGCGATTGTTCCGGAGTGGACTTCCTTTTTGGTCATTGTGTTGATTGCTCATCTGCAGTCTGCAGAAGTGGTGAACATGGACGGATGCAGCAGAAGAGGGAGGTTGTGCAGCAAAGGGTGGCTAACTGGGCAACTGGGTGTGTCTGTATGTGTTGTGTTGTTGGTCGTCACGGTAACCTGTCTGTATGTCAGGGCGGTTTAGACATTGCTGAGAAATCAACGATTCTCAACAGTCATCATAGAAAAAAAAGAGTGTCCGATTCCCCACTATCCCTCCCTTTTTCTTACCATCTGCTCCATTCATTGTTATTTCGCATTCCTCTCCTCAACCATCGTCTCTCCATCCTCCCATCTGTCCCGTGTCTTCAGTGAGGGCAGAGGTCTGGCTCTGACAGAGGAGGCGGGTACTGTGGGAAAGGCTCTCAGGTGGCAGCCGCCAACCGGAATGGTGTTTCATTGGCGGGGAGAATCCATTACGCTCCACGGAGAGGAAAACACTGGAGCCTTCCTGACGGCTGAAGCCTTCACGGACCAAACCCAAAACACACTCTTTCCAGTCTTTCGTCAGCGGACAATTTGCCGCGCTTCCTTGGCGCAGGACACGCGGACCTCTGATTGCACGTCAGCCCCCCGAGCGGAGTGTGACAGGTCCGGACAGTTTGAAAAACCACGTACTTGGGTGGCTGATGGGGCGGATTAGGCTTACGCCACAAGAATATGTGGCAGTGGACCATAAACCATCAGGTTTTAATGCACTCAAGGCCTCTTGGCGTGCCAAGCCATGTAACGGCATCGGCGGGCAGGCCCATGAATCCATGCATGATGTAGAATTCATCCGACTGGCTGTCATGTTTGCTGCCTCGCTACACGTTGCCCGCATCACCCATTAACGCTACGCACACAGGAATTCCCGCTCTGTCATTTGTGGGCGAAACGTGCAGTTAAGCAGCGCCGAGCGCTCTCGGCTGGTGGACACCTTGTCTGATTTTGCTGGATTGGACTTTGACATGGCAGATACTTGGCTATTCTTTCGTCTATGACTCTCCAGTCGTCTCACTCGGCCTCACTGGGAGTTTGCTCGGTGTTACGACCCCCGGTCTTGTCTGTGTTCTGTGTGTGTGATAACCCTCCTCAGGTGGAGCTAATTGTCTTCATTACTCATCCGCCCTCCCGTGATCTCCTACAGCTGGTTCCTGTTTTCCCATCCTCCAATCGCATCGTCCCATCAGCTGTATTTATGTGTTTCTGGTTGTTCAGTCCATATCTCTCAGGCAGGGTGTAAGGTTGTGTTTGGGGTGCTCTTGTGAAATTGGTTGTACATGGTGGAGTGTTGGTGAGAGTATTGAAAGTGTTAATCATTTGTATTTCGTGTGTCCTTCCCAGGGAGAACGGAAAGCACTTGGGAGTGTTAGGAAAGACGCCCTGGGCATACATCACCCGTAGGGATATCTCCTGTTATACACACCAGGTTAGATCTGAGCGATCCACCCCCTGTATTTTTGGTTAGGGCGCCTTGCTCGAGCGCCAGAGTAAATAAGTGTTTTGTGTAGGACGTTGGGACAGGTAAGGGGTGGGGGTTTTGCTAATTTCTTTGTTTTGGATCAGCTCAGCCGTCCTCCCATTTCCCTCTATTGTTTATTATTATTATTATTATTATTATTATTATTATTATTAATAAACTGGCACGTGCTATAGCCTGTTTAAACCAGACCCATCGATGTTGGTGTGATTACTTGCGCCCACACCCGGTCTCTGGCCGTCTGGGGTTCTGGGCAGCGCGGTGTATGTCCCCCTCCCCTCACGGGGTGCTGTACGAACGTAACAAATGGGAGCTCGTCCGGGATATGTGCACCCCGCTGCTTGGACCCTGACTAACCAGGGTCTGGTGATGAGGAGCCATTTGGTACCTCGTCCACACGGTCGGTGGACGGTGTGGGGGTTGTGAATGGGATGACCTTTAGTTTGTTGTGTGTTCGGTAATAGTGTACATGATGGCTACTTCAGCCATCTGCAGTTTTGTTGATGTCCCCTCAGTCGCCGCAGAGATCTCTCACCTTCCCGCTGGGCCCGCAGCGATCTCCCCTTCGCGCTGGGCCGCAGCGATCTCCCCTTCGCGCTGGGCCGCAGCGATCTCCCCTTCGCGCTGGGCCGCAGCGATCTCCCCTTCGCGCTGGGCCGCAGCGATCTCCCGTTCCGAGGCTCTCAGTCCCAGCCCCGACTCGGCCAGTCCCTGCCCCGAAGCCCCCAGCTATCGCGTGTTTAAGTACTGGGTTACGTTTGGTTGTTTTGTCGCAAACTGGAGGTTTGCTGTTTTTGTGGTGGGCGTGTTACGACCCCCGGTCTTGTCTGTGTTCTGTGTGTGTGATAACCCTCCTCAGGTGGAGCTAATTGTCTTCATTACTCATCCGCCCTCCCGTGATCTCCTACAGCTGGTTCCTGTTTTCCCATCCTCCAATCGCATCGTCCCATCAGCTGTATTTATGTGTTTCTGGTTGTTCAGTCCATATCTCTCAGGCAGGGTGTAAGGTTGTGTTTGGGGTGCTCTTGTGAAATTGGTTGTACATGGTGGAGTGTTGGTGAGAGTATTGAAAGTGTTAATCATTTGTATTTCGTGTGTCCTTCCCAGGGAGAACGGAAAGCACTTGGGAGTGTTAGGAAAGACGCCCTGGGCATACATCACCCGTAGGGATATCTCCTGTTATACACACCAGGTTAGATCTGAGCGATCCACCCCCTGTATTTTTGGTTAGGGCGCCTTGCTCGAGCGCCAGAGTAAATAAGTGTTTTGTGTAGGACGTTGGGACAGGTAAGGGGTGGGGGTTTTGCTAATTTCTTTGTTTTGGATCAGCTCAGCCGTCCTCCCATTTCCCTCTATTGTTTATTATTATTATTATTATTATTATTATTATTATTATTATTATTATTATTATTAAATAAACTGGCACGTGCTATAGCCCTGTTTAAACCAGACCCATCGATGTTGGTGTGATTACTTGCGCCCACACCCCGGTCTCTGGCCGTCTGGGGTTCTGGGCAGCGCCGGGGTATGTCCCCTTCCCCTCACGGGGTGCCTGTAACGACGTAACACTTCGGTTACTCCTGGGCCGGTGGCTCCGTCACATTGTGGTCACGCTGCGGTTTTGTCGCGCCCGGAGCCCCTACAGACAGAAGGGTAGTGATGAATGTGATCCTCCGGCACACCAGCAACCAGCAGGGCTTTGGCACCATGTTAGACAACATTTCGTGGACCGGTCTTGAAGGAGGGGGGGGGGCGTAGTAATGGCTGTGCACAGTAAAAAAAGCACTTGGGTGACGCTCGGGAATTGTGTTAAGAGGGACGAGTGTGTGTAATTGGGAGAGAGTCCGGTCATTTTTGCAAAATAAATATTGCATATATATACTACACGCTCTCATTGGTATATTTCGGCTCACCACTTGGACTTGTTACGGTGCATCTGTGACTTCAGCTCATAGTATATGATGCACTATATCCGAAAATTGACCGTAGAAGTGTATATATCTGTTACTACAGGCAACGAAATGGTAAATGAAAGAACTCTCTGCGCTCCAGGGTACCGGTCTTTGCATTTTGACGCCTTCTGTCGCGGCATTTTAAGTCACGGTATGAAGTACATCGGCTTCTTTTGATGTGCCAGAACTGTCAGGGACTGACGCACATTAGCAGATGGAGTCTGACTGCATGGCCGTCTCTCTCTCTCTCTCTCTCTCTCTCCCTCCTTCTCAGCTTCTCACTCCTCCCTCGGTCTACAAACAGCTGTCTATTTGGTTTTCAGATGTTCTTGCACATGTGGTCTCAGTGCACATGTGGTCTCAGTGCACATGTGGTCTCAGTGTAGTGATAATGGACGATTGCTTCGTCAATCTGTGCTGTGACATCGGGACGATCGGTCGGTGGATGCATCACTGGATGACAGAACTTCTGACTTCTTTCAACTGCTGGTTGGCATTGGCAATATTTTTTTTTGTTTTTGTTTGAGGGCTGAGTGTATTTGATAAAGCAATAGAAAGACAAATGCAGGGCCGGTAGCTGTCCGTGTGTCAGGAAGCATGTTGTGTAATTGGTCAGTGAGCAGTTATGTAAGCTGAATTCCACACGATTGTCCCCCTATTAGCATATTATGCTATCGTTGTCCCCTTCAGTAATGAGCGAGAATAAAACAATGGAGCCCTTTTGTTTGGGTTTTTCTCTGTAGCTCTCCTTTTCCTTTTAGTCTAATCCTCTCTTTTGTCCTTTTACTGATCTGCCCATCTACGAGTCCATGAAGATGTACATGTGTACAGAATGAAGTTCAAACAATTATTGGTTTGCAAACAGATCTGCAGAATAGACCCATCACATGCGGACAATCATCCACATATTTCATTCATTTTATTTGATTGGATTCACCCTTTTAATTGAATATTAAAAAGGTCTATCAAACATGCTCTATAAACACACACACACACACACACACGGAAAACCAGGCCCACAAATACCACCAGCACAGAGGCTGACAGGGAATACATTATCATGAGAAACACACACACACAAAAGCACATTGTGGAGTCTGCATGTCAGACTGCGTTCCCACTGAGGCTGCTCCAGCTGGAAGTGTGGAGTCTTTGATTAACACACCATTCCACGCGTCAAACTTCATGGCCTCAAAGTTTCTGAGCTCCACCAGCCGTATGTGTGTGTCTGTGTGTGTGTATATTCCATCTTTTCTCACCTTCATGGGAGTGAAAACCTCGACACATTTCTGCCTTCCAGATTCCAGCTAAACACTGTTTTTGTAATTATAAGGCAGTTTTGTGGGCGAGCTGAGAAGGATATAGAGATGAAAAGATCAAAGCACATAGTTTTCTTTTTTTTTTCAAGTATTTTAAGTATATATTATTCAGATTTATCCTGAAAAACACACATTCTA